GTATACGGACGTCGTAAAGCTCGTCCTGGGGCATCTACATTATGTTATTTATTTATCTTGTTATCTTTTGCTATTTTTTAATTGGACAGTGGTCATCTTTCTTTTGTCCATTAAAATCTGTTGTTTATCTACTTCGTTATTATCTTTTCTTATTCATTCAATGGTTTCGGTTGTTCTTGTCGGTTTTTTCTAATCAACTCCACTACCTTATCTTTGATTATGATACATTGATTCATTTGTTGGAAGTATCGATTATACATTTAATTATCTATTGGCAATTATAATTCATTATTATTTATTAACATTATTAGCTACTAATTCGTGATATTTACATTTGATGTGGTGTAATGGATGTTTTCGTGATGTAACTGAAGATTATCTTACAGAATTAATTGTTTAGTCCATGTTTAGCATTACCTACATAATTATATTTAAATATTCAAATATTCATATTTTATTGAAAATTTGAATTCTAGAAAAAAACAAAGTACAAATGGATCTTTATGGAAATTATTCTATTAAATTTCTTAATAAAAGTACGACGTTAAATGAAATTAATAATCTAACAATACAGTCAAACATATACTTCGCCATTATTAAATCAAGTTCACCAATGTTACACCTAATAAATCTGTTATGCATATTGGAATTAAATCGCACGACGAACAACAATTATATGAACAATTATTACCACTTGACATTTTTCTTTAGCTTAGTATGGGGGCAGGTGTCAGGATCGCCATCTATTATAATAGTTGGACGATCCTTCGTCTCTCTTGTCTTTCTTCTATTGGTCTTCTATGAACATATATGTTTTGTTTTGTTTTCTTCGTGCTTGTTGTTGTTTATCCTGAATAAAAAGGTGGTCGAACGACCGTAGCTCGAAGAGAGCCTAACCCGACTTCCTTCTTTTCATCGTCTCGATTGTAACGGATCCTAACATTCTGAAAAAATATCATGATTCAATTAGAGACCGAATAAAGTGACTATCATATCATGGCTGATAAAAGCGATCTTGCATTTCGAAAGATTCAAATTCAGAAGATCTTGAAACGCTCTGTAGACTATATATACAGATTTTGAACAATGAGGATGAACACTACGCATAATTTTAAGAACAAAAATGAAATAATATACATATACTTCATATTATCAGTCATTTATTTTAAATCTACTCTCTATACATAGATATATGGTGCGGCAAGTCCAAACATTTTCTGGTTCATTCTGTTCTTATTTGTCTTAGTATCATATGTATATATATATATATATATATGATTATTGGTTTATCAGTATTAATTTCATTTATTTATTGCGCATACAGATTTTGTACGAATAAATGGTTTTCTAAAGAAAAAACACAGATAAGATTTACATGAAAATTTCATAAAATATTTTGTACATCTTTTTCTGTCAAATTTAATCTTAGCCAATGTTTGTTTTGATGATCATTTTGTCAAATATTATTGTTGTTAAAATTATTTCTATAATCCAAATGTTTATCCAGAGCAGTGAAAAACGGTCGGTTTTCCAGAACATTTGAAATTCGTTATATGTAATATCATTAACAACAACAACAACTAGCTGTTCTTTAATTTTACTATATCTTTGACAATCTTGAGAGCTACTGACCGCAGATTTTAGCCAAATTATTCAATTTTCTGATAGGTTTCAATCTTACAACTAGAGCTTTTCTTCTATTAAAATTGATTCTTTTCATTTAAGACTTGGAAAAAGTTCGATACTAACTCAATATTTATTAAAAGTGATGGTTCCTGTTTGAATGTTAGATTTGAACACTGGTCATGAAAAATAGTCGCAATTTTCATTGAAGTAGTTTGATGAAAATATCAACCAAAGAAATGTTACAATACTCAAAGAGAGCAGTTAGCTTCTGAACAAATAAGATAGAAAAACAAAAATCATTTTCGAGCAAAGATGATCGATCTAAGATTTACTCGTGAAATAGGAAAATGAAATTTCATTAGTAATACATATCTTATAGATTGCTATATAGTGCTACATGAAAAGTCAGTAAATATTAAAATGAATTACTACGATACTTTTTCGATAGAATTCTGAACCGAATAACATTACGTGATGCACCTGATTTTATGTAAAAATTAAACAACCATGTGCATACAGAATGTTGTCTTCATCTAACATAGTGATAGATGAATTACTTCTTTAACTACACTGTAATTTTTTTTAAATTCTACTTTGAAGAAAATCAATGTAGAGTAAGCTCATGGATTTTATAACTTTTATGATTTATTAATCGAATTTCAATTATTTTGAAAATACTAGATTGTCTAAACCTTAGAATATCAGATTTACTGACTGTGTTAAATCACAGTTAGAATATCGTTAGTTTATTTTCAAAAAGATAGAAATTCGTCGTTGAATTCATATAGGCATTCCTAGAATATTATTCACTAAACTCTATAAATTATTTTCTAGTTTACAGCGTAGTACATAAATATGATAGTTTCAAGTAATGAAAGCACTTAATTTATTATTTGTTCATGAATAACATGTATATAGGTATGAAAAACTTGACTTCATTGAGATAGTTCATCAATATTAAGTACTAGTTGATTGACAAGTTTTTGCATTGAATCAGAAAATTGAATATTTCGAATTCATACTAAATATGAATACCCAAACTAACGCAGCAGTAAAGATCGATACTGAAACTGGTTGCTGAGCTATTCGAGTGATAGACTATCACTGATAGTCTATGTACAATGAAATATAATTAAGTTTTCGTTTCGGAATGAGAAATGGAAAAAAAACAAATGAATCATTCGCATGATGCACATATTGATGAAAATATAATTTATTTTATATTGCCGCTCGTCAAGCTATTCACGTTGAATTGTGAGTTCAGGTAATAGTATATAGGCAGTGAATCGCAATTTCGTTTTTGTTCCAGTATGACAAGTGGAAATAAAATCAAGTGAATCTTTTACATGATTTTCGTGTTGACGAAAATATAAATGATTTTGTATTGGTCCCCGTCAAGTTGTTTGAGCAATGAAAGATAGAAAAAAATAAAATAAAGGTAATTTTCAATTCAACGACTGCATCATTTTATTTGCGCGACGTGTATAAATTAAAATTTTTTATGGGTGAATATATGAAAACCAAACACATTTAGCAACAGTATATATACAGGTAGCATATCACTTCACTTGTACATAAAGTTCGACGGCAATCAATTGACTGCTGTTTTGTTTCTGTGCAGACGATCGTTCGGACGTAGAAAATAAGTAAGTATGTGTCTTTTGAGACCATAGTCTCTTCTGGATGTGTGCGAGAGGGTAATGCAGTGTTTCTCGGTAAAATGATTGTGTGAAAATGAGAATTTATATGTAGATTCTAGTGCCTGATTTTCCGAGTTTACACGAACTGATGTTGAATTTAATCGTGCGGTTTCTATGGCACGGGGTATATTGTAATGCTAGTGTTGATTTTATGTTGTGATGGAACGTTAACTAGTAGAGGTGTATTACATGGGTGTGTATGTACTGTCTTCTTATAGATTGAAATGATTTCTATGGATGAAAATACAAAATCAAGCAAGGACTCGCTTTCTAATAATAGTGCAATTATTGATGTATCCGAGAAGGTGAAATCAATTTCAATTGCAAAAGATGCACACAAGGTTCCGGAAAACTCCGCTAATCAAATTGAAACTTTAACAATTCAAAAGACTATGTATGAACTCTTTATTTTTATTTCAAATATGATCGTTGTTGTTACTGTCTAGAAAATATTGTCTCTTGTCAATGTTGTCTGTAAGTACGAAACCTGCCTTGATGTTTTCACTTATCACAAGCGTTGCTATGATGATCGGTATACTTGTACTTTGTTTAACGCAACCAACACCATCAAGTATGTTCTCGCTATTTTGCATACTTCTTATGCATCAAGAGAAAACTTTAAGATACTATTGAGTCTTTTCTGCCAGTATTGTTGATTTTTGGTTGAAAAGCACCAAATAATGTTATCGTTTGATCTCGATATATTCGATGTAATTAATCAGTTGATGTTAAAATGACGAGCTTTCCAACTGACGGCGGGAGAATGGATGTGCCTTTCGATAAAATGAAGAATCACTCGCCCCAAAAAACATCCATTTTTCGGAATCTGAAACACGGTTCTATGGAATTTCGACAAAAAGAATTTCGCCAACGGAATTTCGACAATGTCCAAATTGTAGTAGAATTTGGATAAGGTTGGCAAATTTCCACAATTGATAAAATTTTTATGGAAATACGACAACCTTTTTTTTTGCTGGGAATTTTCTTGTCCATTTTCCATCAGAATTTGGACAGTTTTTGTGATTTATATTTTTGTTTTATTGTCGACTTTCCACCGGCAATACGACAATATATTTCTCAACTATATTCAGAATATATGTTAGAATATGTCTTTCTTTGTTTCACAAACAATGAGCAAATAATGACTTAGAAAGAGCTGGATGTCTTATAGCAAACTATCTGTATTTTTATTTTCTTAAATTAGCATCAATAATATCCAAAAGAAGAAGGGTATGGGTGTGAGTATAGGGAAATCAAATATCGAGACCCACAGTCGCACCCACACCCACACCCTCATATAAATTAAAACTTTAGTAATTATATATATACCTATATATGTATCTTTTTTCAATAGATATTATCCAAATTCTCATGGAAAATGGACAATAAAATGTCCAGCAAAAAACCATTTTGTCGTAATTCCACAAGAATTCCAACTTCTAGTAGAAATTCGCAATGTTGTCCAACTTCTAGTGGATTTTCGACAACTTTGTCCAACTTCTACTATAATTTCGACATGTGTCGAAATTCTACTACAATATCGACATTGTCGAAATTCCGTTGGCGAAATTCTTTTTGTCGGAATTCCATTTTACCCTGAAAAACAAATACTTCTCGTTCATCTCATATTTTTCGCATTCTTTAGATCCAAAGTGTTTGCCTACGTTAAAACGTATGGTGCAACTTTCAAGTTCTACTAGTTCTAATCCACAGTCAGTCGCTGTTGGCGATTTGAATAACGACACATGGATAGATATCATTGTCGCTGATACTGGGAATGACATTGTAGGCGTCTTTTTGTCATATGGCAATAATACTTTTGCAAAACAAGTGATATATTCGACAGGCATCGGTTCCTCTCCACGCATGATAGTTGTCTATGATTTCAATAACGATAATCAACTGGATATAGCTGTGGCGAATTTTGGCACTAATAATGTAGGGATCCTTTTCGGTAACGGTGACGGAAGCTTCAAGAATCAAACAAACATTGAAATTTCACCTTCTCACCCATTGTACCTAGCTGTAGGGGATTTGAATAACGATAAACAAATCGATATCGTCATCACTAATCACGGCACCAGTAGTATAGGTGTTCTTTTCGGATCCGGTGACGGGGGTTTCACAAAATATATTACTCTCTCCACTGGTTACGATTCTCTTCCGTCTGCAGTCGCAGTTGGTGACTTCAATAATGACAATAAACTTGATATTGTCTCTGCTAATTTTGGAACAGGTAATATAGGCGTGTTTCTTGGATACGGAAATGCAACTTTTGCCTTTCAAACCACAATTACAACTGGGATTAATTCTCATCCATACTCGATCACTGTGGCCGACGTAAACAACGATACCAAACTTGATATTGCCGTTGTTGATTCAATGAAAAATTATATAGTTATATTTTTAGGATCTGGAAACGGAACTTTTAATTTTCCCATATTCTTATCCACAGGCTCTAATTCTAATCCAATATTCATTGTTATCGCAGATTTCAATAAGGATAATAAACCAGATGTAGTGATCGCAAATAACGGTACTAACAGTGTGGGAGTACTTTTTGGATATGGAAATGGATTTTTCGCAAATCAAAGCATCTATCCTACTGACCTCCAATCTAGCCCGTATTCAATTGCTGTTGCCGATTTCAATAACGACAATCAACTTGATATTGCCGTTGTCAATGAGCAAAATAATAATGTAATGATTTTCAACGGGTACAGGAATCAAACATTTTCGAGTCAAATTACCTATCAAAGTGGTATCAGTTATTATCCAGTTGGAATTATTTTGCATGACACTGGAAGTGGTTCTCAACCGTACTCCGTTGCTGTCGGTGATTTCAACAGTGATGGTCGACTCGACATCTCTGTCGCCAATTCTGGTACCGATAATGTAGGTGTTCTTCTTGGTTACGGTGATGGTACTTTTGCAGACCAAACGACTTATTCAACTGGTGATTATTCAGGCCCAAGCGCGGTTGCCGTTGGCGATTTCAATAGTGATGGTCGACTCGACATTGTTGTCGCCAATTTTGGCACCAATAATGTAGGTGTTCTTCTTGGTTACGGTGATGGTACTTTTGCAGACCAAACGACTTATACAACTGGTGATTATTCTGGCCCAAGCGCGGTTGCCGTTGGCGATTTCAATAGTGATGGCCGACTCGACATCACCATCGCCAATTCTGGTACCAACAATGTAGGAGTTCTTCTTGGGTATGGTGATGGCACTTTTGCAGTTCAAAATACATACTCAACAGACACTGGCTCCGGTCCAATCGGTATTGCTGTAGGGGATTTTAACAATGACAAACGACTTGATATCGCCGTCACCAATTATCGTGCGAACAATATAGGAGTTCTTCTTGGGCGTAGTAATGGGACTTTTGCCAGTCAGTTAAAATATTCAACCGGTATTAGTTCCGGTCCGGGATCCCTTTTTGTAGGTGATTTCAACAATGATAGTCAACTAGATATTGCCGTCGCTAACTATGGTACCAATAATGTAGGTGTTCTTCTTGGATTTGCCGATGGTACTTTTGCAGAGCAAAATACTTATTCAACTGGTAATGGTTCTTTTTCTTATTGTATAACCGTAGGGGATTTCAACAACGACAGTCGACTCGACATTGCTGTGGTCAATGCTGGTACCAATAATGTAGGTGTTCTTCTTGGATATGGTTATGGGAATTTTTCGAGTCAAATGATTTATACAACTGGTGATAGGTCTTATCCGGTCTCGCTGACCATCGGCGATTTTAACAACGACAGTAAACAGGATATTGTTGTCGCGAATTACGGCACCAACAATGTAGGTTTTCTTCTTGGATGTGGCAATGGCACTTTTCCACTTACTACCTATATACCTGGAATCGATTCTTATCCAACGTGGGTCAGCATAGGTGATTTCAACAACGATGATCGACTAGATATCGCCGTCGCGTATTCCGGTACAAACAATATAGGAGTTCTTCTTGGTTATGGCAATGGAACGCTTGCAAATCCAATGAAGTATACAACTGGTATTGGTTCCCAGCCAATTGCAATTGCTTTAGGTGATTTCAATAACGATGGTCGACTCGATATAGCTGTCACCAATTCCGGCACCAACAATGTAGGAGTTCTTCTTGGATATGGCAATGGAACTTTTGAAGATCAAAAACCTTTTTCGACAGGTATTAGCTCGAACCCAAAAGCGATTGCCATCGGAGATTTCAACAATGATGGTCGACTCGATATCACCATCGTCAATCATGGTACCAACAATGCAGGTGTTCTTCTTGGATACGGTGATGGTACTTTTGCAGACCAAACAATTTATTCAATTGGTGGTAATTCTGGTCCTAATGTGGTCGCGATAGGTGATTTCAACAACGATGGTCAACCGGATATCGCCGTCGCAATGTATCTGGCAGACAGTGTAGGTATTTTTCTCGGATATGGCAATGGAACTTTTACAAGTGAAATTATTTGTTATACTGGAGCTTACTCTCGTCCATTGGTGCTTGCTGTCGGGGATTTTGATAGTGACCACAACCTAGATATCGCTGTCCTAAACGTACTGAGCGAGGAAGAACATGTTTTGATTTTACTTGGAAGTGGGAATGGGACATTTTCAAGCGATGGACGATACCAGACTGGAATTAACTCAGATCCATCTTCAATAGTCGTTGGACATTTTAATAATGATAGTCAACTTGATATTGCCGTGACAAATAGGGGTACTGACACTGTAGGAATTTTCTTTGGTGGTGGCGATGGAAAATTTTCGAGTCAAAACGTTTATGCAGCTGGGGATGGTTTTGACGCGATATCGATTGCAGTGGGTGACTTCAACGGTGACAATCTAACTGATGCTGTCGTCGCCAATAATAGAGCATTTACTGTCGGAGTTCTTCTTGCTTTCTTTAATACAAGTTTTGAGTATACAGCAACTTATCCTACTGGATCTGCTGCAGGTCCTGACGCTATTACCGTAGGGGGTTTCACTAATGATGGTAAACTTGATGTCGTCATTGGTAATCAAGGTACGCATGACATTAGTTTACTTTTAAGATATGAAAATGATAGCTTTTCAATGGAAATTGCTTACTCAGCAGATTTTGCATTTTATCCTGTATCCATGGTCGTTGCAGATTTCAATAATGACAGTCGTTTGGATGTCGCCGTCGCCAATTCATTAGGAGATCAAGTGTGTCTTGTTTTTGGAGAGGGCAATGGAACTTTTGTAAACTACACGGCATATTCAACGCCTATTGATTCCAATCCTCAATCGATCAGCATGGGCGATTTCAACAAAGACAATCGAACAGATATTGTAGTCTCCAATTCTGGCACAGGGAGTGTTGGTCTACTTCTTAGAGCTGATAGTGGAGCTTTTGGAAGTTTAACAACGCTTTCAACAGGACTTAATTCGAAGCCAGATTCAGTGGCTGTTGGAGATTTTGACAATGACGGCCTACTCGACATTGTGGTTGCCCTTAATGGCCAAGCCAGTGTAGGTGTCTTTTATGGGTTTGGCAATGGTACGTTTTCAAAACAAAACAATTATTCACTCGACAATGGTTTCTACCCAGTTTGGATCTGTGTTGGTGACTTTAACAATGACCGTCGACTTGATATCCTCACCATCGACAATATAGGCAGACGGATAACTGTATTGCTTGGATCTGGGAATGACTTTTTTGAAAAAAAAACGACTTATACGAGTAGTTATCTAGGAGAGGCTGCAGTTGGCAATTTCAACAATGATAGTCGACTGGATGTCACCATTTGTCAAATCGGCGATAACACTATAATTGTTCTTCTTGGTAATGGCGATGGCACGTTTTCCAATCAAATTACTTATTCAACTGGTGCCAATTCCGGACCAAATGCGATCACCCTAGGTGATTTCAACAACGATGGTCAATTAGATATCGCTGTCGCCAATTATATCACTAATAATGTCGGTGTCCTACTTGGATATGGAAATGGTACTTTTTCAAGTCAAATGACTTATCCAACTGGTGCTGGTTCTTCTCCTTGTTCGGTCGCGATCGGCGATTTCAACAACGATGGTCAACGTGATATCACTGTCTCCAATCAGGGCACTAATAATGTCGGTGTCCTACTTGGATACGGAAATGGCACTTTCTCAAGCCAAATGACTTATCCAACTGGGGCTGGTTCCTTTCCGCGTTCGGTCACTGTTTCAGATTTCAACCAAGATCATCGAATGGACATCGTCGTAGCCAATCAGGGCACTAATAATGTCTGTGTTCTTCTCGGACATGCCAATGGAACGTTTTTCAACAAAATTACATATTCCAGTGGCGATAATTCAAACCCAATGTCGGTTGCAGTTGGTGACTTCAACAGAGATGGCCGACTAGATATCACCGTTTGTAATAGGCTGGCAGAAAATATAGGTGTGTTTCTTGGATATGCCAGTGACAGTTTGTTAAGTACACCAGACTATTCAATTGGAAACTCTTCTGTACCAGTAAGCATCGCCACTGGAGATTTTAATAATGACACTAATTTGGATGCTGTTGTAGCCGATAAGGGAACAAACGAAGTGGTCATACTTTATGGATCTGGGTACGGAACCTTCACACATCATGTAAATTATTCAACTGGTGATCATTCTGAACCGAATTCGATTGCGTAGGTGATTTCAATCAGGATCATCAACTGGATATTGCTGTTGCCAATGCCGGCACTAATAATATTGGTGTATTTTTAGGAAATCCTAATGGTAATTTCTCAATTCCAACGATGTATTCAACTGGTAATTTCTCTTCACCTCGATCGCTAGCTGTAGGTTATTTTGATAATGATACTTTGCTTGATATTGCTGTAGCTAATTATGGCACAAACAAGATTGCCGTTTTCCTTGGTTATAGCAATGGAAGTTTCGCAAATCCACTTTTCTTCCCATCTGGTTTCGGCTCACATCCATCTGCGTTAGTTTTCGGCAATTTGAACAAAAACAATTGGACTGACATTTATATCTCCAATAGTGGATACAGTACAATAGATGTTCTATCAAAGACCTGCTAGTGTTCTGTGAAAGAAAAATATGCATCACATTCATTTTTTTGTACATGAAATTTTCTGCATAGTGTGATTATTTCTTAGAGATGAAGCATTTTTGTGATGGTATTGCATTTTATTCTGTTCCTTTATATCATACTATTCTCTCCTATACATAAAAATGACGCACCTATTTGTTTTCTAATATATATGCTTTGGTACCATGACTTGCAGTTTTTCTGTCAGAATTTATGTCTTACTTCATTTTGTTCTTCCTTTCCGCTTTTTGACGGTCAATCAGTAGATTAAAAATGGTTATATACGATTCAGCATTCTTTGTTTTGTGATTATATAAACAATAGCGTGTTGATAAAAAACAACGCTACATATTTCTCATTTGTTAATTCATTTTTATTTTTCCATTTCATAGTATTTTTAAGGAAAAAGTTTTACTTTCCAGAATTGTGTTGTGTGTGCACAAACAAAGTGCATCATATAATCAACAATATTAAGTTGAAAGTGACAATAATTTTAGGATCTGTTCTCAATTCCTATTCCACCACGCTATATTTATCAGATGTGAATAATATCATCACTACAACTGATCATTTTGTAGTCTTGTAGAATCATCCACTCCTTTTGGTGTCATTCAATATCATACAATGCTCTATGTTTTGGTTGTATAAAGGAAGGCCACATTTTTTTCATAAAATTAGCTCATTGAGAAACTATCAGCATCCAACAAAATTTGAATAAAAATTAGAACAAAATTAATTACGTTGACAAAATATTTTATTTTTGTGTCTAACTATAATTTGAAATGTAAATAGTATATGTGGCTGAATAAGATACAACACTGACGATTTCGGATAGAATGAGAATGCCTGTAATGGTATCATACTATCGTATCGTTTACATGAAACGCATAAATGAAGAAGAACAATGAATGAAGGAGGACGACAGCAAGTATAACGAACAATTTGATAAGTAACGACAACAAAGCAACGAGTAATAAAATGAGGCCCAATGGGCTTCACCGGAAAAGTTACAATGGCGTATGTTCCACCGTATTTCGTTATTTAGGTTGTATAACGCAAGCAATAAGCGCACCTACAAAATTCAAACCGACACCAATGATGCTATTTCGAGCAGCTTCACCCATTGTTAAACTAGCTCCACCCATTTCAATGTTAGTTCCACTTAGTGTTAATTGAGTTCCACTGGTAAAGAAACGGATTCCTATTGCCATACCGATGAGACCAAGCACAAACGATAAGACAGACAAGTTTTTACTGATTGAGAGAAATCGCGGTTCGAACCTATCCTTTACGACAACAAATATAAGACATCCGACTGCGCAAGGTGTACTAATACAGACTAAGGCCATGAGTGCACGCGCAGTGTGTAATCTCCAATCTATGAAAATCCTAAAAAATGTATGGTTGTTCAACATGGTACAGTCCCTATTAAGACATCCTTGCCACAGCCCAACTGATAAATGTAAAACAGAATATTGCCAGGTACCCCTAGAATCAATAGCAAAAACAGACAGATTTGGTGGTGATTCGTGAACTTTCGGCGGCTTCGTTTACGCGGATGGGTTAGCTAGGAATATTTCCTAAATGTTCATGCTGAATGGAGAGAAAAGTAGAGTGGTGAAACTTGAATAGTCTCCGAACAGAAAGTTGATAGAAGTCTGATTTTTTTTCACTGATGGATAGACCACAACGTGTGCTTTAAAACGTATATTCATATTCTAATTGAAGATGGAGTTTACAATATCAAATCTGAAGTTTTTTTTTCAAACACTGAAATTGACTTGTTACCAAAGCAAATTATTTCGGCTTGTTTCTTGTTTTAGCTTGCATTATGTCGACAAAAATATAAGCTAATGAGTTCAAACTTGGCAAGACACATCTGAAGACACTAGGTTTTCTGAAAATTGGTTTCCAGTTTTTCTATGAATCCAGAATACTCAGCAATCAGTGTTAAAATTACAGCTAGTAGATTCTGCGATTTTCATGAAAGTTCCAAGGCTACATCCGTTTGAGTCAAAACGTTTTTGCAATTAAAGCTGTACGAATGCTCAAAATGTGTACACCATTTCAAAGCATTCAAACAAATACAGGTAGTCAAGATATAAAAGAATTCCGAATTTTACTTAGGTAACAAGTTAATTTCAGTATTTGAGAAAAGCTTGAGATTTGATATCGTAAACTACATCTTCAATTAAAATGTCAATATGCATTTTAAAGCTCAAGCTGTGCTCTATCTATCAGTGAAGAAATTAGACTTTTAGTAACTTTCTGATCGAACACAGTAGGCTTTGACATCTGTAGGGATACTTTTACATCGAAGATTCTTCAATTATCTAAATTCAAGTTGACTATTTTCATAGGGTTGCTGACATCCACAAAGAATCAACTGGTAGGAAGCACCTAAGCATTGCTGAAGCATTATATGCTAACAGCATAATATAGTCTACCATGTATTTTTTTGTTTTTGAAAAATTTCAACTAAAATTAAATAAACATTTACTGTAGATTTTGAACTATTTCAAAAATGAAAATTTGATTACTGTCAGCTATTGGATCATTAATCAGAATGAAAGTAAATTCAAACACTTACCATGATGACTGTACATTGCATGCAATATAACAAATGGATGCAGCGGTAAGTAAAATTGTTGCCGTTATTCCTAACAATCGTCGGCTCACCATTGTCCTACGAGGTGAAATAAATTATTTTGTATAGCTTCTAAAAAGATAAAATCAAAATGAAGTGAAAATTGTTGATTACGACTTTTCTTTATCAGAAGTAGCGATCTAGCCCGCACTGTAAGTTTAATAAGCAAGCGTATTTTTCAAAAGGGCAAAGCATACTTCTATACTTCAGAAGTACTGAGAAGTGCAAAGAAGTGCAAAGGATGGCCGAGAAATATGGACAAGTGCAAAGAAATATACTTTTTCTCTTTCATATTTTTACTGATATAACGAAAACTAAAGTGGAAACTGTCAGTTCAAGTTTGAACAGCAGCGAATATTATGTAATTGAGCAATATTATAAAGCCGAGCTACCTTGATGATATTGCTCAATTACATTAATGTTACATGTGTGATGATTCATATAGTCCTGTCTTTTGCCCTTAATCACAATTAGAAACTAATTTCCCGGTTGCTTTTTCTTCTAGTAATATTCTTTTGATAAGCATTTTATAGTAAAAGCATTACATACAGCAATATATAAAAATGTTTCTTAATGTAGTCATAGCACTGATTCAACTTGATGGACTGTTATCGTATTTTGGAGCGCAGTATACATGGATTTCTTGATTTCTTCAGATATACTGTTGCAATTCTTTCACTGAGAGCTTCTGTTGGATCACTAAAAGAGGTAAAGCAAAAATTGAAGACATTTATACCATGGCGACTAAAATGAGGTACTATCGGTACATCTAATATAATAACTATATACTTATATATTTACACGGCAAATAATCGTGTTGTTATTCAACGAAAAATACGGCTTTGAAGTAAAAAATTAACCGATTCCCAGTTTGTATTATTAAAAATATAATTGAAATAATGAAGAAATGAAGTTTTCCTCACTTAAAAGAATAGTAGGACTAAATAATAAGTTTATCAACTAGACTATGTTGTTCATTATATGTGAATCTTAAACTTTGTTTTAGAACAACCGACTAAAATGTATCTACTAATCTTATGACACACATAGCAATTCATGTGTTGTATGTAGACTATAACAATACAATCAGGAAAAAAATGAGAAAAATGCATGTATCAATGTTGCACTACGCTCTTTCAACCGAATTTCCCTGAAGATATTCAGAGGTGTTGATGATTGCGAAAGAAAAGCAATTTTGTATATGCATTTCCGCGAATACAGAAGCGTTAAGTCAATCCGACTGCTGAGTACGAAAACAATCCGTTAAAACAAATAAAAACACATAACTTACTAGATGGTAACCGTGATGTAGTCCAGTTTGTGAAATTCGGTTCGAAGCGAAGTAAGGTCTCGCTAAGGACTGATATTTATCATCAAATACATTCGTTGTTAAAGAAAAAAACGTGTCATTTTCTGCAAGAATTTTCGAGTTTTAAGAATTCAAGAAATATACGCGTCAAAGTATCAGATAACTGTCGCTGAATAGAAAATGTGCCAATATCCACCGCTACAAGCACTCTATCAAAGCTTATCAACATATTTGAAATGAACGATGTTGATTGATCGTTTTAAGTACCTAAATAATGCATTATTTACAACCATCTATTTATCATCACCATAGCTGTTTGAAAAAAAGAAAAAGACAATGACCACTTACTTTTCTAATTATTTTGAAACACGGCAATCTTGACCTCTTTGAATTTTCGTCTTTTTTCGACGCGAATTCTAAACGAAATAAACGATCTATACGATAATAGATCTCAAGAGGAATCAGTTAGATTTTGATACGTTTATCTCGATTTTCTATGCAGTAGCTAGTCGAATATTGAAAAACTTTTGAAGGAGTCATAGAAAAATAGGGTAACAGCTAGATGTCGATATTTTCATCTCTTGTTTTCATCAGTTTTCTCTAATTTTGTGTCACAAGATCATCGCTTTACAAACTTAAAACTGTTTTGCAAATGGTGGAAATAGAAAAGACAAGAAAACATGCGACGCACTATATAAATACTATATGGTTAGTATCTCACTAAAACACACTCACGATAGATCACATGGATGCTCTGGTTCGCATTGCCTTAAACAAAATAAGGAAAGAAAGAAAAACGGAAAACAAGAAAACTCGCGCAGAACTATATAAATGCGATGCTTCATGTTAGTAAATGAGAAATTTACATTAAAATGATTCGTGTCTCACATGAATGTGCTAGGGCAAATGATAAAATGGATGGCAACTCATAGAACTTCAGATTTCATTGTTCTGTGCAATAATGAAGAAGTCGCTTGTTTCGCTGAATATCCCGATAGCATTGGTCAGCTGTTTTTTAGTGAATAACATGCTCGGAAAAAGAGTTGAGTTATTTCCGTTATTTTCTCTTCTCGCATTTTTTTCTTCTTTTATTGTTTGTTTTTTCTGTTCTTTTTCTTGATTTCTTTTTTTCTCTCTTCTAGTCTTTTTCTCATTTTCCGTATTTTCTCTTCTCGCATTTTTTTCTTCTTTTATTGTTTGTTTTTTCTGTTCTTTTTCTTGATTTCTTTTTTTCTCTCTTCTAGTCTTTTTCTCATTTTCCGTATTTTCTCTTTTCGCATTTCTCGCGTTTATTATATATTTACTCGATTCAAGTTATTGTCACAAGCTCACAAAGAGTCTGAAGCTTTATTGTCTCTTTATGACAGACAGAGCCGTAGGGCTTCAAAGAAAAACACATACCTTATTAGAGGTTGGCTGGCTAATATCAAAATAGAATTGAAAAGTACACACGACTCACTTCCTCACTATGAAAACTCTATCAACAGTCCTCTAAAGAGTATTATCGATTCATGGTTTCATTATCGTAATAATTAATCATTCCCTCGACTGAAAGGAAAGGCGACATTATCATGTGAATGAATAAATATTATTGGTTGGATTGGGCCTTTATAAAGGCTCACGTAAGATAATCAGGGACGAGAAATCCGAATCTGTGATTAGCTTCTTTTCAAGTTATCAGTATGTTTTTTAGATCGGCAGAAGTTTCCTTTGGTAGATATTCATTTTTCAATTTGGAATGGTATTTTAAAATGTTATTTAGTAAGAATGAGTTAAAAATGATTATTTATTACTTTTTTTTAGTTTACTTTTTCATAACCAGATGAGTAACGAAGACGCTGTCACTTAGCTTCGAAAATGTATGACACACTTTAGGCATGCACATTACTTACAAAGGAAGTGTTATCTCCTGCGGAATAAGAGACAACTTTGTGATGAATAAATGTTGTCTCTCTAATTAACGGAGTATATAACACTCCTTTAGTATACTATACTGTTTATAACGAACTTATCGATTATATGAGCATTGCGTTTTATCTTGCGATACAAGAAATTTTTCCTAAAATACAACTTTATATTGAAGAAACGATCGATTACGCCATAAAAATTCATTGTAATGTTTATCTCAAGGTGATATGAACAAAATATATATATATTTAAACTAAATATTATCATTATATTCATTTATAACATCTTAAAGTATTGCACAATAACAGGATTTTTTTATTTCAGTTACAAATCCGTTTCATACGGGACCGGAACGCTCCCAATCAGCTCACACAACACACAGATACTTTAATATTTAAATCTAAGATGTGTATGTAACTTGTATTGAAGTTTTAGAAGCAAACGTATAATTCATCTGTACAAAGTAAAATAAAAGATCACATCGAATTCTAAAACTTGGACATATTCTGATCACATAGGTCGGTTTTCCTCTATATTCTTATTGTATTGATTAGTATCTCTACATTAACTCTACTGATATTATTCCTATCGAACATCTCACACAGTATTAGAATAGACTGTTGTAGAAGTATAGTTTTTATTTTGAATTCTGGACTGTTTGCCAAACTTATTGAATATTTTGATTGAGAAAAGTCGATTTTATAATAAAAAAAATTGGTCATATTAGTTCTCTTAATTATGCTCTATCTTCTCTCTATTTACTGTTCGAGTTTCTCTTTTTGTCATGCATTAGTTACATTGAAAACATTATTATTGAGAGGTGTTGGAAATAGTAGAGGGGTTCAGTGCAAGGGTAAATTCTTCACACGATTATTTCTATCCTTTGCTCTAGCTATTTTTCTATTATTTATAATCTCTATTGTGGGTACAAAATATTTATATGCTTGTTTAATATCAGCTGATAGTTTCTTTACTAGTTCTTAATATTCTTTCTCACTTTTAATTCTAACTTAGTCGTATGTATAACACGATTTTATTGCTCATTTAGGGTATGGGTATGTATTAAATAAGAATCATGACACGATCTGATCTTACTCAAGAATCTCTTCCGATGATCGTCAATTGAAACCTTAATCCTAATGTCAGTAAAGAATGATAGATTACGAACCGCAGTAGTATAAACAGTGACAAAAAACAAAATCAGTAATATTTTCGACTGTCTGCCTTTTGTAGTAATAGATTAACTGGTTACTCTTGTTCTTAGAATAAACCTACCTTCTTCTCTTTTTGTAAAAACACTGTCTCTCGAGATAAAATAAAAATTTGAAGAAGTTTTGTTTTTCTTCTGTTAAACTTATAGAGTATACAGATAGTTTGCGTTACTCTTTCTTTAAAATTTATTCAATAATGATGAAAACGAATAGTGTTCTGTTAATCGATACCGATCCAATCAAGTTGCCATTTATAATTTTCATTTTTTGCTTCAGCCAATAATTCTTGTCCATTCATTTGATATTGTGACAAAACATGACCGAGATAAATAATGAATTCTGTAGGTGTTGGCGTATAGACAGCTGATGTGCCTAGCAAACCCCAATGGGCCCATTTTCCACTCATAGTAGCAAAATAGGTTGGTGTTCGAGTAAAATTACACGTGCTAGTATTGACCTGCACACGTAGACCTTCGACAAAGTCCGATTCAGCACCGTGCACTTCAAACTGATCAGATGTTACGTTGCCCTTGCAAATACGTGTTTTTGTTGATGGTTCGATTGCTTTCATGGCGAGTTCAAGTTTACTAACACGAGCGACAAGTAAATCGATTCGTGTCTCTGTCGACCACACAATGACTTCTGGTTTACTTTCAACAAGATGAGTGCTCATCAAAAACAGTGTCCAACCGGTAAGTAACAGCCACATTTTCTTCAATTTTGTATACGAATTTCAGTAAAGTGTCATATAAGCAAGTGAAATCGGTCTTTTATCATGTGAGAACTGAAGCCATCTGTTTGTGACATCATTTTTTAAAAGGAATGAGTAACGAAAAACATACAATCACAAAATCTTCAAAATATGTACAGAGTGGTTCGAAAAAATATAATTCAACCTTTTCACAATGCTTCTTTGCATAAATAGAATTAGGAAAAAGCTATTACATTCACTTATTTTTTATTTAAAATTTTCTGTAGCTATAGATCAATTAATAATCCCCATATTGGACTCGTAGAATTAGATGTGCGTAACATTATTTAGCATAGTAAAAGATACATTTCCGAATATATGAATGAACGTTGTCATATAATAACGTGTGATGCCTTGAACACATTAGCTGATGATCTTTACCTTTTCGAAGCAGGCGAAACGCGATCTAAGAAGAGTGTTGAAGCAGCTACTATGCAAGATACTTATATTGAACCCATCCAATATAAAGTTTGCTGCTGGTAATAATTAAATGACTGGAATTTTTGTTTCAAAACTATTATATATTCGTATACATAAAAGAAAAGCATGCGCATTCAAGAATTTTTAAAAAAAGAGAAAAGGATGGAAGAACGTAAAAAGACAAAATTCACACCATAGAGTGTTATAATGATAAAACTCTGATAACTAGCAAAAGGTTTTTTCAAGAATAAAAATCGGCAATAAACGAAGCCAAATGTTCACTGCTGATTGAAATAAATAACGACAATAAATAATCATTGATAAACACGCTAAAGAAAATCAAAAAGAATTAAATAAAAAGCTTTCACTTCTTATTGTTATTCTTTACTTGAAGATTGCTATTTGATGTTCTAATTGGTGAATGATTGATTGACGAGAAACTTTCATGCAGATCATTTGAAGCTAATAATTTTTCTAAACGTTCAAGATAAATTCTAATAATTCGTTTTATTGAACTTAAACGGTCAAGCATTAATTTTAAATCATTTGCTATACGTAATTGATCGCCAGATAACAGACATTTTGAACGATCATTTACATTAATTAAACGTTCATTTACAATTTCAAGATCATCATGAATACGAATAAAACGATGAAGTTTTGTACGATTAATACCCAGATTACTTTCTCTTTCATCAACAGGTTCCAATGAATGAGTTAATGTTTCAAGATGATCTAATTGAGAATTGATTTCTAACATTGCATGTTTTATATCTTCAGCTTGAAACAAATTTGTCTAATTAAAAAAACGAAAAGCTAACATAGATACTTTGAAAATAATTACTTTTAATTCTCGATGTTCACGGTTGGATCGAGCAAATAGAAACTCGAAACCTTCTTTAATCGATTGAAGACGATGATCCACTAGTAGCCATTCACTTGTACCATCACCCAATTGATCAGCTAGTTCAATCGTCAGCTGTAAAAGTGATTTGATTTCATCTACAATATATATTCAAATACTATATAATAGGAAAAATGATTATTTGCATATAATACCTAATCTTTGAACTTGATCGCGATGTGCATCTGCTTTAGAATAGACAGTTCGGGATACTAATAGAAAAAATGAAAGGAAATTATAATTTAAAAAAAAGCAGTTATTAAATTTACGTAATGTGTCGACATTAGTAAAATGTGTAGCTGCCTGTTCAAGTTCTTCTAGTTGTCGTTTAAATTGCTTCCATGTGATACGATTTTCCTTTAAATGTTCATCTTTTTCATGTGCTAATGTTTGTAGAAGATTCCATTTCTCCATAATATCTATATTAAAATCAATTAAACCAAAATCGATTGATAGAATCGTATACTTACCAACAACGACTGGATCATTATTAAGATTATCGACTAAGAAAGGACCTAGTTCTTGTTGAATTTGTTTAATTATTTCACGTAATGCTTCAATCTTTCGACGTGTTGTTGTTAATATTCGAGTCTAACAAAGAAAAAACAATATCACTTAGGATATTCGAATAAAAAGAACATATTCTGACATAAGCAAATTCAGCAGGTAAATCTTCGACATGAATACCAATGGGTGTTTCGGAACGAAATGTTTCTTCTTTGGCAAGGAAATCTCCATTGACTTGAAGAAGAATATCTTCGAAATCAGCTAAAAGCTCTTGAGCACGTTGATATTGATCGCCCCATTCTATTTGATCGTATGAACGAAAAAATCGATCTCGTGAACGAAGATACCGCGACGGAGAACGTGATCCTGTAGAAATGAATCAAAACAAGAAAAATCAAATCATGTAAGATTTACTTGATGGACTTGGTGACGAAATGCGTTTTTGTGGTGATGGTGTAGAGAAAAATGATTCATGTAGTGGTGATGAACGAGCAGATGAAATTGAATCAATATGGCGCTAAAATTTATAAATTATCGATTGTCCCTAATAGTCTTTTATTTTGTTCTCTTACATCATTTGAATTTATTAATTTCTGCTTGAGTTTATTAATACGTTTGGTTAACTCTCGTAATTGTTGACAAAATTTCGTTAGTTCATTCATATTAATTGTTAAACCTCTTGCATCAACTGTTTTACTAAGTAAATAATTCGCACATGTTCGAACGTATTCGATTTTAGTTTGTTTTTCTTGAATTTCTCGATCCATATCCTTTCAATGATTAACAAACAAATGTAAACTATTTAATAATATAATTAAATATAAATTTTACATCTAATTGTCGAATCTTTTCATTGGATGGCGCTTCTGATAAATGCTCAAGATTAGTTAAAAGCACATCCAAATCAGTTAACCAAAGTGCTAACGAATCTTGTGTCAGTTGAAAATCACCGTGAACACTTAACATATATTTAAGCTAAAACAATAAAAGAATGTATTAGAAATGAGACTGAAATTGCTGATTTTTATCTGATTAAATTACATTTTTCATTGTTTCATTGACTGTGCCTCTTAAAACTTCCCAACGAGTATTGACTTCTTTAATTTTTCCACGAACTTCACCGTTGACATCCGCTGTTTGATGACTACGAATAATTCCTGAATAATTATCGGTAATTTCTTGAATCTCTTTTTCATCATCATCTAATATGCGTTTAAAATTCTGAAAAAAATTAAATCAATTAAATCAAAATCTCTGAGAAAATTGTTCATATCAAACCTCAAGGCTTTTGTATTCACTTCTAATTCCCTGTAAACCTTGTCCACACGTTCTTTTCACTTCACTAAGAAATCGTTCATGATCAGTAATCATTTTTAATGCACGTTTTATTGCCTCTTCAACACTTCTCCATGATACATTCATTGTATCCAATCTATCGTACATTCAATATTGCATGTGTTGAAAAATGCATGAAAAACAATGCCTTACTCAAGCTTTCGTTTACGTATTAAATCTTTCAATGACAACCAGCGTTGTTCAATTGATTGAATTGTTCGTTGTATTGAACCAATATTTCGTGGACGAACATCACTTTCACTCAATAAATTATGGCCAAGTGCAAGAACACTACTTATAACACTACTATGCTTTTCAATATCTGCCTCAATTGCCTAAAATTAAAAAAAATATTTTAGTAGAACAATTTTGGGTCTGCGAAATCCTTTGAAAAAATCAAGCAGCAGTAGGATCATATTTTGTTGTTACGTACAGCAACTGATTGTTGATGATTACGTAATTCATTGGCATTTAATTTATTTACTGAAACTGGTTTTTGCAGAGTTGTTTCTATCGTATCCATCCATGAACGAAGATTTTCTAAACCTTGATCAAAATCATGAAATGTTTTCATAATCATTTCAGTCTTTTTAATACTAAAAATAAGAGCAAACGAAAAGCATTGAGGTCTACTTTTGAATAAAGAATAATAACAAACCGTTTTTCAACATGTTCTTCTGCTGTGTTAAGTGATTGTTCTAATCGATCTGTTTGTTGTTTTATTGTCTGTAATTGCAGCTGATCAGTCACATTTGTTTGTAAAACACGTGCTGTTATCATTAAATCATTAACATTTCGTCGCTTATCACCAATTAAATTTCGTAATTCATTTTTCAACATATCAAGACTGGCTTCCAGTGTTAAACCGTCAATACGATGATTCATTTCAACATTAACAAAATGTTCGAACCATTCCAGAAGACGTTTAGATTTATTTTCAAAATCATGAAATTCTGATCGTTTTTTAGTTAAACCATCAGTTAAACTTCTTATAACACGTTCAGCATCAGCCCATTGAATTTCAAGTAAACTATCGAAAAAGCAATTTTGATAAATTATCGCGTTTCAATACTATCTATTTTTACCTCAACTTTTGCATTAATTGATTACTATCATCAGGATGTAATGAAGGAGAGATCTAAAGCAGATGTTTTTTTTTTGTTAAATAAAAATCTTGAAATCAAAACAAATTGATTTACTTCTGCCACTGTTTTTCGTATACGTTGTAATTCATGGCGATGTTGCGTTAATTCATGATCTTTATTCTAAATAATTTGTTATTCTCGTTTATTTTCAACGTTACTCATGATATGCTTTTCCTTACTTGACATTGTGAAATAAATTGATCAAGTTCATCAGCTGGCTGTTGTTGAAGCGCTCGTATGGATTTGATTAAAACGCTCAAATTATCCAATGTTCGATCAAGGTCATTGTACCGAACAAGTAACTATAAACAATAAAAATACCATTTTATTATACAGATAAAAACCGAAAGGAATTTTTTCAAATCCTTTTCTCCTTCTTGCACTAGAAAAAATATCAAATCCTCTATTCGATAGAACTTCTAATAAAAACAACCTATTAGAAGCATATGAGCAGGAATAACATATTGAGCATGGGATCTAGGTTAGATAGTTAAAATAAAGCTCATGCATCTTTTGAAGAATAAGAGCAAATCAATGAACATGCACAAACGTTGATATCTATCAAGAAATATTGTAGTATGAGCTGAAAATAAATGAGTAAAAATAATAATGCATAATACAGTATTTTGTTTTTAATTTTCTAATCTGACATAATCATGCGTTCGCTAATCTATACTGTTTACCTTCTCCTGTTGAAAAGCTTTTCGATACTAGAAAATAAATTGTATTAGCATTTTCAAGAAAAAAAGAAATCAACAGAAATCGATTGAATGAAGAGAGAATCAAATCCAAAATTCCTACCGCGATAAGTGCTTCCGATCTTTGATTAATATCAACATCAATTTCGTTAACGGATTTTTGTAAATCATGCCATTCTTTCTCTAAAATTGCCTGTGTTTTAACATCTGAATATGAAATTAATCGTCGATTTGTTTCGTAGAGTTTTTCTAATAGATTTTTTAATTCTTCATTGTTTGTTGCATTCAAATAAGTTCCTTGTTTAATTTGACTCAAAACACCGAGAGTTGGAGCCTGCAAATTTTCTTGCTCCAATTCATATTTACTTTTAAGTAAACGATAATATGTTTCTAAATAATTTTGATACGATAACCATAATTTAATTATGTCTTTTATTTCTTGTTGTTTATTCAAAATTGTTTTCATTATCGTTTGCCAACGTTGTTCAAGTTTAGCAAATGTATGCTGGTCGACAAGTAAATTTTGTTCAATTAATTGTTTACCTTCATTAGTCAATTGAATTAATTCTTGTTGTCGTTGATTAAAATCATTGATTATATTAGATAGATTTGTATCGATTTCTAATAAACCTTGATAATTCGTACGTGAATTGTGTTGTATAACAGTTAGATTTTGTTCAACAGCTTGAATATAATCATTCCATTTTTGGCAACGTTTATCAAAATTAAACTTATTATATTGATTGATTTCAAGTTGTTTTATACGATTTTTAATTAATTCAATTGTATGCGAGTACTCAGCCATAACTTCATGTAGATGTTTAGCTCGTTTAAAACAAGTAATAAATTCATTTGAATTTATACGTTCGATTAAATTGTGTTTAGCTAGTAGAAGTTCATGAAGTTCATTGAGTTGTTTTAAATTTTGAGCTTCATTTTCATCGGTTAATAATTGAGTTTTAAAAGCTGTTTGAGCTTGATTGATTGTTTGTGTCAATTCATGTAAATAATCTAAATAGATCTTTTCACGGTGTTTTAATTCGTTACAATCCGTTTGAAGTTTATCTTGAAGTGTACATAATTCAGAATATTGATTTTTAATAACCGAATATTGTGTATCGATCTTTTTGCCGACTATAGGTGGCAAATGATTGCCTAATTTTTGAGATCTTTCATATAATTTTATTATTTCTATATCAACTTGTTGAAGACGTTGATAGAAATCCTATGTTAAAATAAAAACCGAAGTGAAACGTACTCGTTAAGTTTTTGTTTTACTTTCGCTTTTTCTAGAAGTGTGTCGGTATCAGATGAAAATTTTTCTCGTTGAATTGTATACCATCTAGCTTCAAGTTCGCCAAGTCGATCGAGCAAATGAACATATGAACTATTAAATTGTCTCCAATTTTCAACTATTTCTCTTGATGGTCGAACTATTTCTTGTAGACGTTGTTCAACCATTGCCCATTGTTGTTGAATACGATGCGTAATTTCATTTATTTTTAATGATGTTTGTCCATCACATTGATTTGATAGTTGACGACCTTGAGAAGCAATATGTTCGAGATCATTTCGACGTAATTCCATGGCTTTTAAGTGATCCTAAACGATATAGAATAATCGTTAAATCAGAATTCTTTTCAAAAAGAAAAAAATGAATTCTTTTGTAATCGTAAAGCCATTTGTAAATCCTTTTTTTTATTACCTGAGCTTTCCTAGTACTCATTTCATATGTTTCAACATTCATTGCACTGGTTTGAACACGATCAATCTCGGCTTCAGCTTCACGCAAAAGTTTTTCCATTTGAAGTAAAGCACGATTATATTCTTGCCAATTGGTTACAATAGATTTAGATTTTAATTTCAATTGTTCAATGGATGGTGATAGATGATCAAGCATATGACGTAGAGTCTGTAGTGTACCCTCTTGCTCCGATATATGGAATGTTGTTGATGTCGATGACATGCGATTACTCGATGATTTTAACGACGATAGAATTTGTTGTTTAGATGTTAATTGATATTCAAGTTCCTATTAAAATTAGAGTCGAAAAATAATTTAAGAATACGAATAAGAAGATTTACATCGCATTTCCGTAGATTATCTTTAGCACCGGCTTCCATATTTCTTGAACGCATAAAGTCAAGATCAGATGTTTGTTCTTGAACCCAATCTGATAATGTACGAACTGTTTGATCGAATTCATTGAATTGATCACTTAGCTGTTCTAACGTCTACGAAAAAAAGATTGAAATCATGATTTGAAAACTTCTTTTTCAATTGAATTCTTTATTCTTACATCAATACGAGCTGAGATTAATGATTTTATTCTAATCCAATCAATATTAATTTGTTTTATTTTTTCCATATAATCAATACTTGTTACATCTATGTTGGCTTCTTGTTGAAATGATTCATTGAGAAAATCGATTATCATTTGATGATTAAGTACTTCAACGCGTATATCCTACAGAAAAAGGAAAAATAGATTGAAAAAAACGAGGAGACCTTCTAGACACGTAGGAAAATGCTAAATTTCAAGATCCGAACAATCGCTTTTATATATCCAACACAGCACCACAATTGCTAAATGCTACATTCGAAAATTTTATCGAGATTCATTTACCCGATATCGTCTAAGTAATTTTTGTAAAGTTTCTCTATTATTAATCGGTGCACCATGATCATCATCCAATAACCGTTTAATTGCATCAATAAACGAAAACATTTCTTTACAAGCTTGTCTCGATGGTAAATTATTGATAATATTTTGATGAAGAATATGTTCACTTCGCAAAATCTCTGCCTATAATAAACACGAAGACGAAAAAAAATCGTTATTTAGAAATTTTATAATAATTTTACTTTGAGTGCTGTCAATTTACGATGTAAACTTTCTAATGTTGCTTCTGTCGATTGTAAATCATATAGATTGTAACTTGCTAAATGCTTAATTAACGATTCTGTATTCGAGTAAATATCTCTGATGCTCTCAAGACGTTTTTCCACATCCTGAAAACGAAATGAACGAATTGAGAAACTAAATTTTAAAAAAAACTTTTACCATCATTCGTTCTAATTGAACTTTTAATTCACTAACGTCTCCGTCGTATCTCGTTCGAGATTCAATGGAACATTGACCTAATATATCTTCTAGATTAGCTATATTACGTTTAACATCATTCACAAGAATAGTTGCGCTCTTATGACTAAATAAAATAAAATAAACATTGAAAATATTAGGAAAAAAAACTCCATGTGAAAGTATGAATCTTACCTATCGCATTTTTCTCTAACATCCGTCCATATTCGAATAAAATTATCTTTTACATTGATGATATCATTTTGTAGTGAAACGCCATTAAGTTCTTTGCAGAGATTTTGTATTTCATCATTCAAATGTAATAATTCTGGTTCAATAACAATCAAACGTTGTTTCAAATCCTGTAAAAAAAATCACATTTATTTAAATGAAAAAAGCAAGAAACTCCATCCGAGATGCGTAACTGTTCAAAACGATTGACTAATTTCAGAGCATTAAAAAGCTACTACGAACCTTAAAAAGAACAAAAGCTGCTTGAATTTGTTCAAAATGCAGCAATCGTTTGGTTATCGGTAATTGTTGTTGTATTCCATCGATTAGATGTCGAATACCATCAAGTCTTAGTTCATATTCTCTCCATACATGCAACAAATGTTCATAATGTATTGTTTGTTCAATAATTCTATCTTGTAAATCGTTCGAACGTTTTTCTAAATCAAGATGTTGTTTTAAATAACGTGTCCGTGTATCAGGATCCAATTGATCGTAGAGAATATTTAATTGATGACGTTTTTCATCGAGCTGTTCATTTTGAGCTTTATGCTCAGTTAATTGACGAGCATATTGATCACTTGTAGATGCAACTTGAATCGAACGACTAAGACGTTCCATGGTTATGTTAAATAGATCTTCGAATAATTTGCATTCATTCAAATAAATGTCTCGACGACGTTCAGCGTGAAGTAAATATTGTCGACGTTGTTCAAACTAGAAATGAAGAGAAACAACAAATTTCATACGATTACAATAAACAAAAATACTTGTTCTTTCAAAAACGTAATCATAGATTGAAGTAGATGAATTTCAGATGGCAATGCCATCGAATTGCCATCATCAATACACATCGTTTGTCCGTGTTGTTTTAAATGTGATAATTCATCTTGATATTGATTTAATTCTTGATCTTGCATCTAGACAAGCATTTCAATTTTGAAGATAAGGAAATGAATAGGCACGCGAAATAAATCTTACTCGTATAGAATGAAGTTGTTCTTCAATAGAATCTTGTGTATTAGCTTTTCGTTGTTTAAATGTATTTAATTTATCTTGTAATAGATTAATTTCATCCATATATAAATGCCATTCACGTTCACGTTGACGTTTACGTCGTTCTCTTTCTTCATTTTGATTTTCAAACTTAATCATTTGTTCATCAAGCGATCTAAGCGCATCTTCGATTGACTAGAATAGGAAATATTTATTTTTTTTACACCAAGAATCATTGAGAAATATTCATGGTCTCACTCTGCCAGGTGTTTGATGATCATGCTGTACAAGTGAAGAAAGTTTACTTAGTGATTCTTGATACGTACGCTGTTTGCGTTGCTGTTCATCTACATCCTATTGGAAACGTGATTCAACATGCAATTAGTTTCATGCAAATGAAATACACTAGATAGTTGAGATAAATCATATTAATTACACAGCAAGGAGAAGTGCTAAAATGTTGTAACTTTCAAATTGCGAACACTATTTTTTTTACGAAGAGGCTCTCTCGGAATATTCACCATGAGACATAATATAGATGTAGGTCTGAAAATGTGCCTAAGAGATTGAGAATTTTTCAGATCCTAGTGATAGTAACTTTGACAATTTGTTGATCAACAACAAAAGTTAGCTAATTGAAATATAATTGAGAAAGATTTTCGTTAGTATTTTCTATTCTAATTTTGAAAATTACAAGATTAGTTCTTTTGTAAAGATAACTGCAATTTCTATGCATGCATCGCTAAGTCACTATCTTACTTTGATTGTTTTCTTAACAAATGTTGTTCTAGTTTCAAGTTCTACGATTGATTCGGCAAATCGTTCTTTCAAGTGTTCGATTTCTTGACGTAATCTTTGTAAAATATCGTTTGGTAAATTTGAACTATAAAAAAAATATCTTTAAAGCAAATCAAACTTTCCCGTGCAGGCGACTGCTAGAATTCTCGAGTTTTTCACCGCCAAAAACGACTCGCATTGTTTGACCTAAGAAAGTAAAATTTATCTTTCTAACCTATTGATAGTTCTAAGTAATAGATCGATGTCATTCGATCTTTCATCGATGTAGTGACGTTTTTCAAGTAAACGTGCATGTTCTCGTTGAAGAGATTCTATATCACGTTTATCAGTTAATGGTTCATATCGATGAGTTTCTTTGAGCCATTCATATAATGATTCAATACGACCACGATAATCTTTTTGTTGTCGGTATTGATTTTCGAATTCCTTTAAAAAAAAGAGTTGCATGATAATTTTAATTAGAATAAAATGATTTGCCTCTTGTTTTCGAGTGACATTTATTTTTATGCGTTCAATATTTCCAATTAGCTGCTGAATAGGAATAGCTATTAAATGAATAATTTGTGGATAATCATGTGTCAATGAGTTAAGAATAATTTTTCGTTTATCTAATTCAACTTGAATATCATGATAACGTTGTAATTTTTCATCGACTGTTAAGGTTTGCTCGGAGATTGAATCATGAGTGCGTTCGATATTTTCAAGCCAGTGTTCATAGAATAAAAATTGTTTATTAAATTCATTTAATTGAAAATGCATCTTTTGACTTAAGTCTAAACGTTGTTCAAGAGTTTCACGACTCACCGTCATATCATTCAAGAGTCGATCAACTTCATTTAGCTGCAAGAAAAAAAGAAATATATAGAATATCAACGAACATCATAGGATCTATTCTTGTAAAAGAGAGGCATCATAGCACGAAACTATCAAACGTTTTAATCTACATTGGAATATTGTGCCACTGTTACGAATGCATCCTAAATCCATTGAGCTATTTTTGCTTGAACGAAGATAATATCAATCGAAACGCTGATTTCTATATTCTTAGCGAAATAGTTTATGAATATAAATTGTAATCAATTAGATAAATTGGAAATTTTCGTATTCTGCTATTACGTTGATTTTTCCTTTTTTGTCTATACTAAAAATCGTACCTTTTGCGTAGCTTCTGCTGTTCGATTTGTTTGAACTAATCGATTAATTCTAGTTCTTAACTTTTGTAGATGTTCAAATGACGTTTGATATTCAAAAAGAACAGTTTTAGCTATTGGAATAAGTTGATCAAATGTTTCCACGTTTCTGGCATTAGTTAAATCATTTATTAAATCTCGTGTTTGTTTTAACCATCGTTCACAAGTCGTACTAATATTGTGAAATAAATCCGAAAGACTTCGCATTTCTTCCATATTTTCTTCTTCACTAATTATATCTTGTTCAAGCTGTGTCCATCGACGTATGACGTCATTAAGACGGCGTCTTACACGTTCACGTTCATTTGTATCAGTTATTTGCGCTGATAATGTTGATGAAAGTAATTGTAAACGATCGATCAATGCACGATGCGTTTGCATTTCATTTGTTAGATCCTTCGAAACAAAAAATAAATGTTGAATAGAAGTTAAATTGTTTTTTCTTAGTTCATACTTTTAATAAATCTAAATTATGTCGAAGATCACTACCATGTGATTGTTGTGTTTTGGTTTCAATTATTTGAAGTATTCTCAAAATAGTTTCCATCATATTTTCATATTCATCACGTATTACATTATAAGCATTGAGTTCCGATTCTTTTTCATCAAAACGTATTTTGATTTCAGTCATATCTTCTAAAACTCGTGTAACCATTTTATCTAGATCATCAGTTGGACTTCCAAATAAACGTTTATAATCAGTTAATGATTGATCAAATAATGCGAAATTTATCGATAGATCGTCATCGATTTTCTATGGTGAGAAGGAAAATAAATGATTTTTGAGTTAAAAAGTAAACGAATAAAACAAACTTTAAGTTTCTGGTCGGCTTCATCATTGATAGATGGACGTAATTCAATCAGTTGAACTTTAGTACGTTGAATTATGGATAACATTGCACGAGCATTTTGACGTAGTTTTTCTTGTTCTTCAGCTTGTTGATCGAGAGTTTGAACTGTTTTTGTCGTCTCATCTTTTAGACTAAGAAAGAAAAAAGTGTTTGATTAGCTGTAAGAAACATTTAATTGAATTACTTTAGAAGATCATGTAAAAGATCTTTTCGTCTCTTCTCTAATGCTAAAATTATTTCCTGATCACATTTTCTTTCAGCTAGCGTTGATATTAAATCGTTGACTTCGGATAAATGTGATGTTTCCAAGTCGACATCTTTTATAAAACCCTTGATAACGAAACAAAATATTATATTAAAGAAAAGAATATATGACGAAAAGACAACTGTCGAACTTCGAAATTTTGTTTTTATTAAGAAATTCAATGGTATACCTTCACTTCTATTGATCGTCTCGTCAGATCAATGCTACCATAGCCGCTATCGATACTTTGATTTAATTCTTGCCGTTTGCGATTTGTAAATGTTTTGACTTTGTTTAGTATTCTTTCAATGCGATCGCGAAGACCTTCATTTTCCTAAAGATAAAAAATTTCATTTATTTGTTTCAGAAAAATAAATTCCAAACATACTTCATGAGACTTTTTAGCTCGATCAAAACTATCTCGAACGCATTCCACTGACGTAGCCATGTCTTTCAATGCTCGGTCAATATCTGATGAACTCGATACATCTAATGATTTCTTTAAATCACGCCCAAGATATTGCAGAGCTGAAAATGTTGAATCAATTTCTAAAATAATTGTTTCCGCATTCTATACAAAAAAAAACCGAAACAATGATTTAAATATTCTCTTCAATAATTAAAATTTCTTTTACATCAGGTGTTTTTTCAATGGCATGCAGAACTCGATCAGTTTCAGCTCTCAAACGAATAATGCTTGCATCGAATCGAATCGATTTTTGACGAACCTCTTCTAATTCTTTACGACGTTGATGAATACGAGTTTCTAAAAGAATATAATTTATTCAATAAATTAAACAATTCTCTCGATATGTACCAAGATCTTCAATAGTTTGATGAAAATTTCTCAATTGACTATCACATAATTCTTTAGCATTGTTTCGTAAATGCGGTCGAAATACATCAACAAGTTTATGTGCTTCAGCTAAACGATCTGATTGTTCATTACATAATTGCTCCAAAAACTAAAGAACAAAATCAAAAGATGAATCGAATACACAAATAGCAACATTTACATATAATTCTCGTTCGTGTTCATCCAGTCGACTACGATCATATCCATCAAAAAATGGTGCTAATTTAAAATCAGCATCACTAAAAAAACAACCACAATAAGTAATTCAATTCGAAATTTCTACAATATTCTTACCAAATAGCTGCTTTAATATCTGCAGTTAATTTAAGATATTGAGTCATACGTTGATGAATATCATCAAGGAGAATACGTCGTTTATTTAGATGATTCTATTAGCAAGAGAGAGAGAGAGAAAGAGAGAAAATCAAAATGAATGAAATAAATCTGTATGAAATTCAAAAGTTTATTTTTCTATGATTTACTTTAACTTGCAGTTTGAGTTCTTCAACAGTATTTAATCTTTCACGGATCTCTTTATCATTTGAACTTATAAGATTCGGTTCGTCGCGAAGTGCTTGATCAAGTCTTAACAAACGTTGATCAATAGATGCATCGAGTTGCTAAAGAATTTTATATTTAATTCGATTTTGAACATGACTAAAATACAAAAACTTACTGCCATTGAATCTTGAATATCATTCACATTATTTAATGATAAATTAAGATCGATGGGCTGCGTTAATTCATGAATAAGCCGTTTAAACCAATCATTAATAGAAATTAATTCTTCATTAAGTTTATTTTGTGTTTTAACCATCTGTTCATGTTCGCCACGTGCTTGTTGACAGGTTCGAATCAGTGTTTGAAGATGTTCTTGACTTTGTTCGATTTTACTTTGTAGTTGTTGATATTGTGAACGTGGAATTTCATGTTTTAAACGTTCAGAAAGTTGAATTAATTTATTTAATGCATGTTCATTTTGTTGTAAACGATCAAAAACAGTCTAAATAAATATGGAAACTTCGGATTTCATTCGAGAGTTATGTGTACTGCAAAAATGAATGGGACATACGAGTCATTCTAGAATGTCTGAACACGAAAATTATCATGAGAAACTAGGCAATTTGATTCTTGGATGCAGTTTTTGTGCATTTTGAGACGTTTTTCAGGCGATGTTTCGTTAGAAATTGTGAATAATTCTGGGGAAAAGGTTTTTTTTTGAAAAATCCCTGTACCCCCTCAGGGATGGTCTGGTCAAAAATGACAATTTTTTCGATAACTCAGCCATCACTTGACGGGTCCTTCTCATCTTCGAACTCGACCGAGATATTGATGAGATCATTCTGTGTACAAAATTTCATGGTAATTGGATGAGGCTTTCGAAAGTTATCGTGCCTACGGCCGGCCGGACACACTGACCGATTCTAGAGTGTACTCACTTTTTGAGTATACAAAAATACAAGAAGTCCACGCTAGCTCAGGAGACTTCTCTTAGAAGAAAAACAAAATCTAACCTGATAAGCATTTCCTTTATCAGGTTGATGTTGAGCAGATCGCAATTGTTCCGATGAAGTTTGCAAATATAATTCAATTTCTTTTTCTAAATTATGAAAATCAATTTCAGTTTGTAAAGCTCGTTCAATTCTTTCGATTTCAGTATGAATTTGTCCTTCTAGATTTTTTAAATTTGCATTTAATTCGCCACCGGCACGAAAATCAATTCGATGTCCTTTACTAGTTAATAAACGTTGGATCCGTGTTAAATCTTTCAAACTATTATTTATTTCGTCAAGACGTTTTAATAGTTGTTTGAATTGTTCTAAACGTTTTTCAATAGATGTAGAATCATCGTAGCGACTATCTTCAATGCTAGCAGATTTTTCTTTTAATTTTGTGAAATCATTTTGTAATTGTTGATAAAACTCGTGAACATATTCGTTTTGTCTATCAAATTCATCGCGTTCGCCTTTAAAAGAAAATCCAAATAGAACCGTATTATGATCATATTCAAATGCTAAGATAACTCAACTTACGAGTTGCTTCATCGAGTAATACGAGACGTTGAGAAAGATTATCAGACAAACGATTATATTTTTCTTGAAGTAAAGTATATTTTTCATCCAATGTAATTCGATCGGTATCATTCAATGTTGATGAGATCATCGTATAGATACGTGTTAAATCATCAAAATCATTCGTACGATCTTTCGTTGATTGAATTAATGCCTAAAAACAATTGAAAACTGCTATAGTCCAATAAGGTGAAGGCGTGTAGTTAACTTTTTCTTAGTTGGGTTCTTAGAAGGAAAATTAAAGAAGAAAATAGGAATGTTAAATAGTAGCGATAACTTTAAATCTTTGTCATATTCGACTATTTTTTTTTTCAAAATTGAATAGACGAATATTTATTTTAGAGCAATCCGGTAGATAAGATCTTGGATCGAGTCTAAGAAAGGATGAAAATATTACTTCCTGTCCTGAGACATGGATAACTATTTCAAATAGGCCTGTAACAGTTTGTGAAACGAGAACTGGGCTAATTGAATAAAACCAGTCACCGGCAACATGAAAACAAAGAAACTGATTGAAATAAAGTATGAGATGGCTTCTATTTCGTTGATACACTCAAGGTCTGATATAGAGAAAGAGCTCGAGTTTTCTCTGCAACTCTTTCTGATTAGTTCACCAACATGGAAACCGTATGGTACGGTTTTGTCAATACTCAATATATTTACTTTTCTTTCTTGGTAAATCGATAATAGTAAAACTTGTTCTTACTTCAACAGTTCGATATCTTTCTTTGAGACCACTAGTCGTTTGTTGAAGATCATTTGTTAGTGGATCTTTAATTTGTTGTTCAGTAGATTTAATCAATTCGTTAAGTTTAGTCATAATTCTTTCGAATTCTCGTCGTAGTTCATTAGCAACATTTAATTGTCGATTGCGATCATGAATTGATTCTTCCAAAGAATTCAGTTTACGCACTAATTCTACAAAAAATCAATTAACAAAATATGTAAAAATCATTCTAGGAATTATTACAAACCATCGATGTGTAAATTCACATTACTGTGGCCTTCACGTGAACAACCTTGTTTGATTTCTTCGCCTAATTTAACTACACTATCTAGTGTTATTCGTCGAAATTTTAATTCGTTTAATGTATCCTATGAAAAATAGTAGCAAATATTTTGTTTATTTATTCATTCTACGAATTTTACATTAAATTTCTTTTGAATTCGTTCAATTTCATTTGTTTTCAATGGAATCATTTGATCAGGTGAGATTAAACGTTGTTTATCTTCATACCAAATAATTATATCTTGCGATGCTTGATCTAAACTTTGACGTTTATGAAGTAATCCATTCAAATGTTCTTTTCGTTTTTCGATTTGCTCGAGTAATTGTTCAATTTCAATCTAAAATAAAAATAAAATATGACCTTAGAAAACAATTTAAAAATAGAATTTTCTACTTGAATTTTATTGATCAATGTTTCTGCATGTTGCCGTTCTTCATTATTCAAATCCGGTGCCAATATCTTGTATTTAGCGCGTAGTGCATTTAAATGCGTTTCTTCACCTTGCACCTCACGATTAAGATTCTAAAAATGTTGGTTTCAACTATTGACCGCACCAGAAAAAAGGAGCTTTCGAATTTTCAAAAAGTATCGTTTTTATTTTCCTCATATTCGTAATCGCCTATTCGAGTTCTATGCCCATTTATAATATATATATATATATACGTATATATATATATATACGTATATATATATATATGTATATATATATAATGTGTGTGTGTGTGTGTGTGTGTGTGTGTGTGTATAGATATATGTAGGTGTAAAGTGAAAATAAGAATGATTAAATACATTAAAGCGCACTTAGTGGAAGCGTGACATTAGTATAAAGCGAACACAAATTCCTACATACGGTTAGTTGGCAGCGGAACACCACAGTTGCTGTGTTATTATCTAAAATAAGAGAGAAACGAGGGAGAACAAAGCCTGACATGGTAGGATGAATGACACACACGCACACACACACACACACACATTATTAGGGTTGCTAGTGAACTAGACTGACACAAAACAAAAATTAATCAGTCTACGTGCAATTTGTTTTTAAATATTCTATTTCTACTATGACAAAAACACGGGCATTCAGTGAATTGGCGATTTTACAGTATTTAATTTTCTGTTGTACTTTTTTTGTTTGAATATTTTTAACTAACACTTACATCTATTATTAGAAGATCATCAATTGTTATTTCTAATAAACGTCTTTGTACGGAATCTTTAAATGCACTCATGTTTAATTCGAATAATTTGAGATTTTTTTCAAAATTTTTATATTCTGTTTGATGTTCGATTGATAATTGTTCAAAGTAAGTTACACGTTGTTTTAAATCAGCTATTTGATGTTCAACAGAACTAGAAACGAAAATATTACATAGTTAAGCAAAATAAAGTTTCTAATACAAACCGTATATGAATTGCATATTCATTACGATCGGTTTCATTTAAATTTAGGTGAAGTCCACTGAAAGCATCATTACATTTTTTTAATTGTATTTCTTCGTGACCGATATTCGTATTTAATCTCTAAAAAAAAACAATAAATTTACTCGTTTAGAATGCGAGCTATATTTTCGCGAGGTTTTACTTGAAGTTCTTCAATATCATTTGGTGATAATCGATAATTTTCAAGATTTGTTCGAAGAACTTTAACATTTTTATTAATCATTGTAACTGTTTGATCAAGTTGTTGAACAGTTATTTGTACTTGTTGACGACCATTTATTAATTTGTTGATATCGTCTGTTGCACTTTCGAAATCTATTATGATTTGTATACGATTTTGTTCAAACGACGGATTATTATTTATTGTCGATTTTATTCCTTGGACTTGTGACAATTTTAATTGAGTTTCATTTGATAAATCACTCAATCGATTTAATGTTTGATCATACTGAACAGATACTGGTTCAATTGAGATCAAAGCTAGATCCCGCATAGTATCGATTAACCAACATGCAGAAGATTCGAGTAATTCATTCTGAGCTTGTTTTTCAACGAGAATAGGACGAATTTTATCTCGTTGTTCTTGACTCTAAAGAAGTCAAACAGATGCTATGTTCAAAACAGAAATAAAATTTAGCGAATTTTCGTACTTGAAGGGCAACCGTTTCTAAATGTTTTTGAATCTCAGTTAACCCAGATAAATGTCGACTGTCTGTATTCGATATAATTGATTGAAGTTTTGCACGAATATTTTGAATGTAAGTATTTATTTCCTGAGGAAAAAAATAAGATTATTTAAAAACTTGATTTATAATTTTACTTCATATGCTTGATCAAGTGTTTGCAAATCGTCCGATTCAGTTGTTTGATTAATAACTTGTTCTAAATGCATTACTTGTTGTTGTAGATTTCTAACTATTTCATCCTGTTCTTGTCGTATTTCTACGCCAGTTAAATAGATAGTCTAGAAATAAAGAAGTCGACATTTAAACGATTCGAAAAAATCAATGAAATGAAGTCCATACTTCATTATTTTTTATAGCATATTCAAATGTTTCGCGATTTTGTTCATTTAATTCAAGTGCTGATTTAATTGATCGACAGAATTGTTTGTATTGAGAATAATCATCAAGTAAACGATGGCCGACTATTATGGCTGCGCCAAACGACTGTAATATTTCTTCTGATTCGTGTTTTATTGTCTATATCAAAGCGGGAAAAAAAGAAGTAAAAACTAAGAAATATGCATTGGCTAACCATATAATCTTCGTCGGATATAGAAGCATCAGGTTGTTGTGCAAGAGATATAGCATTGGTTTGCGTTTGTGTCATTTCAGTAAGAAACTCAGTATATTGAGCAAGAAGAGATTCTCGTTGATTAATTTCATTCTAGATACAAGAAATTTAATTATGAATTCAATAATATAGGAATCAGAGATGCCACCAGGCGGCCTGCAGGCCAGCAAAAGAAGTTTTTTTAAGCTGTGGCCTCGCTTGATCCGTCCATATAATATTGAACCAGGTTAACAGACTATGCCAACTCAAAGTTATTGGCCTGATTCAAGTCTTTTTTTGTATGTTCTTTTTGTATCAATTTAATAGTAAATTAATAAAAAAAGACAAATTATCATCAATAGTTTTCATACAAAAAAAGACTTGAATCAGGCCAATAACTTTGAGCTGGCATAGTCTGTTAACCTGGTTCAATATTATATGAACGGATCAGGCGAAGCTACAGTTAAAAAAAAAATTTTTTTGCTGGCCTGCAGGCCGACCTAGTGGCATCTCTGATAGGAATCATCCATAATGAAAGTGTGCCGTAGCAAGACGAACACATCAAACATTTTAACTTACAAGAATTGCTGATTTCAATTGCTGGTTATCATATAGTAAACGTTCAAGTTTAGTCTCATTTACTGGTACATCTTTTTTCGTGTACGTTAATGTATCAATCATTGAATTTGTTTTTGTTTCGATTTCACGTTGTAGATTTTTTAATATTTGTATTTGTTGACTGAGATTATCCGGTGAAATGTTATGATTATTTTCAATAAATTGTTGAAATAATGCATGTTGCTGTTTAATTGTATTTTCAACTTCCTGACAACTATCATCATATTTGCTCACGTTGATTTGTATTTGTCGAATAGTAGATATTATTTCGACAAACGATAAATCACATGTTTTCAATTGGCCATGATAATGTCGTAGAAGTTCAGTTAGCATTATATTATCTTCATCAGTAGTTATTTTTCTTAAATCATTTTGTAAAACTTCAATAGATTTTAAAATCGTATAACCTTCACCCATGGCATTATGTTCGCTCTAAAAATGAAATAAAATTTTCGCCTCGAGAAAGATTTTTAAATACTTGAATTCGAATTATTTGCGATTCAAGCGATGAATAATCGTTTCCTAGTGGTATTTGAATTAAAGTGGAACATAGTTTTTGTTTCAATTCAAGCCAATTGGTTAATTGTTCAAGAAGATTATGACGTTCTTGCTTTTTATTGTGTATCATATCAAGATATTGAGATGTTTCCTAGAAAACGTTATAAAATAATTAACAACAGCAACAACAAAATTGAGAAATGTTTACTTGGATGAGTCGTGCAACACGTTGTTTACGAAGTTGAATATCTTTTATTTGTGTTTGTTGTTGTGGAACTGAATATTCTTGTTCCAATGATTTCGATTGCATAGAAACATCATCAATTGTAGACTCAATAGCTTCGAGCATGATTTGTACTTCCTAAAGAAAAATTGAGATAAATTATTCATGATGAAAGTCGTTCGATTATAGATATTACTTGTAATTTCTGCTCGAGTTGATGTTCTTTCATAGATACTCTATCTGTGAGTTGGTTTTCACAAATATTCAAATCTTCAATAATTGAATGAATTCGAGTTTGAAGATTGTTTTGTTCGGCAAGTCCTTGTCGAAGATGTTCGATTTGATTTGTAATATTCGATTCAATTTGAATTATTTCTTGTTTGATTTGATCTAATCGAATGTTGTATTGACGAACTAAGCCAGCATCTTGAAATTGTTCAATAATGTTTTCAATTTCATTTTCGAGATTATGCATTGTTTGCAGATAATTGTTGGATGATTTTTGATAGACTTCGAATGCTTCATTTGTTAATAGAGAAGAAAATTTCGGTGAACGATCAAATTCAGTTTGTAGAGTTTCAATTAACCGATCGACTTTATTTTGAAATGATGTTGTTTCGTTTTCTTTTTCGAGAATAGATTCGATTTCATCTCTTAATGTAAGTATATCTTGATGTAATTGTTGAAAGCGCTCATAAATAAATGTCGACGTAGCTTTACTCGAATGTTCAATAATGTTTAATTGTTCTTGAATTTGAATTCTGTAAATATTCAATTGAACAAGTTGATCCGTCGGCGAACGTTGGTCAGGTTCGGGTGTAAGCAATCTCGATCGGCTATCAGCATATTGTAAAATATTGACGATACATTCATTGATTTGTTCATTTAGTTCGTTATAATTTGCTACCATTTGATTCAAAGATTTATATTCATTGATTAAACGATTGAAAGCAATATGTTCATCGTTGGTTTGTGATCGTAATCTTTCGAGTTTGCTTTTCAATTCTTCGATTGTATTATTGTTAGAAATTTGATTGAAATTTTTCGATAATTCTTTCAATTGTATTTGCATTTGTTCGATTTGTTGAAATAGTTGAGCTAAATTTTCAAAAGTTGTTTCATTATCTAATTGTCTTTGATAGGAAATTTTATTAAGAGTTTCTTCTTGTGAATTTAAACTGTCGTCCATTGATTTTATGAACAGTTTCAATCGTTCATCTTTAAGTTTGCTTTCTGTTGTTTGTTCGATTTCTTGATTAATTTGATTTAATCTAAGACGATATGTTGTTTGCAATTGAGATAAATCATATTCAATAGTTGTATCCAAAAAGAATAGATTATCGTTCGGTGTCAGAATTGAAAAACGAGTTGATTTTATTTGTAAAAGATAATCAATATGGTCTTGTAGAAGGAGTAATTCATTTTGAATGTCCTAAAAGCAAAAGTTTAGAGAAAAATTTTAACGATTTGAAGAAAACAAAAAGTTACTTTTAATGAATCAAGTTCATGATTATTTTGTTGATAGAGTTCAATAATTTGATGAAACGATGAATATGTTGTATCAAAACGAAGTTTAAATTCGAGCCATGCTTGTTGTTTGTCCAGACATAATGAGTGAATGGTTGAGAGCTGATTTTCTAACGATTGCAATGCGTCAAAAAGAAATTGATTTTCGTCCAGCAATTTATGTTGACCATCGGACGCTGTAGCTTTTTGAACACGAACGAGAATTGGTTGCAATTCATCGTAGCGTACTTTTAAGCGCTGGACTTGCACAACTTTCGACTATAGAAAGATTTTAAGAAAATAAAATTAAACAGTATTTAATAGCTCTTCATTCATAAATTCTGCTCAAAGATTCAATCGGGTGATATGTTGTGACGAAGGCTAAATAGTTTCTCGGCAGTCAACAAAACTCTTACCTCAACTAGTTCCCTTGCTTTTTCAATAGTCGAAATTGGTTGTTTATCAAGATTACATAATTCCGTAGTAACATCCGCGATGAATGATCTGAGTGTTCGTGCACTTTCACCATAATTAAAATGTTCATTAAAAATTAAATTTGAATTATCAACTTGTTCCTATTTGTCAAAAGAAAACGGCAACATTCGAAAAGGTTCTTTTTTCTCATTTCTTTCTCTTTACTTTAAATTCGCAAAGCATTTGTTCATGCTGAATTTTAATTTCACTTAATGCTAGAATGTTTTCTGTTGATGTTTCACATTCGCGTTCAGCATCATGAATTAATTCTTCAAGAAGATTTTCAACGATTTGAAGATCGTTGTAAACCGTCTGAAAAGAGAGAAAGGTTTTTGTTAAAATTAAAATTAAGTTTGCGCTTCCTGTAATTCAAAACTAACCACTGCTAATTCGGCACGTATACGTTTATCAGATACTGAATTGGGTATTTCATTTCTTAAATGATTAAGATCAGTTTCATATAAAATGAGTTTACGTTTTATTTGTCGAATATTATCATCGATTTTAACGTTGATTGATAATGAAACATTAATGCGTTCCTTTTAAAAGAAAATTAGATGTTTTACGTTGAGAAAGGAAGAAAATTCTCGAGTCTCTATGAATACAAACTCGCAAATGATTGACTTTTTGTTCTAAACTTAGATGAATTTCTTTTAAATTATTGTAACGTTCTTGAAGATATTCTGTTGCTTTGACATCAGAAGATAATAGAAGATTGTGATCAGATAACTTTTGTAAATCAATTATAATTGATCGTTGAATAGTTTGATATTCCTTTAGTGAGAAAGACAAGTGTGTTTTTATTTATGATAAAAATATATTTTCATCATTTTACATTTAAATATTGACGTGTTTGAGAAGTAAAATTATCTCCAGTAAGATTTGAACATTGTTCAATATCACGCAGTATTGTTGTAAGTCGCTTTTCGAGAGTATCATGTTCGTTGATTGCAAAATTAAATCGTTCAACTAATTCTTCGAATTGTTGAATTGTTAACTTTAAAAAAATATAATAAAGAAATTCCATAAAGGGAGTAAATAATAAATCAAATTTACATTGAATTGCTCCTTGAGTTTATTGCGCATTTGAGTTAATTGTTCCATTTGATGTCGTAATCGTGGTTCATTGCTAAGAATAAGATTTAAATCTTTCGCTATTGAAAGATTATTTTCAATTGTTAAAGTTAAAGAATCGAGAATTTTAACATGTTCAGTCTATAAATAGGAATCAAAAACGAATACGAAATTTGAAACGTAAGAAAATTTTACTCTTAATTTTTCAAGTTTATCATTCGATATTTGTGTAGAATCATTGCGAATATCGGTTAATGTTGCAATGAAATGTAAGCATTTTTTTAAATGTATATCACAATCTTGGATAAGATTTTGAGTTTGATTACGAATTTTCTCTGAAAAAAGAACACGGGTAGTTCAGTTTTTAATAAGAAAAACGTTATAGATTTACCTGTTTCTTGCAGACATTTATTTAAATGTTCTCGAAGATCATTCCAACGTAAATGGTACTGTTGAACACTACGAAGAATATTATTTTGACTTGACTGGTCTAATGATTCAATTGCTTGTCTTGCGTCTTGTAAGAGATTTTCAATATATTCATGTATATTTAAATTCAATGCTAGATTTTTCGAGAATTCATCTAATTGAAGTAGAGTATGATATTGTGTTATTTGTTCGTAATCTTTAGTTGTTTTAGTTAATGTATGTTCTAGTTTTTGTTGGATTTCAATCCATTGTTTTAAGGAATCGTATTCCGCACGGTATTTATTTTCAAGAGCCTTTAAAAACATTCAAATAGAAGATGTGTATGTAAAAAGAGAACATAGTTTATTTCATCTTACTTTAGCTTCATCATTCAGTTGTTCTTGTTTAACATTGATTCGTTCGAAATCACTGAGAAATTCAGATATATTCGGTTGTAAACGATCGATCATATCGGCTAATTCTCGAAGATGACCATCATTTTCATGTAAGATTTCTAATTCAGTCTGTAGATTAAGAAAAAAGATAAAATAGTTTGATTTGATCGAAATTAGAACGAATAGATAGACATCACGCTGGCATAGAGCAGCTAAAGTGTGTTTTGCTTAGAAATCTGCTTTCTTGATATCGTTCAACATCAATCGACCATTTAATGTCATCTGCTTCGAAGACAACAAAACATCATAATCAGCTTGCTGACACGATTTAAGTCATCATCAACAAAGAAAACACTAGCAGAGTTGCATGCGAAACGAATTTACTCATACGTCACTCGAAAAGTCAGCCCTGGAAACGAGATGCAACGGTATAAACCGGTATTCTTGAAGAAATACTGTTATGCGGCAATGAATGAAGTTTAGGTAAATAAAATTCAGGTTGAAAAATACGAATCTGTAGTCAGCTTCTCAAAAGCAGCTTTTTACTAAAGATCAAACCTCTCAAGAACATTTATTGCGACGTCATCGGTGATATTCCGCAAAACTGTTAACAGATTCAGACTCTGAAATCTCGCTTTCCGTAAGTCAAACTCTATAGATCTTTCATAGTTTCATAGGAATTCGTTCTTTTCACCACCACTGATTAATCGTCACTGTTGCATCACGAGTCCTAGTTCTCTACGAACAATTATCTACCTGTACGCGAATCAATCGTTCTTGTTTTTCATCTGCATTTGTTGTTACAACTAAATCATGGATTTGTTTTAGTTTCCGTTCTACGTTTGTATGTGACTCGGTAATTTTCGTTGCTAATCGTTTAATATCATTCATACGTTGTAATAGATTATCTAATTGATTTTCAATTGTATTAGCTCGTTGAAAAATATGTGTTTGTCGAGTTTGCATTGTTACACAACTTTGACTAGTTAAGCAAAAGTTTAAAAATAGAAAAAAACTTTAAAATCATATATGTTACCGGAAAAAGTGTGTATTTTCCACTGAATCTATCAACGATTCGGTTACTTCATTCAATAAATTAGCTTCTCGTTGAACGACAGGTTGATTATTAATCAACGATTCTAAAACATTTGATGTGGTTTGAATAGTTTCAGCTGACAAGGATTTCTGATTATCATTCCATACGTCAACATCATCGATAATTTTATTTAGATGTAATTCACATTCATCAAGTAATTGATTGTAGGTATTCATTTGTTGAGAATATAGCGAATATTTGGTTTGACCATCGGTTGCTTTGCGTAACAACTCTTTCAATAAGAGTTTTAATCGTTGTATAAATGCTTGTAAATGTTGTAAATGTTCTAATAGATCTGTTTCTTGAGTTCGTTGAGATAAATCAGTTGCAAATCGATTTAGACTATTTAGTTTACTTTCAATCAAATCTAAGTCATTTTTCATATTCTAAAATAATGAAAATAAATCAACGAGAAAAAAACAGAACAAAATAATTTTACTCGTAAAACTTCAGCAGGTGTTTGTCCATCATTTTGAACTCGAATATTCATCATTTTCAATGATGACTCTAGATCAGTAAGTTCATATGACAATTGTTCACTTTCTTTTGAAAATGTTAACCAATCAGTAATACAATTTTGTAATTGTTGTTCGATCTAAAAAATACATTAAGAAAATGAAATTAACTTTATTTAGTTTTTGTTTTGCTGTATACCTTGAGAATAGTTGTGTTGATTTGATGGGATTTAACTTGTACACGTTCCCATTCACGACGTATAGATTGTTTACCGTTTTGGCCAACTAACGTGAGCACTTGACTTGTCATTTGTTCGATGTCTTGTAACGAATATGTCAATTCGCGATAGTTGTTTTTAATGTCCTATAAAAAGGAAAACTTTTAATAGTTGTACACAAAACAAAACAACAGAAACTAACCATTAACTTTTTCATTTTGTCTTCAAGTATTTCTTTGTCACCGTAGGTATCGGAAATCGGTGAAAGTTGATTTTGAATTGTTTGAAGAGATTGTTGTAGTAGTGAACAATCGTTTGTAAATTTTAGAAGTATTTCATAACGACGTTCACTTTCATCGAGATGAGCCTGATTGTGAAAAGTAAAGTTTAAAATTTATTGCTAAAGACTTTTTGTTTTACCGAAAGATCTCGACATAAATGATCAAATTGATTTATTAAACGTTTAGCATTGGTTGCTAATTGTAAATCATTTAAATCGTTAGCTTCATTTGCAATTGTTTGTAAACGATTTTGTTTTGGTTCAATATCTTGAATTAATAACTAAAGAAGAAGAAGACAAAAAATGAATAGAAATCTTTATCAATGAATTGATTGCTTTTCCTACTCGTTTTCTTTGGCATTCATCTTTATATTCATATTGATCATCTTTAATAATTTCTTCAATGTCAGGTAATTTTGTTTTTACGATTATTAATTCGTATTCATGTTCAATATCATTCAGTTGTTTATTTAATGTTTGTAAACGTTGTTGTTTTGATTCGATGGTTTGTTTCGATGAACGTAATGTTTGTACAAGACGATTAAATTCATCTTTTGTTTGTTGTAACATGGCTTTCATTGTATGATTATGTACTGATGGTGATAACAGTAATGAATTATTATTGCTATTTGGTGATGTTGTTGTCGTTGTCGTCGTCGTCGTCGTCATTGATGAACGACGTGTACGCAATTGTGTATCGATTGTATTATAGGACGATGCCATGAAATCTAATCGATCACGTAATGAATCACATTCAGATAAGAGTGCACTTAATTCAGCAACACCACTATCCAATTCGAGACTACTTTGATATTTTTCATGAAGACTTTCAATAGATTTTCGCACATCGTTATATGTTTCATCAAATGTTGTTTGTTTAATGATAATCTCGTCACAGGATAGAAGAAGATGCTAGAAAAAAGAACAATATTTTACTCAACACTGTTAAAAAGGAAAATTCTTTCGAAGAATCTGAATGCTCTAGGTGAAATAATCACTCGCATTCAATGTGAGATCACACGGATTTCTTCTATGTTCAACTGATAAATCTTTAGCATTGCCACACTTCATATTTCATCTATGAATGTTTAGGAAAGAGCTATTCAGCGCAGTCCCTTTGGAGCTAAAATGTGGAACTCACGTATATCCTTGAAGCCTCGATAAACCAATAAAAATGTATGAAACAAAAAATTTCTCAGACTACTGATTTTTCAAAATAATTGATCATCACAGTAAAATCTCTCTCATTTATTTTTACATTTTCAAACGATCATTGTATTCTGGTTAACACCCTTTTTTCTTTCGCATTTTTCCTATTTTTTATTCTAATTAATTTTTAATGTCTGTGNACCCCCCACCCCGCCCCCCCCCCCCCGCCCCCCCCCCCCCCGCAAAATTCTGCCCCTTAAACTTACACTCACTATTTTCTTCAAAAATATACGCGAGTTCCACAAAATGCAGTAGTCAGAATTTTGTTATTGAACGAAATTATTTATTTGTGTATTGTGAATAAATCAGGGCCGAGATTTCAGCAAACTTATTTATGGTGTACATATAGTGTATTAAAGGTACTTACTTCGATATTTTTAACGAGTTCATCACATTTTCTCTTTGTTTCACTGGTAATCATAACCATTTGGCCATCGTCAATATGATTATCAACAAGACGAACATTGATTTGAACTAATCGACTACCACATTCAAGACAATCTTCTTGTAAATGCTGAAAAAAAAGCAGACGCTATTCTATCGCTAATTCAAAAGGCATTTTAAAATTACTTTAAGCTCTTCTTTCTGTAGTATTTTTTCTTCAATTGAATGTTTTAACATAAACCCATCAATTGTTTGTTCAATCATAATCAATGATTGTTGAATATGTTGTATTGATTCTCTTTGTTCCTCGATTAATTCTTGTAAATGTTGACATTCATTTACGGTTTGAATTAAATTTATTGAACAACGTTCAGCATCAACCTAGAACATCGAAGAAAAACTTTATTGTTTCTATAAATTTTCTTTCTTACAATCATTTGATCAATTTTATCCATGAGAATTTTAACTAATTCTTTTGAAAGACATTCTTCATGTAGATTTTTTTTTAGATCTTTTGCTTTGACTACTACATCGCTCAAACGATTTCGATGATCCTTGAAGTAAAAACAAAAATTGATTATCAAAACCCATAAAAAAGGAATATTATTCGTGACAAACTTCAAATGCCGTTATGATACGTTTAATATAGATTTCATTTCTTGATTTCTCCCCATGAAATGTTTGTAAACGTATTGAGCAAGCATCAACTAAATTCTGTAGTGTTTGTTGACAAGAAATAATTTCATTCGAATATCTTTCAATATGATTTAATTCATTGAGTTTTTTCTAAAAAAAACAAATACGAATGAAAATAATTTGATTTGCAAATTAAATTTTATTTTACCTGAGTTGATGTTTTTAATTGTTCATGAAACGATGATAAATGTTGTGCACGTTCAATAACAGTTGTATCTGTCGATGATGATGGAGACAATAAATGTAAATGAAATTTTTCTACACTGCTTAATGTATTTGTCATATGTTGAAGACGTTGTCGGACTAAATCAGATGTTGTATAATCATTTAGAAATTGTTGATCGAATGTTTGCAATTGTTGTTGAATATTATTTAATGTTTGTTCGATTGTTGTTTGTTCATTTAAGACCAAACGCTGTTCTTCATCTTGTCGAGCTAGTTTTTCCTAGGAGAAAAATGTAACTATTTGAGAAGAATAAGGCAAAAACGTACTTCAAAAGATTGAATATCGTTATTTAATGTTCTCCATTTAGTTTGAAGTTGTTTTAATTTCAATTTAAGATGTTCACTACCTTCAATAGAAGTCTCGGATAGGATTTGTTCATTGTTAAAGGATATTCGACGAAGTTCTTCTTCGAAATCATCTCGTTCGGTTTTAAAATGCTGAAAAATTGAATATTTCTAGGAAATTTTTCAATAGATAGAAAAAAATGCATACTCGAAGTTGATGTAAAATATCAGCATGAATTTCTTGTTGTCGAATATGATGAAATGTTGTTTGTAGTGTTGATAATGTTTCGAAAAGACTATTTAAACGAAGATCATAATCAGCATGATGATGTGCAGCTCGATTCAATGTTTCATAACGGTGCTAAAAGAAAGATCAAGATTTGATTAAGAATATCAATTTTACGCAAATTACTTGAATTTGTTGTTTCAATGCTGAAAATGTTTGATCAAGATCATCGAGACTAGCTTGAAGTGGAGCATCGTCTAGGATCTTAAATAGGCCATCCGAACGTTGTTTCATCTGTTCGCGATGAGCTTCTTGAATTGCGAAATCATCCAATTTTTCCTAAACAAAATACACCGGAATAAGAATCTACGTTCCCACATGTAAATGTCCTAGACTCATCTTTATCATCGAATATTATTGGCTGACTAGTTTTTTTTTGTTACCTGATTCATATTTCTATTGTAATAATATCGCAAGACTTAATACGTCCTCTTTACTAAAACACAACATCAACTGTTTTCGTATGTCTACTCTCGAAAAGTCAATAAATGATTTGTATGCATTCTTATAAAAACACTCTTCGTCTTTCACTCGCTCCCGTACTATGATAATATTCATAGATGACAACAGACACATGTGTATGATAGACAGAAGTAGGTTAGTTGAATTTTCCCATCTCCTATTCAAATGGTTGTGAGACTGCTTACAAGCATACGTTTTGCAGCATCAGTTTTCTCTTCAGCTGTGCTAAGATTAATAATTAAATATTTATTTAATTGTTGATCTGTTAGTTTTAACCAATCATTCATTTGCTTAATGTCAGCTACTAATTGTTCACATTCAAATTTAACTGTTGTTATAAATGTAAATGTTTGCATAGCTTTTTCTTGTAATAATGATGAATCTTGTTCAAGATGCTGCAAACGTTTTTGTACAGATTCTTCCAATGAACTTTTCAAGCCAGCTTCATATGTTTTACTGCGAACATGTGCAATTTGTTTGTCGAATTCTTTTATTGAATAAAATAATTGCTAAAAATAAGAGAGAACATTTCTAATAAAATATAATTGCGAATGGGATTTTACTTGGTGTTTATCGAGTTTAATGTCTAATTCTCTTCGATTGTCTCTATGAATACTTTCAAATGCTTCATAATTTGTTGTTAAATAATTTAAGTGTCGATCTAACTCGACTAGAAAGACATCGAGTTCTTGTTGACGTGTGAAGAATATTTCATTGTCATTGATAAATGTCTATTACAACAAATAATAATCGTATAAGAAAATGTTCAAATAAAAACGTCTTTTTGTCTTTTACTTCAAGTTCTTTGCGTGTTACTTGAAATCGATTGGTCATGAATTCAAAAGAACGCATTAATTCAGTTGTACAATGACTTAAAAATGAATCAACTGTACGCAAACGTTTGGATTTGACATCAAATTGATCCAATTGATTCTAAAAAAAACATCTATTTTAGTATATGAATTGTTTTTAGAGATGTTCAGATGTCTAGTGATTAACTACTACTGATCTGTGGAAGCGAACTTTGGTAATAAATAGTAGTATTATTTAAAAGAAACTCCATGAACTGTTTTCTTTTTGTTTGTCTTAGTAATGATGTATACAAAGTAAGATCTAATTTTAAAGACAGATCTCTGAATTGAAATTGAATAATTCAAAAATGTACTCGACAATTTGCCTATGAAATTTCTACGATTAACTAAAGACAACAGCCGCCTATTCGAACGAATCCGACTGCTGAAGTATTTGTCGTATTAAATATACATACGCGTAAATATTGAATCCATGTGACGGAAAGTATTTCATTATCGTTTGATTGTGTTTCCAATGAATCAAGAAATTGATTTATTTCATCGATACATGTTTGAACGAGTTCACAAGCTTGTGAACGTGTTCGTAAATCTTGTTGAATTGTTGAAAATAATTCATTGAGTTCGTTCAATTGAATTTTTAATGATCTAAAATGTTGATTTTATAAAATAGAGTTCGATATCGGCGTCTTTTGTTTCGAAAAATGTTACCGTATTTGCGTTCGAATAGATTCTTTTTTAGTTGAATGAGTAAATCCACTTGTCGCCAATGTTTCTAATTGTTTCATATTTTGTTCACATTGTAATCGACTCTGTTGAATATCCTAATTAAAAATTGACGATGAAAAATAGTTATCAATAGACAATTATTTACTTGGATCGCATCAAGATGAACTAAGGGTTTTTGTTCTTGACGAATTCCCATCAATTGCTCTTGGTAAGTTTCAAACGAGGTATGAATTATAGCCAACAAACTCTGCCATTGTTGATTGAAATTAACTGCTTGTTGAGCTCGTTCTAATTGACTATTGCATTGACCGAGAAGTACAATAATTCTATATTTCAATAAGAAACAAAAAATATTACAAAAGGAAACTATTTCAGATTCTTCTAAAACAACGGTCTAGTGTGATGATTATGTATGTTTTCTAGTAAAAAAAGCATTTCCAATATTTTACCTTTCTCTTAAAATCGATGTATTGTGTGCTTGTCTCGACCAATCATAATCATTAATTGAAGACTCAAGTTCTTCCAGTTGTTTCAATTGTTTGTCTTTATCGGCAATAGTTTCACTTAATTGATTTAAATAGTCAATCGTACATTCATCGTCATCGCCATTCGTAGCTATGAACGCAGTCAATTGATTTTCAGTTTGATTCAACCATGAAACAAATGTTTTATTATGTTTTTCATATTGATACCATATATTACATAGATGTTTTAGCTCTAAAATAGCACGTTCAATCGTTTGTTTACCATTATCAATAACTAAATGCATTTGTTCAAAATTCTGTTGATAATTTAATTTGACCATTGAATTTAAATTATATTCGATGATCGATTGATATTGTTCATAACTTTGATTGAAATCTTTTTCAAGATCTTCTAATTCAATTTTATATTCCTATAGAACGTACGAAAATATAAACGAATGAGAATGGTTTTCATTTAAATGAAAATTAAACAAACCTCAATTTTACTTAAGCGACTTTGTAATGTATCTAAATCGCAATCTGTTTTCGTACATAACGATAGACGGTCCATGAAAAATTTTAATTTTTCCATTATTGATTGTTTACTATCTTCGATTAGAATTTGTGTGCGAACAAATTCTTCCAATGCGTTGGTTTTAACTCGAAGTTCTTCTTGAAATTCTTGTAAGACTTGTTGAATTAGATCAAATCGATCGTTGTCAGGAATTTTTTCTTTCAATGTATTCAATAATGCTTGTTTAACATTGATGTCATTGGAGAAGCATTTTAATTGATATAAACGTTTACGATTTTCATCGCGTAAACTTAAATTATTTGTTAATTCGTTAAGTTTAAAGCGATGTTCAGTTATCCAATCATTGATTTCATTTAATGTTTCATCGATTTCCATTCGGTCGATTTTAACATTATGGATCATTTGTTTTAATTGTTTTTGTTTTATATTGTAGTTCGACCAGCGTGTTTGATATTCAGTTAAGATATATTTTAATTGTGCACGACCTTCAATGGATGTTGTTTTAAATACTTGTTCAAGACAATCATCAAGATTTGATAGAAGACTTTCGCCATCGATATTTTCATTGATTAAATCCTAACAATGAGAAAACATTTGATTAGAGAATCGCTGCCTTTTATGTGTTAGAAAGGAATGCAAATTCGTTATTAACTGTTGATCACGTTAGGGAATAATGAATCATAGATAGTTATAGAGAAATATCTTGATCAGTTAGCTTTTAAGAATTTATGGGAAATTACGATTATTGTTAAATGAAAAACAGGATTGATGATCGCTGGATTTTTATTTAAATGCAAATAGCGGTGAACCAACCGAGCATGTAAGGGGAAGTCTACAAAAGAGTCAGTCTTATCGTGAACTAAATTTTCTTTCACAGCTATGCAAGAGATAATTCTAAACAGTAGAACAGGTTGATGGCTAGAAATTTTTTTATAGGACACAGATTTGAATAAACGACAAGCTCTTCATGCATACTTGTCTTAACCGCTTGATGGTTTTCAAGTTTATCTTGGTATTTAGTTCAGAGAAGCGAAAGAAAATTGAGAGAGTGCTGTTGCTTGGCAATCACTTTGCAGCTTAGACTGCTGCTCGGAAACGGGTCTCATGATCTAATGAGCTTTTTACAACCACTATTAGCTTCGGCTTCGGGTAGAAAGTCGATCTTATTCGGCATTGTTTCGCTCAATCATTTGAGCTCTATGCACATACGGAACTAACGGTTATTACAGTAAACTTATTCTATTGTTTATAAATTGATCTGAAACATCAAGGAAAGTATTTTATTCCTACTACATACCTCTACACTTCGATAGTGTTCTTCAATAGCATAATCTGTTCTCATTTCGTTAGTTGAAGTGTGTTGTTCTAATCGATTTTCAGCATCTGCCATCCATAGGTGAAATCGCTCTGATATTGTTTCAAAATGTTCATGATATTCAACTGCTTCTGATGCGTGACGTAATGCATCCTATTAAAATTTAGATTTATTAGTTTAGACAAAGTAGAACAAATCGACACGTACTTGAGCATTGGAAAGTAATTGTTGTCGTTTTTCCATACATTGATTATAACTTTGAATTAACGGAACAGTTGAAACTCTACTTTCAAGTTGTTTTAATTCTTGTTTAAGATCGATATTGGTTTCCAAGTTTCGAATAAGAATCTTTAATAGAAGATTAGTTTTTAATTTTACGCTGAAACAATTTATTTACCTTTATTTGCTCAAGTTTTTCTACTTTTAATGTAAGCGTCGATTGATTTGTGGTCATTAATTGAAAAACATTTTCTTGCTGTTTCAAGCATTCATGAATATCAATTACTGTTAAATCTAACTTTTTAATTTCATTTTCAATATTAATTATTTCTTGTTTTTGATCATCGAAATCACTAATAAACTCGACCCATTCATCATCAATAGCTTGACATTCATCATCGATTTCGTTAATATTATATTCATTATTTAATAAATTTCGTGTTAATTTTATATGTTCAATAGCTTGATGAACGTAACTACGACCATTGGTCAACGTCTGGGAAATTTCCTAAAAGAAAAAGAAAAGGAATAATTTCAAAATAAAATAATTTTTTAGCTATTTTGTTTTCAACATACGTTTAACAATCGTTGTTTAACATCAATAGTTAAACGATGATCGTTAGATAATCTTGTTAATTTAACACGTAAGCCTTCTATATATTTCCTATAAGTTTCTATTGAATTATTTGTTTCACTTTCAATACGTTCATCGATACGTTCACTAAAACGGTTTATGTCTTGGCTTAATATTCTATAACGATTATTAATATTCATTAGTGTTGTTGATAATTGTGTACTTTCATGGCGAATATTATTATTTGTGTAATGTTGAATACTTTCATTTAATCGTTGAAGTTGCGAACTAAATAATAATGTAAGTTCATTTTGAATTTGTTTTATTTGTTGATGAAGTTTAACAAAGTTATCGATTGATTCAGTTTCATTGAAAATTTTCTCGAATGATTCTCGTTGTTCAGTTAGCTTTAAGAGTAATGGATTAAGTGAATCAAGATCGGATAATAATCTTGAACTTTGTTCTTGAATATTTCGTTCGTTTTCAACAGATTGATTTATTTGAAAATCAAAAATTTCTATACGCTCATTAATACTATGACGAAATTGTTCTAATCTACTGAAATTATGTTGATTACAATTTGTTTCTAAGCGATGTAACTGTTCATCGTATTGACTCAATAAATTAGCTACAATTGGACGTTGAGTCTAAATAAAATAAAAGATATTATTTCTTGTTTTAAAATATAGTTTACAATTCATTTACTTGTACGACTTCAAGAAAACGATTTTGATCAATATTTTCCGTCATTTTCGATGCTAATTCATCAAGTCCATGAACTTTTGTATCGAGTTCTTTTTGAATTTTTTCAATAGTTTGCAAATAACTACAAATTGTTTCCGTATGTTTAATATGATCAGGTACATCAGCCTAGAAAATATAAAATTATTCAAATTCGACAATTCAGAATAATATTTACTTCAAATGTTTGACGCATTTTTGCTTGTAAATCTGATAGATTAAAATACGAGGACCAATTCATTTCATACCATGATTGCAATAGATCGATGAATTCATCACGACGCTTTTGGCAGATTGCCATATCATGTTCGGCACTCTGATGTTGGTCTAATTGAATTTGCTAAATGAAAAAAAACATTATTATACATATGATAGAATCATTGAAATCTTATATTTTAAATTACTTTTAATTTTTTCAAATGATTTTTTGCTTGTTGAAATGAATTCGAGCTATTCATAGTTTCACTTAGAATTAATTCAACATGATGAATAGTTGTTTCAATTTGTTTTTCAAGCACTTCGATTTCATTGAATAATGTATGTGTTCGTTGTAGAACATAGAGACGTTCATTTGCTTCAAGATTTAGTTTTTCCCATTCGATTTGAGTTTTTTGTAAGACGTCTTCGATTTCGGTCGCTGAGTTTATCGATGTTCGTACGAGTTGTTTGAATAGTGGATCAAGTTCATGTTCGATTTCGTCTTGTAAGCGCTGGAAAGCAAAAGCTCACGAGAAGAGCTCGCTGCGAGCGTGCAGCATGGCACAAAAAGATAGGGGAGAGAGAGAGAGAGAGAGAGAGCGAAAGACGTAAGCAAGCAAGTCGAAGTGTTAAGCATCGAAAGCAAGGCTATAGGAATCGATGTGACAAGGGATGTGTCATAAATCTATATAATACATATATATATATATATATATCTACGTGTGCATTAGTGAAATCTATACACACACGGACACACAGTTTGTTGTAGCTATTTAGAGGGCATAGAACGAATTGGCGAGTGAACGCATTTTTATTATGGCTGTTTTTTTTATATATCAATCTTGAAAGTGGCTATATAAAGGTAAGTTTTCTATAACACATTCATTTTTTTTAATTTCAATTCCCTAAATTCCTTGGTTTTATTGTTTTCACGCAATAATGTTTAATTATGTCAATGCTTAGGAAAGAAAATAAAGATATGAAATATGAAGCTAACATACCTTGATGATAATCATGAGATCTTCAATATCATGAATAGAGTAGCCAGAAAGGCGAGATGAACGAAGATTGCCGGACAGAATATTAATACGTGAAAGTAAATTGCTATGGGCTTGAGTAAAATCTTCGACTAATTGATTTATTTCTTGAGTTTGAGTACGACGTTGGATAAGCTATGTGAATAATAGTAAAAAAAAAGAAATATAAACTAAACTATCCAGTAAGAAGATAGTTCTTAGATGATACAAAATAAAATTATGTTTTGAACTAATTTTTTAACAGTCGTCGAATCTTTAGATTGAACTAAACGAATCACAAAACGTTCCTATTGACTATTTTATTTGTAAATTTATATTTTTCGGAAAAGTAAATAGTATGCTTTTAGATGAGATTGAAATACGCTTACTTTATTTTCAGCCATATCGATTAGATTTTGAATACTACGACTTTCAACCGTAAAGAAGATGGTTCGATTTGTTGTTGAATCTGTTATTGTTGTATTACTTTCTTCCATGAGACGATCCAATATACTACTCTCCGATTGAATTGCACGTAGATCAGTTGTGTAACGTTCAATTTGAGTTTTAATTCCATCGATATCTTGAATTTTAAGTTGTTGTTTTTGTTGTAAATCATCGTTTATTTGTTGTAATTTATTTCGTAGTTCATTCGAACGATTTATATGTTCTTCAAAGCGTGTTAATAAATCAATACGTTTTTGTAAGATATTTTCGTAACTTCATAAAAAGAAAAGAAAGAAAGAAAGAAAGAGCTATATGATTTGTCATTTATTTTGAGTTTACTTACATTTGTAATCGTTGTCGATGAGCTTCATAAGCACTTTGTATAGTTTGTAATTCCGCTTTAGGTAAGCCGGCAACTTCCAGTTCAGCTAGATCATGCCCAACTGTTGAAAGCAAAGTTTGAACAGGTTGTAATTGTTTTTCGATTTGGTGTAAACGTTGCAACGTTTGATTCCATGTTGCACTTTGAATTTGTCCATGATTTTCAATTTGTTCAACAACATCGCGTACACTACGTTCAAACGATTCAAATCGACTATGAAACGATTTTCGAGATTCAAACAAGTGTTCAGTTTCACGAAGCTGGAAAATAAAAATAATTTTTTCGTTATATTGTTTAAGAAATAAATCAACGTTTCGTATTACTTGAACATTTTTTTAATTGGTAATCTTATCGAATACTGTAGAAATGGATCCTTTGATTAAGATTTTACTTAAATCAGAGGTCACATAGTTTATTTTTTCGCTATACAATTCGGGCTGAAATTTTTAGTAAATTTCGATAAAGAAGTCTTGAATATTTTCGGTTGAAAATTTAAAATAGAATCTATTGTATAATGAAATAGATTTCCTACTGATTCAGTACTTCTCGCGAGTGGGCATTAAGTAAAAGCTTTTCATTAACTAGTAACTCTACATGATCAATCAATAGAGTCCTGCATTGGAGTACGAAACCCGATTCTGACTCCGACTCCATCGGAGTCGGACTTGGAATCGGAATCGTGAAAAAATATTTTCCGGAGTCGGAGTCGGAGTAAAAAATGGCACAGGACTCCGCAATTCGATTTCTACTCTGACGAAGCTGAAGTAGTAGAAAACAAAATAAATTTTCTATGAATTCACGTTTGTGCTATATTACTACAAAAATCACATCATCTGACTTTCCCTTAGATACAAGTTTATTCACGAGTATATTGTATAATGAACAAAGATATGCTAATTATAATTTTATAAATAAATCCTAAGCAAAAATAATATGAAAATACTTCCACCATTCACTTGATGCTGATGTTTTTTTCTTCTCAACAAATTTTATTGGTGAATCATTATCTTTAATTAATTGTTCAAGTTCTTGTTTAGGTTAAATGCTTTTTATTCATAATATTTTTTGCGTTCGAAAACAAATGTAAAGAAATGAATTCTACGACAATGTGCACTGTTCGTTCCTTATTGATTCATTTACTTATATATATCCTTTCAGAATATCAAACATTTGATATAAATTCGATGTCACTAAGCTGCAAAAAGAAGTCGGGTTTTTCCGGAGTCGGAATCGGATTCTGGAAAAATTTTCCGTCTGAGTCGGAGTTGGAATTGGAATCGGGTCGGGTTTAAGAATCAAAAAGTGCGACTCCGCTGATCTCTATCTATCAACGTCTCCCCTATGAAATGCTTTGGATAGACAAATGATTCCAATGGAGTGAAACATACTCTGAGATAAACTGGCCACATTGTTTGACGACGAACGTTTTTTTTTTACTTTATGAAATGTTCATTACTTTTTGTAACATTGAACTGTTTCTTTTTTTGAAGAAGAAGAAGAAGATGAAAAATGAGAAGACATTTAGAGGTTTAGTTTTCGTATTACATCACAGTTTCTTTCTCTTTCTTCATGCCAACAATTGGCTTTAATTCGTTTTCTTTTAAACGTTATTTTATCATTTGTAATATGATTTTAAACTTACTCGGTCTATCATAAGTCGGTTGAGGTCATTCCATCGTTTTTCAATTGTTAATTGTTCTTCATTGAGTATTCGTTGACCTTCCGGTGAACTATATTGTTTTAAATCTTTAAATTGCTTCATTAAACTATTGCAGTTCACTGAATGATGAGTAATATTTTCAACAAGTAACTTGAAAAAACGAAAAAAAAATTAAAAAAAAGGCAAAATGAAATAATTTCTGATTCTTACTCGAATATCATTAAGTAATGAATTGATTCGATTAAGATCCAATAATTTATTAAAATCTACTAATACGATATTATGGGCTCGTTGTTCAAAGTCAAAGAGAGTTCCATCGCGAAAAGCATTTAATTCAGAATCAAATGCACCCCATGCGCGATATTGTGCATTATAGATGGATGCTAATTCATCAGATCGTGAGACTATGTTCGCCCAACGTGTTGATAAAGATTTAATTAACAATTGTAGTTCCTTTTGATCAGCTACATTATGTTCTTCATTGTGTAGATTATTAAATATGGTTAACATACGACGACGTTCTTCGAGAAATTCCTATTGAAAAAAGCAAAAGTAAAATGTTTTCTCTTCAGACACCATCTTTCTTTTTTTACTTTATGTTTATCAAGTAATTGTTTAGCATCATTTAGGTTCAAAGCACCAGTTTGCTCAAAACGGTTATTAAGATAATATTCTGTTTGTTCGATCCATGGTTGTAATTGTTGAATATAACGCTGTGAAGTTTGAACGTGTGTTCGAGATTGTACTACTTGTTCTTCTTCTCGATTTATTTTATTAGATGTTGTTTCAGCTAATGCACGTAACTGATTTAAACGAGTCAAAGTATTTCTTAGATCTTTCGGTTTCGAGCGAAGTGTTTCAAGATTTGAGCCATCAGAATGTAACAATGATAATGCATGTAAATATCCAGAGACATCAATACGAATACGCTATCAAAAATAGAAATTGATTGTGATAACATCCTCAACATTTTATATACAAGATTACAAGGCCTGTCTCTTCAGTTAGAGATGATCAAAAGGGTTTCCATGTACTGAGGTAATTTGTAAAGTACGGAAGAATGTAAAACAAAGTTATCTTGCTTGAACTACAATCAGTTCGATTGTATGACTTAAAGCTCTAGTTGAAGTCTAATTTCTCTCACAGCATATTCGTACACCGAGGGTAATTGAAGAAACCTTCAGAGTTTCTACAAAATTTAGTATCTCCAGAAAAATCTATTTTTTCAAAACTCTCTAACTTCGTTACTAAATTATTCGTTGTCGAGCTCTTCGGGCTATTCGTAGGAGAAATTTAGAATTTCCTTTTTGACCAATGCCCTTCTAGGAAGTATTAAACCAAATCTTTTTTTAGATTTCTTACTATCAATACAGTCACTATAAGAAATATTATCTAGAGATCCTGCGTCCTAGAAAGCTAGATACGTCATTTCATGTGTAATTTGTTTTTTCATTATAAAAATTTTGGCTACCTCTAATAATTGTTGTTTATCTTCCAATGATGTTTCTCCGAGCAATTTCGTCTCCAACACTGCATTTGTTTCTTTAAAAAACGATTCTAAACGTTTAAGATCATCATTAAATTGCATCCATTTCTGATTATCCGATATTAAATCTTGTAAAATTTCCTCAGTTATTCGTAGTTTTTCAAAGAAATCTTCTTGCATATTATCATAATCAGTTTTAAGTGTTTGCAAATTTGCATAAGGTAATAAATTATTCGATGAGATAGTTTGTAAAGTTTGTCCTGTTTCGTCAACTAATGGCTTTAATTCTGCATAGGAATTTCGAAGATGCTAAATTAACAAAAAAAAGCCAAATAGAAAAGAAGATAGAGGTTCTTTTTGAAGTCTATACTTGACAACTATCGATTTCATTTTTAAACGAAGTAATTGAATTTCGATTGGAACTCAGCAGCGAAAGTTCATTATGCAATCGTTCCGCTTGTTGTTGATAACGGCGTTTATTTCCATCAAAACGTTCCCAAAGTTCAAGTAAACGCTAGAACAATATAATTTATTTTTAAAACAAGACGTCAAATATGTTTTCTTTTACTTTCAATTTTTCTAATAATTCTTCTGCTGATTGCATTTTATCGTTATAAACTTTTTGTGTATTTTGTACATCGTGTTGAACATATTTCGGTACTAAAGGTAATTTCATTATTTCTTGTCCACGTGTAACAAGTTCATTGATTTGTTGTGCATAATTTTGTAAATTATGATAGACCTGAGTTTGCTCTTGTAAGCTACTACGAACATCCGATACATCACGGAAGTTCATTGGTACATTTGATATATTAGTTAAAAATGTATTTAATTGTAAACTATTTTCATGAATTACTTTAGCTGGAATTATAACAGAACAGTATTGAGATGTTTCTTCAATAGAAACACATAGCTGTTTATAGCGTGATAAAAGCGCATCGAGTCGTTGACGATAACGAGCAGGTTCATCAGTAGCTTGCTCTTCGATAAGCTCGTTAAGGATCAACGGTAATGCTTTCGTATAAGCAGATATTGTATCGATTTGTTGAAAGTCATTCTGGAAAATGAAACAAAACAAAAAATCTATAAGGTTTCGTGCGTAATTTTTCAATAGAGGAGATTTTTGATTAGCATATTTGAAACATATGAGCAAAGATAGATTCTTTCTGAAGAGAAAAGAATGTAAATTTTCTTATGGAAATTTAATCTTGATATCATGCGGTTCTGTTTGATGATAAATTACAACCGTTTCGTATTCATTTCATGATTGAATAACCGCTAGTGGAACGAGGTCAAAACTTGAGATAAATTTCTATCGTATCTCTTTCAAAGTTTTCACCGTTAACACATACATTCTGTGAGTAGTATTCAGTTTAAAAAAAAACTTTTTCTATTATTTTAACTAGATTCCACATCAGCTTCTATTATTACACAATATTCAAGTTCAAGCATGAACTCTCAAGATCTCTTCAAATTTGAATATTTTCTTTTGGCTAGTTCTTTACACACATACACAACTAAGTAGGTCAAAAAAAAATCATGTTCGATTTATTTCAATGTCATCTACATGATTCATTTTGTCGAAGTATTAAGACAACCTTCTTTTCCCACTCAACAAGCGTCATAATATTATAAGTGGGTAACAGAAAACTTCAAGTACATCAAAGTAGAGAAAAAATGATGTTAGAAGTAGCGCCATATATTTTAGAATTACAGAGAAGTACTTGACGATTATTCGAAGTGTTCTCAAGTAGTCTTAATTACCTTCAAGTACGAAGCATATTGCTTCAGCCTAGTCATACTTACATGTAAAAAGAAATATTTAGGCCACTACAATTAACAGTCAAGGATATTCTATGATTAGGATGGTTGAAACAAAAAGTGTACTATTTCAAGTCGGAATCATAGACGCAGTTGAACAAACCTTAAATTTATTGACAACCACTTTATACTGTTCTAAAGGTATATCAGTATTCTGCGTATTAGCCATGGATCGTTCAATAGTTGCCATCCAACTCTCAACATGATGAAATCTATAAAATAATATTTTTGTTTGTTCATTACTCTTCAAAAAAAAAAAAGCTTTAAAAGTTTACTTCTCTTCAAATTCTTGCCATTTCTTCGGTATAGTTTGAAGTTTTCTTCTAACATTATCAATTTTCGCTTGCATATTAGCCCAATAGTTATTTAATTTAATTGCACGCTGATCGATTTGTTCATTTTCATGACTAACTAATGTTTGTCCTTGTTCTTTCGTACGAATATCATTTGCAAATGTTTGTAAATCTCTCATATGAATTTCCATAGTCGGATGAAAATTATTCAATTGAAAACGTTCATTGTGGCGTCGTAAAATTTCTGTTGTATCATGTTGTCGTTCTAGTTGTTTAAGTTCATCGTTAAGTTCATTTTCGGCTTGTTCTAATTCTTGTACGACTACTTTTTCGATACGTTCGAATTGTAAACGTAATAGACGCACTGGAGCGTAACAAATAATTGTATTCCATTTGTTTTCAAGTGTATCCATTAAAAATTGAATTTCCTTTTGTTCCATTTTATCTCGTATATGTAATAGTTCACGTCCGGACTTAATAAAACCATGTAGAATTTCATCGTCGATTGTTTGAAAAAAATCTTTATGTTTACGAATAAGATAAGCATAATCCTCGTGTTTTTCTTTCACAACAGTTTGCGCTTTATCTATCCATTCTTCTAAATGTTTTAGACGTTGATGAAAATCTTTCCACAATTGAGAATGTTGACTGAATTCTTTTTCCCAATAGCATGCTTGTTGATTTATTTGCTAGAAAGAAAATCTTAGAAAACGAGGATGACAACTTTTTTTCGGTCAGTTACTTCAAAGATATCGGCTAATTGCCGATATTGTTCATCGACGGGAGAAAAATCGAGTGGAATTAAATTCTCATTGGATTTTTTCATGGCTTGAATTAATTTTCCCTTGGTTTCAAGTAATGATTGATAATAGCCAATTTCAGCAAAAAAATTCTATAAATCAATAAATATAATTCATAAGAAAATGATTTCAACGGTATTTACTCTATGCTGTTCAAGAAAATCTTCGATACGTTTAACGGGCACTTGAATCGAATATCGACTGATTAGCTGTTTAGCTTCATTGAACCATTGCTGACATTTTTGTAGGCCATCTTCAAATTTTTGTAAATGTCCAAGCATTGTTTTATTTCGTTTTAATGTTAACGGTAGATGTTCTTGTATTCGACGTAATTTTTCAAAACATGTTTGTAAAATAGAATTCATTTCACTTGTCGAAAACGTTTCACCGCTTTCACGTGCTATGACTTGACTTAATTTAGCAAGAGCTTGAATATTATCATTCAACATATCAATACCTGATTGTGCTTTCTAACAAAAAATTAATTTTATGATTAGTAGAAAAATTCTTTTCAACTTACATAAAGACGATTTTCTTGCTCTTTAAGTGCTTTAATTGTACATGGTAAATATGTCTGCATTTCAGCATCGATTTTATCTAATGTATCCAATACATTCGAGCGGCCAGCATAAAATTCGTCACGTTTCTTCTTAATGGATTCATCGTGTTCAAATTGATGAACACGATCGAATATTTCTTTCCATCGACGATTGATAAATAGAAATTTCTTATGTAAACCAGCAACAATGTCATCGTCACATACGGACATCAAACTTTCAATTGCTATACGTAATTTTTCATGCGTTTCAGCCCAATGATTTATATTTGCAAAATAAGCCTATCAATACAAGTCTCGTTAAAATCTTTTCATTCGAGCCAAAAGTTATTAATAGTGAAAATAGAATCTTCAGTATGCAACTCTTGATTTTTGTCACAAGAGTCCTGGAACTCAATAGTGTTGTAGCGTGTGATTTACTGCAAGAATTCATATTTTATCGGCAAGTTTCTAATTAGATTTTATTTTCTTGTGTAAAACAATTCATGATGCAAAAGTAAATAATTTACTTTATAGTACAAACTTTACTCAATAAAATCGATCCATTAAAAACGTTACGCATTTACAATTTGACGGGTTTCATAAAATAATACACTGTACAATAGTGTGAAGATAAATTGGAAGAAAAAAAAACGTAGTTAACTTATTTTGTGAGAAGACTTTCACAGTAAAGACGATTATTCAGTGTGAATTTGAATAAGATTGTTTAGGATTAACTTTCTTATACGATTATTCTATTCTATTTCAATTGTCTTCATTGTATAGGGTAGATCTACTGTGCACAATTCTATTCTTAAACGAGTCCGTTTAAGTAAATATTTTTTATCAAAATGACTGAAAGCAGTATTAGTATTTTCAATATCCTATGAGTGTAACCTTCAAGCCTTAAAAATCGTCTATGTTCTCTTCAATGTCTCATTCTTTCAGATTAAGTATAGGACATTGCCATTTTTTTTCTCTATTTGAACACATTAGTACGCGCCAATTGACAATATAGAATATCACATTATCAAAGAAGTTTTTGTTGTTATTAAGCTTGCTACAAGCGGTCATACTTCAAATGAAACTACTCGAATGAGCATGAGAGTTTTACAGAGTAATCTTTTTTTCATATAAAATATTCACGTTTTTGATTTTTTTTCATGTTCAAATAAATTGAACAGACAGTTAATTATCCATAGAAGATTTAATTTTAAGAAAAAAATGTACTTTCCAATATCAAACTATTACATTCATCGTGCTCATCAGCTATACGAACACCTACATTCCACATGAATTCTGTCAAGAACAATTTGTTGACATAATTTATTTCAAGGATAAAACTGTATTTTAAAATAAAAATGTTTGAACTTACTAGTTTTTCTTGTGATGAACGTTGAAGCACTTGATCACCTTCATTTAACCATCGTTCCAGTTGATCATATGAACTGAGATAGACTTTCCAATTATCCAATGTTTCTTGTAGCATATGCTCTTTTGTTTTAAGATCAAGCGCAGCACTCTTTAATGTTTTACGAACACATTCACAATAGGCATTAAAACCTTTCGATGTTTGATCGTCTTTTTAAATTGAAACAAGAGACAGTTCGCTTCTATTTAATTAAAATAAACATTTTACCTTTCTTTCGTAATTGGCCATAATTTTGTGCTCTACGTGTTAATTCCGGTAAGAGACTTTCAATAATCGCAATAATTTTCTCATCGTGAATCTTACTCTATTAAAACGAAATTTATTCAGATACTTCTTTGAAAAATTTCGGTTTCTTTTTTTCTTCATACTTTATATTCTTGAAATAATTGTTCTGCTTGTGCTAGATTGCCTTGTTTTTTATTTAAAATTTCCATTAAATGTTCTAATTGAGCAAAATGTATTTGTACTTTCCAATGTATTTGTTCGAAGTCTAAATAATATCCTCGTTCATTGCTACTGACTATGATAATGTTGAGACGTTCATCTAAACTGTTCAGATGTTCTATTGCTACTTGTTGATTAACAATAGATGGATCACATTTTAGACGTTGAAATTTAGTTGCAATACTTTCTTTATCCGCAAAAATATCCTAATGAAGAAAAACAAAACGAAGATAAGATATTTCATTTGAACGATAGAACATCAAATCTTACCACATGTTCTTTATAGAGTTGAGTGAAACGCTGAAGATTTTCTTCGGGTACTAAAGTTGCCGGATCAAAATTAAGTCCTCGTGCTAAAACCTCTTCAGCTCGATAGATCCATTCGGCTATAGAACGAAGTTCTCCAGGTAGGTTAAAATCTATTTTCTGTTGCCACCGATTCATTCTACAAGAATATCAAAGAAAGAAGAAAAAAATGTTGTACATTTATGAAAAAAGAATGAAAAGAATTAAATTGTCTACCTTTGAGTTATGTCGTCAAATTGATCTTTTAATTCTTTCAATTTTTCACCGGGAAAAAGTGGAGATTTGGATTCTTTGCGTTCGAATGCCTTCCATTGCTTTTGCTTTTCAACAAATTCTTTAGCTTGTTTCGCGTACTCCTATAAAAGCCAATGAAGAAGTAAAATTTTTTTAATCGATATAATTGTGGTTTGTTTGTAATTCGGTAGCACTTTTTTTTTTGAAAATTACTGCTTCTTGCAGTCATTCATTTTCGTAGGTGTGTATACCCTTCATGTTCGCATACTTTCTCTCTCTCTCTCTCTCTCTCTTTCTCTTTCGCTGAACGATGAAGGCAAACATCTGCAAAGAGAATGAGTAGTTACTTTATATTCAGCTTGAATGTCTGTGATGGGTGCTTCAATAGCGTGCGTCAAACGTTGTCGAGTGTCTGTTAGCCAACGAAGAAGTTCACCATGTTCTTTGTTTATCGATCCGAAAGGCTGAAAAGAAGAATGAAAGAGAGAATTATTTAAACAAACTTTCAGGTGGACAAACACGTATCACACATACCAAATCAGGGAATCGGCGAGAGAATTGAGCGATATAAGTCATAATCGACTTTTCGTCTGGCTTGGTTACATCAACATCTGTTTAGAGAAAAAAAGAAAGCAAGACAAAAGTTTAAGCATGTGATGTTTGTTTTATAATATTAAAATTGAGCTCAATTCATTATTTCGTTCACCGCCTTTCTGCTTAACATATTGAATAAGTCCGCTCATAAATGAATATGTTTCTTTCTTTCAACTCATGTTTTAATAAAGAAAGAATGAATTTAAGTATTAAACATGAAATATGAAAAATATTAGACAAACCTTCGGCATCAATCAGACGAGGTATACCAAGATGTTGTTCAGCAACATAAAACGCATTTTCTAATCGTTCTCGAACTTCCATTCGTGAAATACGATTTAAATCAACTAGTTCAGGCCGAATGGAATATATTAAAGCATTAAACGCAAAGCCATCACGCCAACTGGATGTAAAATCTTTAACATCCCATCCATCGATTTTTCTAAGAAGAAAAGAAGAAGAAAAAAATGATTATCTTTTGCTGCCAAAAAATATTTTCTATTAAAAAAAGCAAGTAGAAGAAGAAGGATCATAGAGCAGGTTCATGCATTTTTAGCATATCATCTCACCGTAGTACTTCATTTGACGTAAGACATCTAAATTTATTCTCATAGTAAAATATTCGCCCAAGATCAAAAAAAACAAAAATCATATAATTAGTAATAGTTAATTACATACCCTCGTGTCTTCTTTCGAACCCATTCGAGTAGAGCATCTTTAGCTTTAATACGAGGATCTTTGGAGTCTCCATCGAACATACTTGAATCTTCAATCTTAAAATAGCAGATGTTACAGATACTACAAGTACATTTCTAGGTTATTCTAATTTTGAGTTTCACTAGAGTGGCTTTATCAAAAATGTCACAATGGTTTCATAATTGTATGCTCTGACTTTTTGACTTATCACTTTTTACTTTAACGCCGAAGAAAGAACTTCAATTCAGGTGATTAAAACAAATAAAACTTGGCTAAAATGAAGACGTATTGAAGTTGACACGAAGAAAACCTTTCGTGTCGAAGAGAAAACACTCTTCAACCGATTGATTACTATGCAATCGTGACTATATGTATCATAGACTTTTACGACTTAAGAATCTGAAGTTTTAACTTCTAATTGTAGTATGATGACATTTGCTTTTGTAACTCTGCTGTCATCTTGGTAGGAATATTGGGAAAATACAGTTTTCGAATTTTAACAAAACCAAGCCGAAAATGAACTTCTCTGAGACTTCGCATTTTTTCCAACTACTACGATAAAAACTTGTTTTATGCATCACTGAAAGATTCATTGGATTTTACAATAATCTATTTTCAACAATAGTTATCCCTGTGATTGAGTATCCACAAGAATAATTTTGTTTAGTATTGCGTTATAGACCAAAAATGTAAAATTCCTAATCCATTGCAGTATTTGATTAGCAGTTTCAGTTTGCTTATAAATCATTAGCAAGTACACAATGCATGCAGTCTCGTGATTCGGAAGCAATGCGTCAGTTAAAAGACTTCCTTCGTACCCGAGATAGATTGAAATCTTACGAAGTATTTAAAATCTAATCAGCACACCTACTATTCATGAGTCAAAAGAGTTTTTTTTTATGAATTTCTAGTCTTAGAGAAGGTCATGAATTTTTAGTAAAATAACGATTCTCCTAAAAATAACTATCAGCATGAATACTTTTGTAAGGAAGATGGCGTTTGTTCCTTATATTAATTGTTATGCGTTTTTGTATTAGATTTCCTTGGAACAGACTTCAAATACATTACAAGAGTATTTTTTGGAAATACTTATACTGCCTATAGACGAATAATCCTATTTAAATCTTGAAAAATTGAGATACACTCTTTTTAAGGTCATCATTTTTTTTCATGTTTATGTCTGCAAAACAAATTGGTTTATTCTAATAGTAGGAAAATTTATGCCAACGTTTTTTTTTGTCTTACCTGATAACATAAAATTAACATCCATATTAATCCTAAAATAATAGTTGGTTTCCCATCGACAATATCAATTGGACGTATGTTGACTAGTTTAATCTTAAATTGGCAAAATATAAAAATCTCCGAATAACTTTTAATCATAAAATATTTACTTTTCGGCTTTCAAGAAATTTCAATCCGTTACTTGCATTACTCACATAATGAGCTCGTTTAGTACCACGTTCTATAGGCTAAAACCAAAGATTGCCCATCATCAAACTCCTTTTCCTTTTCGTTCTAAATCCAGCTTACTATAGTTTGTCCTGAGAGAACTTCCAATAATGCAACAAGTTTTGTTCCATCTTTAAGATCTTCAAAAAGATCATTGATAAAAAACGGCGGCTCATGTAATGATAAATAAATGTTAATCCACTTGGTAAAAGTTTTCTTTTGAACACGTTCTTGTTCGTCTAATTAAACAAAAGCCAGTCTCTTTTATAATATCAATAGGCAAAGAACACTTTCAATCTATTTTCATATCTATATGAAATGTAAACATCTTAGATAAAATACTACTCTTTCGATTAAAACAATGACATACTAAATATTTCCATTATTTTTTTGTTGGTAACAAAACAAAAAAATAATTCCCAAGGTTTTTTGTTTTCTTCTTCTAACAAACAGATGTAAATAAAATGAATATATCTTACTTTGTAGCGAATGGATACTAAGTTCTAATTCACTTCGGCTTGAAATTGATCGAGGACTTTGGTAACTTGTTTCTTGCTGAGTAACCGTTACACGAGATGCTGTTGGGGAAAATAGTGATCGAGTTGGGCTATTCATTGCTTTAATCTTAAATATAGTTTTAAATTAAGAATAACAAATAAAACGTACAACGTAATATGTATTGAAAAAAAAATAATACAAGAAAGAGAATACACTCACACACACACACACACACAACATTTGTTCGTAGTAGAGAACAATAAAATGAAAAAGAACTGTTGTTTAAGAATACAATGAAAGAAATAAATCATATATATATATATATATATACATACATACAAATTTGTTTGTAACGAACTTTCTAGTTGTGCATCAGTGACAACATCTCAGCAGAAAAAAATGAACATACACGTACATACAACATTCCTTCTCTTTTTCTTTTCTTTTTCTTCTATTTCTCTCAGTCTCTCCTTGTTACAACTAATTGAAAAAAGTCTCGAAATTGACTTTCGAGGGATGTGTAGAGTTCTCTCGTGTACGATCAAAAAACATATTCAGAATTGGGCTTCTTCACAGCAGATACTTAAAATTTATATATATATATATAATACGACTTTTTTCCAAAGAAGTCGTAGAAGAAAGTTAGAATCCAGGAGGAACAGTCGAGCAAATATTACGTTCATTGAACTTTCTGTATTCTCTCTCCTCTGTTCCAGTTTGCCGTCAAATTTCTATCGTGCATAGTTCACAATCGGTGTTTTTCAATGTCACGCAAATTCTATCATTCAATCTGTTACAGCTTTCTATAAATATGTGACATGCACTTAGTCGACTCATTTGTACATGATTTATCTCCTATATTGGTATCCGATAAGACTTGCATGCAGTAGTAGCTTTGTTTTTATCTATTTTTCTTAATTGTTCCAATATATTAACATAGAGGCGATCTCTTTCTTTTCTTTTTCTTTTGATTAAGTCAACTAGCCTCAATCAAATACGTATACAGACAAAAAAAATTCAGTTCTATTACGTTCCAACGGCAAAGACAAAAGGTAAAACACTTGACAATTCAAGTACATGCATGCGGTTTTAATGTTGTATCTTTCTCTCTTCATTACTTGTCCACAATAATGGAAGACGAAAAGAAAATGAGGGTTACAGTTAAAAGCATATGCATATACATATATATATATCGAATTTTTTTACTTTATATAATCATTGAAAAGAAAATGAAACAAATAAAGACTTCATTATTAATTTTCACGCAGACGAGTGAAACTGAATAAGACTAAAACAAAAAAGAAAAGAAAAGTGAAATTTTTTTCTTTTTCTACAGTCAACAATACAGTAATATGTTTGTATTTTGATATTAAATAAAGTGTGAAGTATTGCTATAAACAAAAAAGAAAATTGAACTTGCAATCATACTTAATATTTATTATTTTAGAGGAAGAAAACTAACTTCTATTCTATTGCAATAATATTTTTTTAGACAACCTTGCCGAATGAACAAGTGTTTGTTGATTGATAAAATGATCATTAAAGATTTCAACAAAAAAAAAAAGTTCTAGCAATATAAATCAAGGAGAAAGATCTGAGTAATAAAACAACAAGTGTCTCGTCTGAATCAAATTTAGTATCGCTTTATGCAATGGCATATTCTTGATTTTTCGATAGAATTTTCAATGATAAAAACTTCGATATATTACGCAAAAAATCTACGCCGAAACTTTTTATCTTCTAACAGTAATAAACGTCAGCTTTTGAGAAATCTATCTTTAATAGTTACATATATAGTTGTTCTAGGGAAGAAAAATCCATTTTTTTTGTGTTCTTAATAACTGTACTTGTTGCTCAAAAAATTCGCCATCTATCAATATTATATTATTGAAGCAAACTCGTAAGATAGAGGTAAGTTATTCATTGGAAAACAAATATGCTTCAAAAAATCTATTTATTATAATAACAGAATCTCTATGCCCAAATGAGTAATTCATATCTATGCTTAATAAATCCATGATGATTCAGAACCGTTCAATTTTCCGATGAAACATTTCGATATCGTAAATAATTGAGTACTTAGCTGTCATGACAAATGAATAATAATATTGAAGAACATCAATACTTTTCTCAAGAGTAAAAATGTGTTGATTTGTACGAGAAATTATTTTACAATGTCTACGACAGAAAAAACGATCCTTGTTCCCGAATACTTTTAACAGTAAACGCATGGATTATAGTGATTTATAGGAGTTTTCATAGACGCCATTTATACGTACAGGAAAACTATATCACTAGAAGCATTAGAGAAATGAATGAAGTTTTCCCTTGATGCTAACTTCATATGAAGTAACCGGATGTTCTTCAGCTAATGTAGATTTTGATGAGAAAATGTATTACTTATTAGAATTGTCATAGTCTTGCAACAAGGGTAGTTCATTAGTCTACGATGAGCGATTTAATAAAATATTTTTCGCAGCTTCTTTTCCTAAAACAGTATGTCAGTCAGACTAGACTTAAACGCATAGATTACGTAATGTTACCTTCTTTCTTCGTCGCCAACTGTTTTAACATATCAAATAAGCGAATGTTTTTAAAACTAAATTTCCGATAGAAAACTCCGATACGATAATATTGCACTCGAGTTCGTCGTACTATTGTATCGCATGAAAACACAATCGAATCAATCAGAGACGTATTTTGACGCCGCTGAGTCAGAATTTATCGGTAAAAAATAACGTGAAAAAACGATCACACACATACCGGCACTTCAGTTCTTGATCGACTACCTGTTAGTGCATTTTTATAGAGTATGAAACAGTATATCTTTCTTTTTCAAGAAGTCGAACACAAGTCAATTGACACGCGGTTATTTATGTGGAATAAGAATCAATCATTACTCATGAGAATCACAATAAAATCGAATAATTTTCTATACAGCGACCGGAGCATATATTTTTCGACCTACCTGTATAATGTTCTCTTTAATTTGACATCCATTTCATTTTACACCGTGTCAAAAGGAAGCCTTTTAACAAAATGAAACTTATGCCATATGATTATGCAATAGTTTTTTTTCCTTTGTGGTTTCTGATAAAACCGCACTATTCAATGATACGTATCATTGAACAACATCTTGATTAACTAAACGGTTCGTTTTTTTTATATGATTAAGTTTCTACGAGACGAATGAATTCTTTTTATCAACGGTGTTCAATAACAATACCGGATAGAGGTTTGTTTTATTTCAAAAGACCAAAAACAAAGAAACCAACAATCAATAACAAAAAAAATTTCTAACAATGTTTTTATTACTGCTTTAATTATTGAAATAATCTTGTAAGGATTCACCTAATGTTGATTCCATATCAACAATAACACGATGACATGTTTTTTCAACTTCATCATTTGGATCTTAATGAGAAAGAAAACAAAGTAGATTAGTTTTAACGAAACATTCGATTACATACCTTCCATTAGTTCAGTCATAAATGGAACAGCTTCTGCTAAAAGACTTTGATAGTTCATGCCTAATTTTTTTGACATTTCTTGAATAACAATTAAAGTCGCTAAACGAACTTTTGATAAATTCGATCGGGTTTTTAATAAAATTTGATAATGAATTTTACGCCACAGGGATTCTTCTTTTGTTGCTGCTGTTAAATTAACAATACATGGCGCAACATTCTGTTGAATCCATTGAGCATAGTCGTCAGTTGACGTGAAATTTTCCATCTACAAAAATAGAAATAATTTTAACTATCAAAAACAAAAGGTGTTATTTTTGATTATACCTGATCAACAATGGGCATCATAAGTAATTGAAAACGCTCGTCATTTATAAATCCAACACTATCGAACAAACATAAGTTCGATATTGAACCTAGTATTCCATTGATTAATTCAATTTTATTTTCGTCAACATATTTTTTACGAAAATTTATTTTAAATTCAGCTTCCGTGTCTTCCATTTTTGATGTATTCAATTGATTGAGAATACTTGATGAATGTTGAATTATATGACCAGCAAATAATGTAAATAAACCTTTTAATCGTTTCGAAAGTCTAACACAAAAACAAATTAGTTTTTTTATAAAATACAAAAGTAAGATTTCTTACATTAATGTTAAACGATAGAATGTTAATGTATATTCTGCTGGCGGCTCATTATAAACTGCCCATTCATAAATCGTATAGAATAATGGTCGGAATGTTTCTTCCGATAAGCGCATAACAAGTTCCGCAAAACATTCGAATATATAATCTTCATATATATTCATTTTGTTGGGTGGCATTTTTTTCGTATGCATTGTTCGCAATGTAAATAATTTCAAAAAGAGTTTTTTAAGTAATGAATAATTACTGCTTAAATCATCTGATGTTGCTACTGATAATGATTGTTTTAATAGTGCCATCAGTGGTTCGAGATCATTTAGTTCAAATTCATTTTTATCAATAACATCGTATAATATAGGAAATAAAAGACGATGTGGAACATGTAATGCTATATGAGACCACATGGTACGTAAACGTTGATCTGATACGCACGCTGGATGTGTCAACAACGTACATGTCTTTAATGAGAAGAAAAAATGATTTGATGAAAAAATATTTTAGAGAATTCTAATTACTCGTTTGATAATATCTGATAGATATGGTGTCAGATAATTGCATAACGTTCGAACTAATTTTGATAAACATGCAATAACACTTGTTAGTAGTAGTTCATTCCTAAATAATTTTAATTATAGATTCTTCTTTGTATTCATAGTTAAAAATCTTGGTTTTAGGATAGAAGCCTTCTCATTGGTCAACAGATTTCAACCGAAACAGTGTCCATTGAGTATATTGTATTTCTTCCTCTCGATAAAACTCATGTTCTTTACAGCAATCTCGAAGTGAAGAGTCTTCGAAAATTTCCCTTGAATGTATCCAGTCTTCTCTTAGCAAATAAACGGGAACACTGGCCGAGCGTATGCAAAGCCTAGGAAAATTATAAATTACCAATTTGTTCTCGCTCAAAATGGAAATTACTCGATACAATATACGATGTTGGTCAGCAACTAATCTATCAAAACAGTAACAACGTATGTCATCAAATCAAGGAATGCAAGAATTTATGTCTTCATCACCGATGGGCGAGCAAGTCACGTATCAATAACAAACACCTTCGTTCTCTTATGACATACCATCGAATATTACCAGTGTTCGTACAATGTTACTGAATGAGCTGATAGAAACGCCCACATATGATCCCACTCAAGATATTTACAGCTCATTTTGGGTATATTTACATATACATAGTCTCGAATAAAAAACACGACTATTATTTTTCTGTCATAGGAATTGAGTCCAATGCATTTGAATTTGTTTTTCTTCAACAATCAGAGGAGAGAGCGGGAGAAGACTTTTCGTCCTGTCATGTTGTTTATCTTTGTTCTGGTTGACAACAGGGCAGGACAAAAAGCAAAAACTTTGCCCTACAGACACATATGCTCATCTTTGATTGTAATCAAGTCCAAGAAAACAATTTTTTGATTCTTGCACTACTAGGAAAATACCAAATCTAATCATATTTATTGAAATTTACTCTAGATTTAATAGGTATGCTCTTTTTTTTAGTACATACTTAGTAACATTTTCTGATTGATATGTTTGCAAAACATGTGGCATAAACGACGGTAATTCGCCAATTGAATAAATTTTTAATGTAGCACATAGTTCTGCCAAACATAAGTAAATACTTGCGCTTAAATTCGAATGTTGTCCACTATCGATAAGCCGTAAGTATTGACAAATAAATGTTAAAGACTAAATGAATAAAGCAAAAAACATTAACCTATAATAACTTCTTTTTTTCTTTTTTAAGCATTTTCTTATCCGACCATCAGAAAGAAAAGCAAAAAAAAATTTCTATCTATGATGTAAACATACGCTCTATCTATCGTGAGTAATAATACTGTAACTAATAAAATTGAAAAGAAATGCTTCATCATCTTCGTTTTCAATATGCGTATGTTATGTTATGTTTATTGTATAGAGTACGAGAGTCAATTTACTCGGTGTACCGTGAATGAAAGGTGTATGCATTAATATAAATTGAATTTCTTTTTATAGATAATATACGCACTTTACTTAAACGAACGACGCAAAGAGAATTAAATTTTTCACGCGAATACACTAAGGTAACGTTTAGGAAGAAGATGCGTCTTTATTCACCCCCCGTGAACTATCACAAACAGTGTTCTCGTTGATAAAAAATATTAACCTTGATTAACAGAACACACAATGTTGAAAGATATGCATCACGACATTCAGGGGTGCCTCTGTAGCAGGTATATATATATATATATATATATGTGCTTTTATTTAAGTAGATTCATTCATTCAAAGAATAAAATTATGATGCAAAGTGAAGACACATCGTCGATAAAACAGCACCATCATCATGAGCCTAAACGTCGAATCTTTCAGACAAAGACATTTCGTTTGTTATCAATGCTTTCATTGACATTTATGTACTTTATTGTGGAACTTGTTGTCGGCGAAATAACTAATTCTGTTGCACTTGTTGCCGATGCATTTCACATGTTATCAGATGTTATCTCATTAGTCATTGCTATTGTTGCTGTGAGAATATCGAAACGTCGGTCGGATATAAATACGTATGGATGGGTACGCGCTGAAGTTGTTGGTGCAAATATAAATACAGTTTTTCTTCTGGCACTATGCTTAACTATTGTATTCGATGCAATCAAACGTTTCATTCAACCTGAACCGATCGAAAATGTTAATTTATTATTGATTGTTGGCTCGATTGGTTTAGGTATTAATATCGTTGGTCTTTTCTTATTTCAAGGATTTCATGGACATTCTCATGGAGGCAGTTCACACGGACATTCACATGGAAGTAGTTCGCATGGACATTCTCATGAAAATGATTCGCCGAAGAATAGTGAAGTAGATCTAAACTTAAACGAAAATGCTCTATCCGATCTGGAAGAAATATCGAACAAATTTGAAAGACATAGTACACGTGCTTTACAAGAAGTAAGTGAATTCGAGCTATGCTTTTGTTCTAGAAGATTTTCTTATTAAACTTTAGGTTATTGCTGAATGTGCAAATCAAATTGATGAACAATCAGAAACGGTTATTGACATGGACGATGATAATAATAATAATAATAATAATAATAAAACAGATACTGCTAGCAAAACAGATAAACCACAAAAGAGAAGATCAATGAATATGCACGGTGTATTTTTGCATGTATTGGCCGATGCACTCGGCTCAATAGTTGTAATAATCAGTGCTTTATTAATTAAATTTGTTCCGCATGATCCCGAAAATAGAAAACATTGGACCATTTATATTGATCCAACTCTATCAGTTATTATTATTATTATTATAACCATATCTACTATTCCATTATTTAAAGAAACATCATATATTTTACTCCAAGCAATACCGAAAAATCTTGAAATTAACGGAATAAAAACTCGTCTATTAGAAAATATTCCTGAAATTCATAGTGTTCATGAATTACATGTATGGCGTTTAACAGACGATAAAGTTATTGCGAGTGCACATTTAAATCGAAAAAGTCTATCAAATTATATGACTGTTGCTGATAAAGTTAAGAAATTCTTTCATTCAATCGGTATACATTCTGTGACAATACAATATGAATGTGATGATGATTTGAAAACTAAGCGACAACCGCTAACAACAATAGCCAACGAAGCGAATTCGAATAGTACAGACAAAATTCCTGGCGATTGTTTATTGCGTTGTGAAAATGATGAATGTGAAACACAAGCGTGTTGCACAAAATCTTCAGATCGAAATAATATATTATTGAATAATAAAATGGAAGTATTGTCTGTTACTCAAACGAACAACTATGAAAATTCTTCACAACTTCAAGCATCAGTTAATCCATCGTTTCAGGAAGAATAGTGATTTCGTTTTGTTTTATATACATACTACTGTTTATAAAAAAAAGACAAAGATTTTATCGACAGAAATAAATTAAATTTCGCTATCGGTAGTGCTGACATCGTTTCAAGGGAATGTAATAGATGACTTCAAGTCATTCACCCTATTGATATTTTGAAAAATTATTAAAACTTACCGATGAAAATTCTGTTGGATGCTTTTCAGCTAAACGTTTAGCAAGTAATTTGATTGAAAAAAGCGCTGTTTGGGCTGTTTGTTCTTGTTCATGTGTTGAATATTTGTTAATAATCGATAATAAACCATCCATATGTGGTAGAAATAAAACAAGCTAAATAATAATTTAGAAAAAAAGTAAGCCCTGTTTGACTCCTTATGCTTATTTTTACCTCATTTTCTGGTGTAAATTCATCTTTCAAACGATTATTTAATATTTCTAAAGTTTTTCGTTGTAATTTATCGTTTGTTTGTTGTTGTTGAAGTAGATTTGATATGATGTTGGCAAACATTGAACCATTTAATAGAGCAATACTTTTATTTAAACAATCATAAATTTTATTTAATATTGATTTATTATAACGAGTTATATCGACATCATCTTCGGATAATTTATTAGCCCATAATAAACAATGAAGAATCGCTTGAATTAATTCATTCAAATAATTTAATTCATTTTCTTGATGAAAACCACGTTTAATCTATTTAGAGAACAACATAATGTTTTAGGATTAAAATGAAGAAAAAAATAGTATCACTACTATAGTGAATTTACGTTCCGCCTGTGATTATCATCAAAGGAAAGAAAAGTCCATGATGGTGCTCAACAGTCTATATGAACGACTCAAAAAATAACGACTGAAATCTTACCATTTTAATGAAGAAATCAGCAGAAAGAACATTATTAACGAATGCTAATAATTGATATTTAAACACGTGAATATGTTTTGTTGTATAGAGACGTAAGTCGATCAAATGTGAATATGTCGATGGAGTCGATTGATGTTCTTAAATGATGAGAAACGTAGATTTAACAGAAAAAATGAATGTTTCTTTACTTGTTATTTGATCAGGTAAATTCAAAAGAATGTTTAATATACGTGTAAGACTAATCAGTATTGTTGATATTGGAAATTGATTAAAACCGCTTAACATTTGTTCATTAGCTTCGATCAAAGATTTCTAAACGAAAACAAAAGTAATAATAATAATAATCAATTTCAAGATGGCGTCAATGAATTTACTTTTAATGTTTCTTCATTTTTTCTATTTATTGGTGATAGAAGAACAGAATCAAACAATTGGATTGGTGCAAACCAAAGACATTCTTCTTGGCCGATCGATTCCATCAGCATACGAAATATATCTTGCCGACGATGTGCCGGTAAATGTGCTAATGATGTTACAAAAACATGAGTAATTTTAGCGAGTATTGGTCGGCGTTGCTCAGCGTTTTTCTCCTTAAAGTTCAAATTATTTTTTATCTTAATAAAAGTAAGAAGAAAAAACATACTTTATATAAAGATGGTATAACAGTTTTTATTGTCTTTTCCATAACTTGATAACTGTATAAATCATCTTTACGTACAAGACGATCGCCAACAAAAGCAAACATGGCCATGATCATACTAATTAATTTTTCCTAAAAAACGAAATCGATCTTTAGATTATATTCTTCGTAGTAGATTTAGTATCATTTTGATAATCTCATCAAGACGTCCTTAGAAATTCTAGTTTAATAGCTTGAAATATCGTTGTCTTTCATTTTCTCTTGCAACTATTAAACATTTCAGATCAAACTCAGTAAATCAATCCATAATTCGCGCTTGTAAAGCATAGGGAACAATACTTCATTCTTACTCTACTGGTCTTTTGAGATAACTTACCGGAAATAGTTGTGCGCCTTTCGATAAAAGCATAAGACATTGTTGTGTTGTATGCAAATCATTTGTACGCCTCATACATTCCATAACAACTTCGCTATTGAAAATATCCGGATTGCATTCATCTGTAAAAAAAAAAGAATAATAATCGACTTATTTAGTAAAAATTTCTTCTTGAAATTCAAAAGCTAACCTGATTTTAATTGTGTATAAAGATTAAGTAAAGCTGTTGAACACAACTGATGAATATAGGTTTTTTGTTCGAACTCTTCTGTTTGATTCAAAGATTTTTCAAGCATAACAAACAACGGACGAATTAATTCATGTCGATTAGTAATTAATAATTGATCATTATGTAAGAGTTCTAATGATGGTATGAGATTTTTCCAACTGATTGAGATATTTATTGGATTTGTTGGTGCTGATTCGTTGGTTTTTGAAACAATTAATTTCTTATTTGATAAACGATTTTGTTGTACATTTGAAGTATTTTCTTGATTGTTTGGTTCGAGAATAGTTTTCCAATAAGTTAAGAAGTGTTTAGCTTCGAAATTAAACTACAAAAAATAGGAAACAAAGAGTGAAAATACTTTTCAAATTTTTTCAAACAAACTTCGGATAGGGTTGTTTTAATTGTCGATGTTAATTGTGCAGATTTTGAACGTTGCCATAATGAAAAACATTCATCGATTAATTGAATTTGTTTCTCGAAATCTGATGAAAGCGATGAAAACATTTCCGATGTGAACTAAAAAACAATACAAATTAGTAATTGATATACATTCGGTGCTTAGGATTTTGCTACAATATTTCTCGTAAAAATGGTTAAGCAAATATTTTCATTCCTTAGAAATGTTACTTTAAGAAATAAAAAAACAAAGAACATTTTCCGTATGTAACCAGAATGATTGAATGTTTTTGCATATGCAAATCATGCAGGCTCGAGGGTGTGAGCAGCTTCTCTTCTATCGTACACCCGCACCCTCACCAATGAAGTATAGACGAAACTGTTTTTTCTCCCCATTAAATCATTCTAGAAGAATATCTATAAAAATATACCTGTTTTAATGCTAATGTCATAATATCAATGGTTATTAATGCTTTTGATTTTTTAATAGAACGTTTTAATATTTGTAAAATAATTTCAAAACAAAATGATTGTTCATGCATTAATGTTTCACAATCCATATGATGAATAATATGTTCAATAAATATTTTATTATGATGTACTGCTAAATTTTGTTCAGACAATTGAAGAAGATTTTCCATATCAATACGATATTCATTAAATATTGACCAATGTTTACATTGTTTCAGTACATAAAGTAAATGAATATTTAATTGTTGTTTTAACTTGTGATTTAAATCTTCATTGGAGTCGATTGTTGTTTTAAATAAACTTATTAGTGATGAATTGTCAGAATTTAATTTACGTTTTTTCTTTTCATTTAATTTAATCGGTTGAATTAATTGCGATATTAAATAACAAATATATTCGGAATCCGTTAAAATTTCGTTTTCATGATGTTTTACACTTTGTATGAATGCATCGAAATCATCTGTTGAACATTTTAATTTTGTTTGGAAAATTTTCAATGTTGACGAGCGAATCGGTCGATAGGTTGAATGAAGACAAAAGCTCAATATTAATATTGATAGATTTGTATATTCAGTTGTGTGAGATTGTTTGACAATATATTTCAATATGAGTTCTTGTTCATGATTTTTCTCTGCGATGTTTAGATAATATTCAGCAAGATATAGAACAAGTTTATTTAATAATGGAAATTGTTCATTGAATAGAAGATGAAGATGTGAGATTTTCTCTTCGGAACACAACCATTGAATACATTCACATAGAAAATCATTGGTAAATGACGATTGACTATTATCTAGATAATTAATTTTAAAAAAAGCACTTCGATTTCTGATGGTAAAAAGAAAATTTTTACCTTTGGGTAAAGCTTGAATATAGAGTTTCCAAAGAAAATCATAACTTATCTTTGTTAATGGAACTTTCTTGATGACATGTAAATCAATTAAAGTTTTACTCTCAGTTAGTTCAGTTGATTCTGCATTGATTGGTGAAATCTATTAAGAGAATTACAAAAGCAAAAAAAAAAGTTAAAAATAATTCAAGACAGATAATGGAGAATTTCAAGAGTTAACTCCAGATCTATGAAACGTAGAACTGTACTCAACGATTCTTATAGATCTCATTTTGCACAAGAGAAAATTTCGTATTGTCTCCGAAAATAATTATTTTCTACAGTTTGAAATATCTGAATATAGACTTCAATGAGAAAATATGGCGATTAATTTTCAACTTACTTCTTTCGATAAACTTTTTAATAGTTTAAAAACTATAATTGTAGCTAATTGATTATATTCATTATTAGCATGTTGTTTTATTGTTTCTATTCCTAATAGTACATAGATAATAGCAAATTTAACCCAATTTGGTCGAAAATGTTCAACAAGCCGTAGAATTTCATCGGATTGTCGTAATAACGGTAACAATATATTGCTTTGATCATCGCTAATTGCAATTGATTGAATAAATCGATCAATAGCTGTTGATAAACTATCAACTGTTGTTGATTTGAAAATTTTTTTCGTTAATTTGAGTAATGGCGATGATGTTTGTTTTTGTTTATAATTTTCTAACAGATTATTTAACAAATTGAGCTCCGACGACGTTGTTGGAAAAAGTAGATGGAGGTATTTATTTTCAGATGAAGGATCAAGTGTCAATAGACGAACAATTGATTGTTGAACTGATGACCTGAAATCAAATGTTTAGTTTCATTATTACCCATCATTTCAGGAGAAGAACGAATCCATGTAGAAGTCAACAATGAATGAAAACTCCTGTGAAACTTACCAATCTTCGTTTTCACGTTGAAGAAGTTTTTGTAAGATATCATTAATTTGTTGGTTATCTGTTAGCTGTAATTCTTCTAAAAGATGAAGGGCTTCATGAACAACTGTAATTTCATTATCAATTAAACGCGATGTAAGAACATCAATAAGAAATTCAGTTTCAATATTCTAAATAAGAAACCAATCGCACTAAAACTAAACATTACATTATAGAAAATCAAATACTTGTTTTGCCATGATTCCTTCGCGAATTCGTTGTAAAGCTTCAATTCGTAATTGTGCTTGTGGATGATTGAGACAAATAGCAAGTGAACCACGATCAGATAATGGCTAAAAAAAATGGATAAATCAATTAATCTAAGCTTGTTTTTGCACATATTCTTTTACTTGATGTTTAAATCCAATGGCAGTCATTGATGCGAACTCTCTAATACGTTTTCGTTCTTCGTCAGTCGAACAACTTTCTGTTTGTTGGCGAATATTATCATCGAAATCAATCGGGTACCTTATTGGGAAGAAAAATAACAATCAAATTTTTGAATATTTTGTTAAAAAAAGCTTACTTTCGTTCAATGATTGATGCTAAGGATACAATGTAAGTATTGTTTTTACTATTAAATTGTTTTATAAAACAATTAATGATAAATTTAAGAATGGCTGAATTAAATTTTATTGTATTTAATGTTTTTTCGATTAATGAAGTGAAATTTTCTTCATGATCAGTTTCCATTTGATTGTTATCTTTTAAAACATGATTGAGTAATTGTTCGAACCATCCGCAGAGAAAATTATCTAGGCGAACTTCATTTGTCAATTGAAAAATTTCTTCAGCCACGTTTGAGAGTTGACATAATTTAAGAAAACATCTTTTTAAATTAAAAATAAACGAAAATACATGATGATGTTTTCTAGAGCGAGAAGGATAATCTATACATACCTATCTGGTACTGATTGATGATGTTGATTGTTAAGAAATACGGAGATAATTAAAAGATTTTCTTTGATTAAATCATCAGAAAAACCCTAGTTTATAAAAAAAATTTTTTCGTTTAAATTCAAATAAGACTATAAGATCAATCCTTTGCTTAGGATGGGCCATAGATGAGGATAGGTAATCTCAGTTATTCTTTAGACTTTATATTAGAAATCCTTCGGATATCAAGTAGTTGAAAAACACTAGTCACTTGTGCTAGAACACAAGAAGCCCATGACCTATTCATATGAAAATGTCAGCATTGTAAAGGATTATATAATGATCGGCAAGTTCCTGACGAATAAATATTTTGTCAAAATCTCTAGTGGCCTCTTTAATTCTATTAGCATGAAGGGGCTAAATCATTTTGACTTACTTTAGAAATAACATTAAGTATTTCATCTTTAATATTCGTTTGAAACGTAAATATATTTGATAAATTCGAAAGAATCAAATAAGTTGCGCGTTTATAATCTAGACATTTTGATTTAAGACCTTTCAGTAAATAAGGCATGAATTGAGCAATAAAGTTTTCTTCGTTGGAATTTTTCTTCTTCTTTTTTTTCTTATTCGCCAATGAATGTAATATAGTTGAACATATTGTTTTTAGATAAAAATTCATTATAACCCGTAATGACGAATGACTCGAGCCGAATTCCTAAATTAAAATAAGAAGCATTCTTTTACTAAAAATTCCGATTTCTCTGTGCTAATTTTTACATGAACTGCCATTGCAACGGAATCACAAATAAAATTAAAAAACCCTAAATCAGTTGCACAACGATTAGCCATAACAAGACCGGGAATTGTTGTTCCAGCTTTCTACAAAAACGCCAACAAACATATTAAAATAAATCTTCGATCATAATCTTTATTTACTTGAGCAGACTCAAGCCATGTCCAAGTGCTCTGTTTATCACTTAGCCGAAGCATTTGAACAGCCCGTGTGAAATAATTATGTTCATGATACGGTAATATGCACCGTATAAGATCATCAACATTGTAAAAATGAATGAAAAATCTTAATAAAAGATAAATTTTACTTTTAAGAAATAAAAAGTCTCTGTTACGTTACCGATGCACAAGCCATTCTAATGCTTTGTGAGCTGGACTTAAGAGAAAATATGGTGAAAGACGAATAAGAAATCGTCGAATAGTTTGATTCAATGAATCATTGACTTCTTTAGTTTGAATACTACGTTCAAATGTTAAACTTGTATCACTGAAAAGAACGCGTTCGAATTCTTCAAAACCAGAATCAAGTAAACAGAGTTCTTCAAACCCATTTGCACCTTAAACAAAACAAACAAGAAGATTACAATGAAAATAATATTAGATTTATCTTTACCAAGACAATAAATTGTTTCTCGATCGAGCGTTGAAGCTACTTTCGGATCATAGAGAAATGATGCTCGTTTACGATTGTCACTATCGGTCAATTGCCACTGAGTATGAGCATCAGCAAGTTTACTTAATTGTAATTTTAATGAAGTCATATTTTCAAAATCAAAATCAAACTCAAAGAATTGTGATTTTATTCGCGAGGGCAGATAAATCGAAAGAAATAGGCTATTCTCATTCGTGGATCATTATTTCGAATTACGATTATGACATTACGCCTCCCTCTCGATTTGTATGCAGTCTTACCGATAGCGACATCTGGATATTTTTTTGCATCTCGAGATCATTTTCGTATAGTTTAGTCTACGAAGAAGAAAGAAGAAATGTGCAAAACATTTCCTAATGATGAAATGCAATGTTTAGTTTGTTGAAGAAATTTGAGGTTTGATTTCAATTTCGTAAAAGAATTATATTTAGTGACAGGGAATCCGAGTATAAGTTGCCGTACATAAGAGATGATGACAGCTATACTAAAGTAACATTTTATGAAGCTTAGAGATATTTTGATCCATCAAGAGTTGAAATGTTACCTTCATGATTATTTATATCAAGTATGAAATAAAAGCTTATGTTTATATGATACAATGGTAATTTGAACCTTGATCGAAAGTACACTTGTCAACAGCTTCTAGAGTATGGTGTTTTATATCTCGTATATCAAGAAATAAGCAGCTCTAATTCAATCAAATCTATTAATCAGATACGAAATAGAGGACAGGCCAATAAAGCAGGACGTATATCCGTACCCAGGTCACACAGTCCTTGCTCCCGGATTTGATCGGAATCCGGTGATATCCTGGAGTCGATTTCCGGGAGAAAGAATTCCGACAACTATCGACGGGAACCGATCGGCATTTTATTAATCCGACAGGATTCTGGTGATCGTGAGTGCCTTAGGTAGTATATAATTTTCGAGTAGATTCACACCTATATACGTACTTGATCTTTTGATCAAAATATAAAGAACCTGTAGTAGTACTAGTATCATCTAAGGATAATTTCTCATTTATGCATCTTACATATATGTCAGTATCTTTTAGCTATCCGACATTTTATTATTATTATTATTATGTATAAAGTTTTTGTATTTTACAGCAGCGAAAGTTATGTGACGACACAATGTATATGTCGTGCCGAAGTTACACTCTTTGCCGAAGTTATAACTTCGACAAGCAAATTTTGTCGAAGTTACTGTGAATGATTCGATACACATAAAACATTAAAAAATTAACGTAATTTTTTCGATATCAATATTAATAACTATTTTTTAATTTAATAGAGATAGAAAGAAAGCACACTGTTGGATAAGGACGTAAATCTGCCACCCCTTGGTTTTGAAATTCTGCACAATTCTGTATTTCTCTTTTGCTTTTGGTTGAGTAAAACAAAAAATTATTTTAAGGCAGACTTATCAAGGGATATATATCATTTTTGTGAATTAAGAGCGATTAGTATACACTCGATGTTTTTTTCAGTCGAATATTCAATATGAAAATTAGTAGAATAGGTCAACGTAGGGATGCACCAGTACCAGTATTTTACTAATACTGGTTAATCCGTAAATGAAAATGATAAGAAGGAATGAAGAACGTTCACTTTATGTTATCAGCTAGTTGAAAAAATAAGATTATATGCTGTTACACGACTTTTGAAAACTGAAATTTTTTATTTAAATACCCAGGTCGAACAGTACGGTCCGTATACAGCCGTTTACGGTTACTTTATGACTATTTTCCGGGTGAAAACTTGTCGTAATATCTGGTGCAGTAATACGGACCGTCTGATCATGAGAGTACGGAGCACAAACAGCCGTAAATCATGAAAATTCAGTCCTGTTTACGGTGCCGCATTACTGTGCCAGGTATTACGAGTGTAACGATTAATAAGACTCAGTTGAGTCTATATCGTAATGACAAACTGGATAGAGGTGGAGTAGCTTACCGCTACTCTAGGTAATGATGTTTATTCGTTTATTCACATATCCAGAGTGTAACGACACAACTAGAGAGTGTCGCCTATGCCCGTCGACATGATGGTATATTGTGTCATCTGACATCTCTAGAGTGTAACAACTTCATACATAACACACGTATATATAGGAGAGAGATAGAAGAGAGACAAGAGAGAGAGATATTACACCAATGGAAAGAGAACAGAAGGAAGAGGAAGGAGAATCATCGAAGCGTGCAATCAATATCGGCACAACGAGCAAATACGGCCTATTTACTGCCGTAAATATACCGTTTTGACATTGTTTACCGTCGATAAACAGACCGTAAACGAGTCCGTTTTGATCAACCTGGGTATACACGAAGAAAATAATGGTAGAGAAAATTACTTGATTAAACAATAATTATTTCTGAAAAATAAGACCAGTATACTGGTCGACCAGTATATTACTGGTACTGGTGCATCCCTACGTTGACCTATTCTACTAGTTTTCATATTGAATATTCGACTGAAAAAAACATCGAGAGTATACTAATCGCTCTTAATTCACAAAAATGATATATATCCCTTGATAAATCTGCGTTAAAATAATTTTTTGTTTTACTCAACCAAAAGCAAAAGAGAAATACAGAATTGTGCAGAATTTCAAAACCAAGGGGTGGCAGATTTACGTCCTTATCCAACAGTGTGCTTTCTTTCTATCTCTATTAAATTAAAAAATAGTTATTAATATTGATATCGAAAAAATTACGTTAATTTTTTAATGTTTTATGTGTATCGAATCAGTCACAGTAACTTCGACAAAATTTGCTTGTCGAAGTTATAACTTCGGCAAAGATAATCGTCGAAGTTATAACTTCGGCACGACATATATAAAGAGAGATTACCATTTTGACGGAATTTACTTCTGCAGAAAAGCTGCAAAAGTAAATTCCGTATTGGCTCATTTTATGTTGAATTTTACATGACATTGTGCAATTGCATTAACGCACTAATATATAATGACGATAACACAACCTACGAATGTTTTATCCATTCTTCGTATAGTATATACGTATCGGCTGTATATAACCAGCGAACAATAGTATTTTTTCTCCTATACGAAGACGTGCTTGGACACTCATTCTGTTGTTTTCCAACTATATTACTATATATTAGTGCGTTTATGTAATTGCACAATGCCATGTAAAATTCCATATAAAGTTAGCCTAGGCGGAATTTACTTTTACAGCTTTTCTGCAGAAGGAAATTCCGTCAAAATGGTAGTCTCTCTTTCTATACATTGTGTAGTTACATATTAACTTTCACTGCTGTAAAATACAAGAAATTTATATTTCACAAGTCGCTCTTAAACATATATATATATATGTGTGACGATTTATACGTATGTTCGAGTGTAAGTGATATTCTTGTACATAATAATGTTCCTCTCTCATGCGCTGTCTCTCTCTTTAGCCGTATATCGCTCTCTCTCTCTGTTCTCTTCCTGTTTGTGTGGATAGTGTGCGCTGAAGTGGAGAGATCTATAAAAGGAAGTGACAAATTGAAATAAAGACAGAGTGGAAAAAGACGTCATATCTGCTTGTTCGTTACAATATATATTATGCACTTTTCTTTTTACTTCTCAGATTATAAAGCACTCGTATGCTGTATATTTAGCTGGAAAAACAATAAAAATTTGAATGTTTATTTAAACATAAGGTAGGATTTCTATTTCAGACTTTAATTCATGTGTATCAATGATATGTTTGAGTTGAAATAGATTTATTTTCACTTAGTAAATAATAGCATGTTGGAAATAGTTCTACGAGGTTGATTTGACATTTTGTATTGTTACTTATATCAAATAACGCAGTTTTTTTTATATTAAATAATAACGGTATACTCGTCGTGGCGTGCAGGTGTTTGCTGTCATCCTTCATTAGCTGTTGTAGGCAAGACAGTTTTTGATAGTAATTTAGGACACATGCAATCTCAACATAGATTTCTCAGTGGAGCACTTGCAGACAAAAAAGGTTTCCAAGTACTTTCTTTTCTTACGATAGTATAATCCTATTTATCTTTTATTAAACAACGAAAATTGAATCTGATTATGATCAGTAATCGAAATTGTTGATTTGATACTATATTAATCACAATTCAAGAACCAGAATATTGATCAGACCGATTGATAGCATTGATTGTTGCTTTTACACTTGCAGCTAAAAGAACTAGGCCATTTCTAAATTAAATTTTCTACTAGAAGGTCGCGATGTAATTTGCTCGACTTTTTTTTGTAAACCAAAGAAAAATCTGAATTATAGAGGGACTTATTATTTTTGTGCTGGATCTGTACTTCCGATCGAATAATAAGCACATTAGTAACAATTGATGGAACCTTCAATTACAGATTTGAAAAGAAACGTGTTCCTATTTTGAAAACGTACGAAGTATAGCCAGTTAGAAGTCGCAATAACGTAGGTGCATACATCCTCTTGATAATTAAAATAATTATGGAGTTAAACAACGAATAGTTTTGTTGATTTTATTTATTGATTCTATGTAATACTTTCTTACACACCCACTCGTATTCTTCAGGCAATTGTGTGGTCTCCATCGATAAATTTCATTATAACTTTTTATTCTTACGTAGACAATAATAGCAAATAAGAACAAAAAAATAGAATATCCGATAAATGCGTTTCAATAAGAAAAATTGAATGCATTCTAATCTTGATTGTGTCAGACTATGACAAGAAATATTGAGTAAAATGATCTCGTATTTATGACTATATTTCAAAGCTAAATTCGCCAATATGCTAATTAAAAAAGAAAAAGATGATTAAGGTCAAAATTAGAGAAAATGAAACACGAAAAGATAATAACAACGATGTTGATGACAGAATGGTAAAGAGCCATCTTTGCTTTTTCCTCAAAAAGACTCGATCGTTAGTTCAATTACGACTGAGACAGAGTGAAAAAGTAAGAATTTTGTTTTCGATTTTTATTCAGATTGATGTAATAGAAAGCATGTTTTTGTAATACATGTGTATGATAAGTATTAGATAATTTTCTTGGAAATAAACTATATTTGTTTTGTCGTTCACGTATCATTTGGATTGAAACGGTCGGAAATGTGAACCGGAACTTATTATGGTGATCGCTATCGTTACCGAAAAATAAAAAGGAAACAACTAGTCGTCTAAACCATTTCCATGCACGTCAAAATCGATCTCTAATCGAACTAGAGAATTTTCACAACAACATCGATGTCTATATATATATATATATATATATATCTTAATATTAACATGTTGCTACTGACTGTTGTTCATCCACAACAAGCGACGGCAAAAGAAAACAAAAAACTACATAAAATTGAATTAGATCATCGTGCATGTCGATAGTCATATTTTCTCGTTCGTTGTATTCATATTGCTTATAATGATCGTTCTATGCCTTAATTCTAAAATGAGATGACTTATTTTCTTTTTGTCGACCCGATATTATAAGTCAAGATTTGCATGTCTTCCAAGTGATGTATGATCGACTCATAAGATCTATTCTTTTTCATCAATATTATCTTAATGCGAAGAGAACAAGATTAGCATGTCCTCCTACTTGTGCATGAAACATCTTATCTGTATTTTACATCGTATTCACATATAAGTATTGCTTTTAGCAGTCTTGATTCTTTTGACTTTTTCTTTTCAATAAAAACATTTCTATCAATTGTAATGATAGATTCCGAAAATGAGAATATTTGTCTTTGTTCCCATATGATTTCTTCTTCTTTTTGTTTTTGATAGATAAACAACAAAAAAAATGAGAAATGGATGTATCACAGACGATATATAAATACTATATATAGATATATGCTCGCTGATGTTTTTGGCATAATATATACAAGCATTTATTTATTCATTTAGTGAGAAAAATAATCATTCCTTATAATAAATTTACGACAAGTTTTAATTGTCTCATTTGAATATTTTTATTCTGCAAGCATACGCCTACAGAATTTCATCATTATTTAAAAAGAACAAAAAGAAAATGACATCTATTTTTTTTTTTGCATGCGACAACTTCTTTTTCTTTTGTTTTTTGTTCAATTCTCTTGAAAGTTAGTTACACGAATAGACATCTATATACGCTTCTATGTGTTCAGCAAGCACTTCTAGTTTAACTCCGCAGAGGTTTTCTTGTCATTTGATGCGTCTTCTCATATGTGTAGTGAGAAAGAACGAGAGATAAATTGTGAAATCATATATACGCGAAGAGAGAAAAACGAGATTAAAGATGAAACTAAGAATGACTTTGCTTTCAATGGCGAGCCATTTGATAGATAGTTAATTATGTTAACATACATCTTACTGAAAACCTTTTTCTTTTCACTTGTTAATATCTAACAGTGAGAGAAGAAGAAAAACAAACAAAAGAATGATTGCACGTCTGATTGGTTTTGCTGCACTAACGATCATCACCGTTCTCGGAAATATAATTATTGTTATTGCTATATGCGTAGAACCAAGATTGAAAAGCGTATGTTCATTTGACATGATTTTATTTTTTGTTCATTTTTGAAATTTTTATTAAGGTGAGCAATTACTTAATTATTAATTTAGCTGTTGCTGACTTTTTTGTCGGCACAACAGTTATTCCATTCATATCACTTTGGGAAATCAATGGTAAATGGCTTTTTGGTGAACTATTATGTAATATATGGTTGTGTTGTACTTTATTATTTTGTACTGTATCTTTTTTAACAATGTCTGCGATAGCATTAGATCGTTATTTATATCTAATTGAATCGAAAATGAATCGTAAGCGACGTACAGTACGACGAGCATTTTCATTAATTATATTAACATGGTTGATTCCAGCAATGGTTTGGATACCAGGTAAGAATTGATAGGGAGATTTTTATTTTTGTTTATTATTTCATTTTTTTAAATATCTCGTTCAAAGGTGTTATTGTACATAGTTATATGCCTGGATGCTCGCCACTTGTTTTACCTGAAAACGGCTGCTATTTACAAGGACGTTCTATTTATGTTTTGATAGCAACAATTTTATTGTTCTTCTTGCCAATGATCGGCATGATTGTATTATATATAAAAATCTTCCGTGTATTACATGGCCAAATGAGCAAATTATTAGTTTGGTTAACAGAAGTTAAACTTAACAATGGACGTCGTACATCACAAACAATTGTGTTCGATCCGTTGACAGGTACTGGAAATGAAACAGGCGGCGGACGTGGACCTGCATCGACAGCAAGTAGCACATCAAATTTTCATCAGCAAACGGCACGTTGTACAACAATCGGAAGTATGAATAATATAAATTACATCCATCATCATCATCATCACCCACGTATGACAACTAATTATGCCACAATACGTACTATTAAAAATGCTGCAGCAATGGAAACAAATAAGTATCGTTTAACACAACAGCAACAGCAGGAACAAGAATTATTACAAACAGCTGATGAATTATCGACGAGTACAAAACATAGATTTCGTCGTGCTGTTCACGCTATTGTATGGCTTGGACGTACAAGAGACTCAGCTGGCATCAATAAGGGTTCATTTAAAGAATATCGTGAAAATTCTCAAGCACGTTCAAATAAAAAACTTTTCTATACATCGGCATGGTCGTCAGCGGGAACAAATAATAATCCGTTTCGGCGTGCACGTAACGCAACATATAGACGTGCTATATCAACAAGTGGTTCACTATTGCAGAGACAAATAAGTGTTGCACGACGACAACAACAGCAAAAGATGCGTTTAGCTAAACAGCGCCGTGTGGCACGTACACTTGGTGTACTTATATTTGTTTTTCTTGTTTCCTGGCTACCATTTACAATACTATGGCCTGTGCAAAGATCTTTCGGTCATAAATATGTATCAAATAGTCTATTAAGAAAAACCCTATGGTTAACATATGCCAATACATTTATTAATCCATTTCTTTATTTTTTCTCGAATAATGATTTTCGTTATGCGTTACGAAGAATATTAAAATGTTGTTTTCGACAAAATGGTAGTAGTTCAAATATACAGATAAAATAATAAATACAAATGCAAAGCAAAAAATTATTTATTTGCATTTTTCTTCTACAAAATTATCTATTAATCCTAATGTTTCATGAACAAAATTTTTACGCCCTTCAGTAAAATCTGCAACAACATCACCATGACCTTCAACGATCCATTTGGTTGTTAATAAACCTTCGATACCAACCGGACCACGTGCATGTATACGGCCGGTACTAATGCCAACTTCAGCACCTAATTTAATGATCGTCTTTCATTTATTAGAAATTTTTATTTCTGCTTTTCTTTTCTACGTACCTAAACCAAATCGATAACCATCTGAAAAACGTGTACTAACATTATGAAAAACGCATGCACTATCAACATCATTAAGAAAATTGCTGGCTGTATTTTCTATGCATCAAAAATAAATAAATAAATATTTTTTCTTTGCTGTATTTTTCTGTGTACAAATAAAATACTTACGATTTTCAGTTACGATTGAATCCGTATGATTAGAACTAAACTTATTAATATGTTCAATGGCATCTTTGACATCATCAACAACTTCAATAGCACATTGCAAATCACCATATTCAACACGTAACGATGTTGCTGATGGTGGCGGGAATGGAACCATTGTTGATAAACGAGGTCCCGAGTAAACCTTGACCTAAATGAAAGAGAGTAAGTCTTTGTCATATTCCTTTTTAACCATTAATTTTTATAATGAAATCAAAGTGCTTTTAATAGCTTTCTTTTTGATGAAACGACTCTTGTTCGTCACTTGAAACTACCAAACAGAAAACTTACTTATTTTCTTTCCATAATAAAATAATTGAAAAAAAGATTGCTATTTATATATACCACTGCTTCTTTTTACATTTCATAATGTACTCAAAAAGAAAATGAAGCTATTTTAGTCAAGAAAACAAACCTTTTCACTGCGTAATAAATCTATTAGTGATTCAAAAAATGGTGTTCGAATAAGGTCTTTATGAATAAGTAATGTTTCCATAGCATTGCAAGCACTTGGATAATCACATTTTGAATCTCGTACTTAAGAAAGTGCGAATAATAAAATATCCGACTTTTTCTTTAATAGAAAAAACTTACCAATACGTAAAGCCATATCTAAATTTGCATCTTTATCAACATATACATGACAAATACCTTCTGCATGACCTAATACGGGTATATGTATACTTTGCTTTTGCACCGAACGTACAAGTTCATTGGAACCACGTGGTATAACAAGATCGATATATTTTCCTAACTTCAGTAAATCTGACACTTGTTCACGTTTATTAATCTTTAATGACAATTATTCTTTCCTTTTTAGAATGCTCAAATATATGATTAATAATTACTAGAGCAATTGTGTCTCGGGATGCATGTGGTTCAAGTGCATCTTGTATTAGTTTTGTTAATATTTCATTTGAATATTTAGCTTCTGAACCACCTTTCAATAGAAGACCATTACCAGAACATATTGATAGTGCAGCTATTTGTGGTAAACTATCAGGCCGGGATTCAAATATAACAAGAAGAACACCGATTGGGGCTGTAATTTGTTTTAGTAGTAACCCGTCTGCAAGACGTGTTCGACGAACAACTTTTCCTAAATAGTTTCAGTGTGACAATCAAAAATAAATGAATTGCGTAAGAAATATATTCTACAAACCAAGTACGCCACTTTTTTCAGCTATTTGCTGAAGTCCAAGTGATAATGTTTGTAGTTTTTTTTCTGTAAGACCAAGACGTCCAATTAAAGATGATTTAAGACCTATGAATAGAGTTCTTTTGAAATAAAATAAAGAGAATTTAACATCAAACCTCCTTTTATTGCTTCGTCTAAATCGTGTTTATTTGCATGTAGAATATCATTTGAATATTCATTTAAATTTGATGCAATTTTATTAATTATTTCTTTACGTTGATGACTTGTTAACTTTTGTAAAAGTCGACTACCATCACGAGCTACGAAAATTTAAAACATAACATTTTATAAGCAAAACATATTACAATGAAACCTTTTATAGCTTGAATATCAACTGGTAACGATGTATTAGGAATATTTGTAAAAAATGTTCCAATTTTTTTTCCATCAATTATATTTAAAATAGCTTTATCGATTTGTCCATTTGTTATAACTACACCAACATCATGATCGAGTGCCCATGACGCGCATTTTACCTAAAAAAACAAAAACAAAAAAAGATAACTTCATTTTCTTGAATAAAGAACAGAAACGAAAAGAAAAAGCAACATCTCTTACCTTAGACTCCATGCCGCCAGTACCCACTTTTGAACGAGCACCAAATGTAATTAATTGTGAATCGTTTTTCGGGCAAAACGTATTCAATAATCTTGAACCTTCTGCTTCCGGTGGTCCTGTATATAGACCATTGACATCACTCATTATTAATAATAAATCTGCCGATATTAAAACAGCTAAACGAGCAGCTAATGAATCATTATCATTAATTACAATATCATCTTTTGCTGCTGTTACTTCAGCGTCGGTATCTGTACATGGCGCAACTGCATCGTTTGTATTTAAAATAGGTATAATATTTAAGTTAAGTAGTTCATCAAGTGTCGCTTGTAAATTTTTTCTACTATCAGCATTGTAGAAATCACTTTTTGTTACTAATACTTGTGCAACACCAATGTTATATTGTTGAAACATTCGTTCGTAGAACGACATTAAACCTTTCTGTCCAAAAGCAGCACATGCTTGTCTTTGAATAGCCAAACGGCTGTTGAGTAAAATATCTTTAGGTGAAAGGGATTTTCTCATTGTCATTGTCATCATAGCTTCTTTGCGTAGAACTTGTCTACCGAATGCAACTGCTCCACTAGTTACCAATAACATTTGTCGGCCTTCGTTTTGTAATTGTGACACTTGTTCAACTGTTGATGCTAAACGTCCTATGGCTAGGCCATCTTCATTTTCACGTGTTATCAATGCTGTACCAAGTTTAACAATAATACGACGTGCATCTTTCATATCAGTACGACATGAGATTGATGATTTTTTTGGTTTTATTGTTCCATTGGTATGCAATACTATAAAAGCAGTGAAATTTAAAATATAAAAATCGAAAATTATTTATTTCTATTTTTTTTACATGATGAAACTGCCGTTTGTGCACGTTTCGATACTATATTTAATGTACTCATTCGACTCCATGATGAATATCCATAACGAGATAAAATTGACATGGCTGATTTTTTATTTTTTTTTTCTGTATAAATTAAAATACAATAATTTACGTCTACTTTTATTTGCTAAACTTCAATTGTCTTATCACATATGATGAATGCTAGAAGGGCTAAACGCGATAGTATGCATGTTATGATATAAGCTTGTTTCGAATCATGCATTGAAAGTATGATCATTTGCATGATTATCTATGGTATTTCGTATGCATATCAGTACAAGTACATCTTCTTTATTTCTTGTGTTTTAAGATAATATTTCAAACATGAATAACACATATGAGAGTTTATGCGAATAACAGTTGCGGTAAATAATAATTTCAGATGTTTCATTGTCCGATAAAACACTACTTTATCTTAGCAAAGATAAATGAAAGTTAATAAAAAAAAACTCAAGATAACATCAGTGTATAGTCAAAAGTACATAGAGAGAATATGAGTAAAAATTCCACCTTTTAGTTCGAGTTGATAATTTATCTAGAAACTATGTAATTATAACACATTGAAGATCAAAAGAAATTTAGCATTTAATATTGTTATTATTTGATTCCCGTCATTTGCAATAACAACAGAAAAACATGCCTAGAAAATATTATTTTACCACCGAAGTACTTTTTCTTTGTGTTATTCAGTGCAGATTTGGAGAAAGAAATTATCTCTTTCATCATTTACCAGAAATATGTGCGAGTGCGATAGTAAATGACACTGGTATACACAACCAGATGTAGCCCTCGATCCGATATCATCGTAAATATCAGCTGAATAACTGCAATTTTCTGTCAAAATCAAGCATTTATGCGATTAATCAGCCTAATAAATCGCGACAAAACTACTGAATATTCGATAACATAAGATTAGATGAGAATCATTTTATCCCATGTTTTGTTTATTTTCAACCATAAATAAACTTGTAAATATTTTTCTTTCTTATGCAATATACATAGAGAGAGAGAGAGAGTTGTTAGTGTTAATCAGATACATACAACAAACAATCCACTAATATAATCCCTTTGAAAATTATCAATGATTGTATAATACCCATTATTCTGACATTTAATAATTACCCTTGACATTATACCAATGATTTTCTCCATCTTTCTATCATGCATAACCATATTTTAGTTAACACGTTTCCTGTTATTTTTATCAGATTGTATTTTTCTTTATAAGATCTAATAATTATTTCTGTATTTGCACAGCCGCCAATTAACATTGAATAAGGATGTTTCCCGACACAAAAGAAAAACTAAATCTTCCGGACCGCCTTTTTCTTTCTGGCGGAAAACACTGAAAGTTATTCAAATATAATAATTTATATACAAAGATGCTCTTAATTTATATGTTTAGTTCTGAATGGCATAAAGAAACAAAAATTGGCGTTTTCTTTTCTTTTTTCTTTTTATTGACTTGTTCGGGAAAACGGAAAGCACATATCATTCTAAATTAAACACGCGAAGAAAAAAAAAGTAAACAAAAAAGTAAAAAGAGACAAATTAGGACTGACACCAAAAAAAGTTGCATATGTATATCATAATGTAGATGCTTCCTGAGATCCCATTTTAGTTTTTATAAATGCACATTTATATTTATATATATAATACGAGTATCACAGACAAAACATTCTCATTCTTCTCCTAGTTTTTATTTTTATTTTTTAAACGTCAGTATCCTTTGCAGATTTAGAAGTGTCATGAATATTTTCTGGCTTCTCGTTAATTAATTGTTGTTGCAGTTTTCGATGTAAAAACGATGGCAGTGGAGGTGGTGGAATGCGAGATAATCGTGGTCGATAATTATTTATTGGTGTATTTCCATTTTGATAATTTAGATTTGTTCCTGGTGTACTCGTATTAATATTATTGTCCGTTGAACTTACCGACTGAGATGGAGGTGCATAAAGACGATTTACTGTTTTAAAGCGGGTCCATAGTTGATTGATTATTTCTGTTACAACAAGATCGCTGCTATTTACTGACAATAAACGTGTAACGAAAACTCCGTCGTCTTTTAAGTAATGTAAAACGAATTCGCGTGCTAATTGACGTTCTTCTTGGGGATTAAAAGATGACATTATACCAAGATGACGTTTAACAAAATGAATCTTTTCACCTGAATAAAGAAGAAAATTAGATCTTAATTCGTTTTAAATAGAATTTGTATTAGACAGAAAAGAATGTCATCTTTATAGAAAATTTTTATTTGTTCCCAATAGAATTCTGTAATTTACATGTGCCGTTTTTCCATTAACGATTCCCAGGAGATGTGACTCTTCAACAAAAAAAAACTACATAAAAACTTACGCGAAACAGTACAATGATATAACCAAACAAGAAAATCATAAATTGTTGCTAGAAACAAAATATATATAATAAACATAGACGAAAGAAACGCCTTCTCTCTATAAACCTACCAGCACTAATTGATATAAGCCAAAACCATTGAATAATAAAAATTACTTCATTAAATAAATTTATTCGTAATACACATTGTACTGTGTAAAAATGATTAATACCAATTTCTCGAATTTTAAAATCACTAATCGAAGAAACAGTAGAGAAAACTTTCAATTTGAATTTGTTTTTTTGCGAAAAAAAAAACTTACCAATAAGTCACTTTAGGAAAATGTCGATTTTCAGTCCAACGTTGATTTTTAAATAATTTTTCAATGACTTCAAAGCCAAATAAATAATATTCGTTGCCTAGAAATGCATTTAATAAAAATAATTGTGCTAATGCGTTAACAAGCCACATCAATTTGACAAGGAAATAGACGATAACCAGATAATTTCCGTAATGACGATTCGAACAAAAGAAACATAATTGGAAAAATCGCCGAATACATGAGAAACGTTTTTGAATGTGATGTCGAGTTAATTGTGCTCGAGCTGATATATAACGTTCAATGTTAACAATTAAATAGCTCATTATACGATCTCGGGATTCATACTGTTCAACTTGTTCATATTTCTACAAAAACCAAAATCAAAATTAACCATTCAGTAACAAAACAAAAAATCATCACTTACTATGGCTGCATCAACAAGATTTACTAAATCAAGACCTGATCTTACATTGAGTGTACGCCAAACAACACGTGGGAAATAGAATAAGAATGCTTGAAATAATAAAATGAAGGGAACCCATTGATAATAGAGCTGAAGTAGAAATGAAAAACAAAAAAAAACGAATTACAATCAAATAACTACATTAAAAAATCAAAATGATCTATTATTTACGATATCTTTATTGCGTCGACTTGATTCTTCGTCAGGCAATTCTTGATCAATCGGAATATCTAATAAAATAGAAATCAAATTTTGCTCTATTAAATAATATTAACATTAATTCTATTGCTTACAATAAGTATTAGCGATCCAACAATAACTGTCTGTATAAGCTTCATAAGACGGTTTGAATTGTGCGGGTACCTAACCAATCAAAATAAAATGATTTTGTTAACAAAGACAATAATATTTACCCAACAGTCGATAGGATCTCCTAAAATATAATTAATAGTAATAACAACAACAAACCGTTGTTTATATCTCCTACCGGCGTATTGTTTAGTCGTGACAAGAATAGCAAAAACAACGCATATAGTTGTTGTATATCGATGACTGAGCCGATCCACATAAGAATCATCATCACGAAATTGTCTTAAATTTGAAACAGAGAGACCAGCGAGTTGTCTGACTAATTCCATCTATATTTTTGTTCTTTATGCTGCCGTTGATGGTGATCATCAGGCATAGTTTTACTGTTTAGATCTAGAAGAAGCAGAAGAAATAAGATTCTCTCATGAGAGTTAAATTTTATCTTTTATCTCGACTCAATCAACATGATGTTATTGATATATCATAATCATCATTCACTTACTTCTCATTTTCTCTCTCTCTCTCTCTGTTAATATAATGTTATTCAAGTATTTTGTTTCAATGATATTTGTATAAAAATGATTTCTACTTTTTTTTTTATTAATAAATGTGTGATTTGAACTTGAATAATAATATAATATTCATCGTTGTTCCATTTTTTAATTCTCTTTCGCTCTTACGTCTATTATCACATTGCATTATCAAAAAATGATTACAGAAACGAGCTTCTTATTTCTATATGCAATACGGCTACTCCTGTTGCAACCATCATCATTACTTAAGTGAGTATGGCTCGGCGAAGTCATCGAGAACGATCGAAGCGAAGAAAATAAGGAATATACATCTATCCATCTATCCATCCACACGCGCAGCACTCTACACATTCGATGGTTACATAAAAAAAAAAGCGCAAACACAAAGATCTTTCTATTATAATCGTGATTGGAACACACACGCATAGAGATTTATTTTGATAAGATGAAAAAATACGCATGCATGAATACATACATACATGTATGTCTATTTAGTTAATGAGGCTTTGATTAAACTTGTATTTCGATAATCATTAACCGAATAAAATTTAAATGAAATTAAACAGCAAGAGAAAAAAAATGTTAATGCCAGACATTGTCGTATACGTAGAGTTTCATAATACGGAAACCATAGAAAAATAATAATCGACTATTTATATAAATGTATACATGTATTATTATACATGATTCTATGTAGTGATAGACATGCAACAATATCGAAATATTGGATGTAGATAGACTAATTCCATTATTCTGGAAGACAAGATACGCATATACACGTTTATAGACGACATCTAGTATTTGCGGTCGATGATGTTAATGAAAAAAAAAAGGCGATTGTGTTTTCTTATCATTAGACACTAGGGAGTACATGTATCGATTGCTGTTGACGCACAGACTTAGTCGACCAAATTATAGCTCATGCTGTTCGTCTTAAGCTGACTAAACAGGCTACAGAGCAACTACTTTTTTCCTGAGCATTTTGTCGCCTTGTTCTTTTTCAATTAGTATTGAGAGACCCTCACGCAATCGTGCCTGTCGGCTTGCCTATGTTGAAGACAAAGTCGATAGTTCAACTACTCAAGAAAGCTATCATTAGCAATGTACGTGAATGGATGTAATCTTAATCGTAAGCAAAGAAAATATCAGATTGTTTATATTCTAGAATTAAACATTTGCTTTCTTTTCATGCTCTGTTTACAATCTTATTGTGATGATTACCTTTCAATTAACTCTTATAAATATCTCTCATAAAAGATTCCTTACCTTCATTTAATGATTATATTATTTTCTAGTTCACACACTTTTTTTGACGTATACACTCTAGTAGTCTCCGAAGAGCTTTATCGTTATACAAAAGAAAAGAATAGAAAGAAAATTCATCAGTTTCTATCGAAATCGCAGAGCAAAAATCGTGCAATAGAAAAACGGCCTCTCTATCTCATGGTGGTGCTTCTTCTCTCTCTCTCTCTCTCTCTCTCTCTATGTCTTTCACAATGCGACGATTCATTGAAAAGATCAGAGCAAGAAAAGAAAGAGCGACAGGCAGACAGAGAAGAGAAGAGAAGAGAGAAGCAACAACGACAAGCGCTTGCTAAGATTTTCCTAAGACAATCATCTATCCATTGGGCTAGTTAGTAGAAACACGCAAGACATTAGCATGGCACGTATGTACAAGAGAACGAACAACAATACATCAACAACTATTTATCTAAAAATGCCACAATACCGACAGTAAAGCATGTCTGGTACCAATCTTTTTTTCCTCTTTTCTTCTACTCTCCGCCTCCCAGCTTGTTCTTCCTCCATCCTTTCCAAGCGGTCACTCATTCACACGCACACGAGCCAGTAAGCAGGAAGTTATCTACTGCCGAGGGCCACTTGTATGTTGACTATGGTGAAAAACGACAGTCGTGTTCATTAAGCTTCAGTGAAAAATGGAGAGAGAAAGAAAGAAGAGAGAGAGAGAGAGAGAAATGAGCAATGTTTCCCATTCTTGGAACGCTCAGTTGCTCCATTTGCTCGCTCGTATACTCGTTTTTCTTTTTTGTGTCGTCATCGTCATCGTTGTCGATTGCCCTGATGTCATGTACAAAGAATAGCATTATGCGCTCTATGACACACACCATTCTAAATATGAAGATAGTCATATATTTTAGCTTCTAAATCACATCAATGAAAAAAAAGAAAAGCAAAAAGAAAAACTCCACTCATACTCATTTTCAACAAATGACAAAGATTGGCTTTTTATGTTCACGTACGAGAAAAGGATGACGACACGATAAGAACTGGAGGAAATATCAGATGGTGCCGCAAAAGAAAGAAAGTGAATAGAAATACTAAACAATGATGATGATGATGATGATAATAACGACAAGGAGAACATCGACAACTAACGATTATTGACATTAAAGACTTGATTTCACTACTCGAACTACTCAAACTACTACTATGGGCACTCATGTTGTTCTCATCAATTTCTCTGTAGTGATTTTAATGATACTAGTAAACTGAACGAGTGAAATACTTGTATTGAGAATATGTCATAAATACAGCAAGCAATCGAGCAATTGATTGTTCCAATTTGACATGTTGTTTAGAATGTGCACGATTAATTGTCATAAATTTTCCAAGAAAAGAGAAAAACGCAACTAGCGAACGAATGAACGAACAGCAATACAAATAAAACTACATGCCATTTACTTTGTAAAGTAGCACACATAGCTTCTAACAACAGCATGAAATGTTTATGCGTGTTCCTGTCATTAATTTGCCCTTCTCAGGCATCGTTTCCATGTCTTATCAATCCTCTCTATTGTAGAAGATTGATGATAATCGATGACACATTCAATGCTCAGTCATATTATTTCGTATGAAACATAACAAAGTGTTTTTAATCACACCTATAAAAGCTGTCCTATGGAGGTTTCTTCCGTTGACATTTTTTGTTTCTGTTGAAATGAAATCTAGGTTTTTTCTTATGATGACTGACAAATGAATTTTCCACTGAACAACAAATGTATTATTTTCATCTATTCATATTAACCATGTCAAAAAGGATTATCTTCGTTGTCGAACTAAGGACAAAACTTCTTTAACATGTCATAAAGGATTTGCTTTGATATTAATATCAAGATTATAGATAATACCAAATAGTTTATTGATTAATTGTAAAAGGAAACTCTGTTTGTTCTTAATGTATCTGGCGTCTGATTGATGATGCGTTTCTAGCACCACATAAAACAAAAGGAATAATATATTGTAAAACAATCGAAACAATTGTATATTTATAAAGGCTGCTTTTACAATAGCTGTTTTGATTCGTTTGAGAATATTGTACATCATTGTAAACACTAAAGGTCCAAACAGATCCTAATATAAGCCAAATAAAACTAAATAATTGTAAAAGTAAAATAACAACAGCCGAAGAGTTCACATAAAAGAATGCAAATATATCTTCATCGATTTTTCTCATATGAAGAATTATAGCAATAGTAGTTAAACTAACCATTACAAGATTAATAGTAGATATAACGACTAAATAAATTGGTATTAGTGGTTCAATTGGGCACTCGGACATATTTGTACTTCCCATCACCAATGTTATCAATGTAAATATTAAATCAAGCCCGGTACAAATCACTGCAACAGGTAAATACGACACATGGATGCCGGCTATGTTTCGTAAATATTTACTAAAGTCCGTTGTTTCCAATCGCAAACTATTTGTTGTTGTTTGGTTGTCAACATTGGAAAATGAGTTGAAATCTGCTGATACGTCGGAAGTCATTTAATATTGTTTTCTGCTTTCTATAAAATTTTCGTCTTATTCTTGAATGTCGTACGATCGAATAAGTGTAGGCGAGAAAAAAAATATCCGAGCAAAAGAATAATAAAGCAAACAAAAAACTTGTTTTTTTTCTTCTCAATTTACATAGAAAAGAAAAATTCTATTGAAGCCTTATTTTTCAGCAGAATCTAAATAATTTTTATTCGCTTCAATATTGTAACCATGGATGAGAAAGTAGAGTCCGGCCATTAATCGGATAATTAATTTTAATTAATTTTTCAAAATCACGCCCCAATTGCGATGCTCGACAATCTAGACATCGATCGAAAGTAACCGTTACAATCAATGTCGCTTTATGATCAGGCAATTCAAATCGATCGACAATGGTAGCAAGACCAAAATCAATTAATTGAATACCACGTTCTTTAGAATACAATATATTTCCCCAATGAGCATCACTAAAATTAAGTTTAAGCTTACTGAATTTATTATAGAATAAAAGACTACAATATACAAACAGATGCATTATATGACAATTAGCTATTCGTTCCAATGCTTCTAATTGTTGTCGAACTAAACATCATCTTTTTTATTTTCAACGGAAATCAAAAGACATTTTGTATAGATTACTTAATGGTTTAGCAAGACGTTCTAAAATATTTTCACCATATTTCAATGGTGATACACCAGGTAATTCGTCGAATATTAGGTACCATTCATTTATATCTTTGGCAAATGTATTTGAAATACTCGCTGCAGCCGGCATCTAATACGCTAATTATCGATATTCTCAGTAATAAATGAGATTTTTTTACATACGAAACCATTTGTAAGAGCAATTTTCTCCGCAATATAATATTCAAATGGCACTGAAAAATATTCTCTTGGAAGATAAATAATTTATCATGATCGTCATTTACCTAAATTAGGATCAGCTGAACATGAAGCTTTTTGAATAAGTCCATTTTTAGGTTTATGACTACATGCATTGTCAGATGCGTGCAATGATTTAATATCATTTCTATGAACACATCGAGGTATGTCATCCTCCATCATATAATTATGTTTAGTTATTTTAAGTATGAAATTTTTACTGTGCAATTCAATACCGAATACAGTTGCTGAATTACCAGATATGAACGTTTTTTTCCATTTCATGTTGCTCAACGCTTCATTATTAATTTGTCGACCGAATTCATTAGCTTGAAGAAATCTTTTTGGTATTTCAAGACCAACTACTGATAGAGTACCAACAGGATTACTGCCTGGAACTAATGGAGGTTTTGCTATTTTTATATAACGACGATCTACTTCCGACCACTGTAGAAAAAACATAGAAGCAAGGAGAAAATACATAAGAAATTCTTTTCGAACTATTTACTAAATTTTTATCGAGATTAAAACCACCGATTGGAGAATAATAAAGTTCGTTTAAGGAAGCAACTTGGCCAGAGCCCAGTGGGCCATTGGATGTCGGTGATAAAAACTCATCGAAAGAAACAGACTCATAGTTTGGAGTGTCAGCAACAACAAATTGTTTTGATGCTTGACGATCTTCAGGACTCTAAAATAATTAATCTTGCCAATGTTCTTTATAGGTATCAAATTACTGAAGCTTGAAATTGTTGACTGTAAATTTTCGAACGATCACCAAAGACAGCAAGTGTTGGTGTATTATAACCAGGAACTTTCTGTCCCATGGGTGATTCAAAACCAACTAAAGTCCTATGATCATCACCTTCACTACCATGATCAGATAAAAATCGACTTCGGTCACTATCCGATTGATCAGTGAATGAAGAATCCGAACCAAACTGAAGAAAATCTATATACATGCATACAATGATTAATATCTATGTAATAGATTACTTCTGATGTTCTCAATTTTTGATCACGTAGAGAACTTAATTCATCATCGCTATCCGATCCACTCAATGTAAATCGATGTGGTCGACGATAAAAATGTGAATTAGATGATATTCTACTACTCGTATCATCACTGTGCCTTTGATCTTCTTCATCATCACTAAAACGTCGATTTGATAAAGTTAGACGTGCAATTCCATATTGATTTACATCATCTTCAGTATCGCTATCGAGATTTAACGAACGTATACTACTAGACAATGCTTCATTAACACCCTTTCTAGCTCCGTGTGGAGATGTACGAACATAACATCGAGAAATAATGTCGATAAATAATAGTAGTAATAAAATATCTAATTGATCGATAAAAAACATTATTGGCCAAACGAAAAACAATGGACAAAAAAAGATAGACTTGCGCAATTTTATTTACTTCTATTCCATAGCTACAGAAACTTCGACTTATATTAATAATTATTCTATCAAGTTTACCTTATATGGCGGCATTATATTTTCTTTTCATATTGAAGTGATTCAAATCATCGTACCACTTTAAAAATTCATTTAAAAATTCAAATAAACTCTATGATTATCTAATGCATTGCTCAGTGTGAAATTGCTAAGGCTACATGTTGTAGATAAAAATTAAATAAAGGAAAGAAACAATTTGTTATAAAAGATTTTTTTTTGATCAAGTTAACTTGATATAGAATAAAACATATTACTTATGTAAGATATTAAAAAGAGATTAGCGTTCGAGATAAGTGTAAGTTTTTTACAGTTTGTAAACCCTTTTCTTGTTTTTGTTTTTATGAGACTCTATTCGGAATTTATTACACCTCATCGATTGAAATCTAGGGTAACAATGAGTAAAATGTGTACTCTTTATGAACATATGAATGAATAACTAGAATCCTTATTTGTCGTCTTTGATCGTAAAACACGAAGCAATACTTTCAAATGATCAAAAGCTTCATTCAACTGTTGATCATAATTATTATGTACATACATAAACTAGATTAACGCGTTGTTCTTCGCGTTAGGCACAGCGTCCACTAGCTCGAGAGTGTTGTAAGGTTCATCTGTCATAGGCTCAAATATCAGCATGCATCCAACAATATCATTCTAATAGTATATCATATACTAGTGTGACGTCCATGATATATCATTTACCATCACTCTCCTGCTGATTATGTAAATCATGTTGCGTCATAAAAGTGTTCATGTTGAATCTTGTGTTTTTTGTCTTGATTAGACGAAATTCGTTAGTGATCCGAAATCTCAATATAGTGGTTAGATACCGTGATTCATCAAAAAAATGTATTTCTAAGTTTGAGATATAGTTACAAATTGAAAACTAACCAGTCGATAGAATAGTTTTATTGAAACTTTTAATTCATGTAATCCAGTATTAGAGTCTTTCTAGAGTTCATATTTTTCGGATTCGATCGAACGATATTTAAATATTTTCAATTAAATTTTTGAATTAGTAGTGAATAATCATCCTGAAGTCATAAGATTCTTTTACTATTCAATGAATAGCGGCGAACCCGATATATTTCTTCGATAATTAGAGTTCGCTCTATTAAAAATCTTGCAATCTGAAGGGATCCGTACGCTTATCAAACATTTACAATCAGTTAGATGACAAATATTCATGAACAACTTTTCTGCTATCATTCATTTGTAGAAACTAATAAAAACAAAATCTCTTTACATTTCATGAAACTTGATATATTTCTTATCAACAAGTCATTATTCAAAACTAGCGACATCTTCTCATAAATTCTCATTGGTCATTCTCCATGTTCTTGCATTTATACATCGCAAGTAAATAACATAAATAAAATGCTTGCCCATGTATCCTTACCATGAATTTTAGAGAAAAATGTTTATTATCAATAATTAGTAAATAGCATTAAAATAGAAGCCTTGCATCTGTATGCATGGCCGCATCGTCTACATTTATTCGTGATGCAACGCCAAATGTTAATGTTAATAAAAACAAAAATATATCTATCAATAATCTAAATCGTAGTAATGAACGTGCACTTGACGAAGCGAGCCATACGGGTGAACTTAATTTGAGTGGTCGTACTCTTCGAGAATTTCCTAATTACAAATGTGATCTATCTGATACAACTGTTGCTGGTTTGTAATTTTAATTTTATTTATTTCTCACTTTTTTTCAATCTTAAAACTTTTCATTAAATAGATTTGTCTCGTAATCGTTTTGTTGAGTTTCCACGTATATTATGTTCATTTTTTTCTCTTGAACGTTTAATTCTTTATCACAATGCAATTAAATCAATACCAGAGCAAATCGTTCAAATTCATATGCTTCACACTCTTGATTTAAGGTTCAATTTTGAAGACGAACAAAAACAAAACTTTATTTTATTCTTTATTTCTTTCTAGTCGCAATCAACTTGCCTATATTCCACCGGCATTATGTAAATTACCGAATTTAGAAGTTTTAATTATTAATAATAATAAACTTGTTTCACTACCGGAAGAAATTGGTCAATTAGAAAAGCTAATCGAATTAGTATGTGTTTCCTTTTTCTTTCGAGTGTTATTGATTAATTAATTCTATTGAAAAACTAGGATGTCAGTGCAAACGATATAACACAATTACCCTATCAACTAGGGACATTATCAACACTTCGTACATTAAATATGCGTCGAAATACGATTATTGAATTGCCAACAGGTAAAATAAGATAGAGAATTTTCGACTGAAAATGCATAGTCTTTTATTCAGTTAATTTTAATTTACAATATCAGGTATTGTTTTCTAAATCCTAATGCTTTAAATATTTTTTTCTTAATCTGGTCAAAGAAAACACAAATACTAAATTATTTTGCATGACAGAAAAACTTACAAGGGATTAAGCTTTGTTAAAAAATATTTTGTTGTGCGAAATGTTATGTTTTTATTTTTATTGATTTCTATAGAATTATGTGCATTGAAATTAATCTATTTGGATTGTTCAAATAATAAAATTGTTCGTTTACCATTAAACTTACGAGACATGAATAGTTTAATTGAACTTAACGTTGAAAATAATCCACTGGAACTTCCACCATCTTCGGTAGGATATTATGTTTTAATAGAATCAAAATTTATTATGTAATCTTTGTTAGATATGTACTCTTGGTTTACTTCATATAATGCGCTTTCTACTTATCGAAGCAATGAAAGAAGAGAAGCGACGTGGAATTTTAACAGAACATGAAATCAATGAAAAATATAAAAATTCATTTTCATATCAAACATCAAGGTAAAATCAAAAAATAAGATAAACAATGATTAGATTGTAGAATTTATTTATCCTTGGAGTTACTAATTGAGTTTCGTAGGTTTTCATCATAGAAGTAGAAATATCTTTCAAAAATACAGTAATGTCTAAGAAGGAAACCTCTCGAGATGATAAAGTACTCTAGTATTCATCATTATCAGATATGGAAAGCATAGAGATACTGATACCACTACGATCGAATTTCAACTGAGAATTATCTTTACATCAACTAGATTGTCTCTAATCAATACAGACAATTTGTTTGTTTTAGAAATTTGCAATATGGTATAAAACTACGAACGACTGTGGTGCCATCTGATTCTGGCTATTTAACAACTGAAGGAAGTGAAAAAACAGTTGGCGACGTAAGCAAATCGATATTGTATTTTCTTTGTTGGTGCTAATTATTATCTTAATCGTTTCTGTAGGACGATTCTATATTAAGCATATCCAGTGAACATACCCTTCGAAATGAACCTACCCTAATGCTTACCTTAGCTGACGAATTTTCTAAAGTATTAATATCATATTTATTAAAATAGACAATTAATTTCTATGTCTAATATTCTAGGAATTAGCCAGACAAAAAGCTGAATATGAAAAAAAGAAAAATCAAGCTCAACAACTAAAACGACATTTATTACAACAGTTAGGAGAAACTGAGACTCAAGTAAGATGGACAGTTTTGATTTTGCATATTTCATTAAATATTTGAAAATTAATAGAGAGCAAAAGCGCGTGAAGTTGCTCGAAGATTTCATGATGAAAAATTTGCTAAAATGGAAAAACAACGTGAAGATGCTCGACGTAAAATGGAGAACAGGTAAACATTAGAATCTAGATGTTTTTTAATGTAAATAAAATTCTTATTGCTCTAGTAAAAATATGCAATTATTCAATTTTTCATCGAAAGATGATTATCAAAAACCACGTTCATGGTTATCGAATAAAACAACATTAATTCGTCAATTATCAAGTTGTGAATCATCGGCGCCCAGTAAAATTCTCAATGAATCATTAATTAATACAATGAATGAAAAAAATAAAGATGATAATTCATATCAACGTTCGATATCTATTGAAAATGCAACATTAGACGAACACGAAAAACGATCAAATCGTGCTGTTAGCGTCGAACCTAATTTAATATCCGGTGGAAATGATGTTAAACATTTTTATAAGCAAAAAACTTTACCGAATGGCTCAACAATGCAATATGATAGTACAATAATAACGAACCGACAATTTATGCTAAGTTCAGACACCATGGATCAATCATCGTAAGAAGCAAAAGACAGTCTTAATTTTGATTTTATGAATTATTATCTTACTTTAGAACATCATCACAAAGTTTATTAGCGAGTCCAAACAATAGTTTAACTCGAACGGTATAATAGTATGAAATAGTGGTTTGCATATAATTGTTTTTCTCTCTCTATAGGATATATCTGATAAATCGTTATCTCCTCAACACAATCGATTAACTAGATTACGTTACTTTGATGACCGTCCAATCAATGTAAGTTCTATTATTAGTCTATGATTGATTGATGTCGATATTCTTTTCAATTAGCCGACTGTTGCACGTGTGCCTGGTTTTCATATGCAACCAAGAAGTAAATATAAAAATGTAAGAAAATAAGAAAATGTTTGATATGGTTTTAGTAAATTCAATAGCAAACGGACAACATCAGCAATCACCATTAGATAGTCCAGGTGTCAATCCAGCATTTACTATGCGTCGACATTTACTTCACGCAAAAGAAGATTATATTCAAATAGAACAAATGAAAAAAGTAAATAGATATCAAAGAAAAGCTCTAGTGGAAATGTTGACAAGAATTTTGAGAACTGTCGAACCATAAGGTTCTGCCAGAGAATTCTCTCTTTCTTGCAGTTTGATAATTGGCGACTGGAAGAGAGACGAAGGAACGAAATCGTCAGTCCTCTACTCTGCAAGCTTCAGCTTGACAGCTGTCAAATTGTCTATGGTTTGGCTTCTGCTATTTCAAAAGAACAATCGTCTATGCCATAAGCTGATATCTCAGCATGGATAAATTTTTCTAATTTAAAACTTGGAAAGGTTTCAGATGACTATAAGATCTATCTATGATGAAAAACTGAACAATACTTTTTTTTATTGAGTCGATGCCAATAGTCTTCAATTCGAAATAGTAGAGAATGTTTTACGTGGTCAACTTTTTATTTCATAAACGATTGAATTCTACTTGAAAATCTGTATGATCTCTAATTAAAGATAACATTTAGTTATATACGTACCTAATTGTAGTCTTGAAAGTACTATTAAATCTTTTCTATGGAATTTTTAAATTGTTTCTAGACAGTCGAAGACCGTGTTAAAGTTACATTACCCGATGATATTAGTTATGCATTAAGTGATGGCGTAGTTTTGTGTCACTTTATCAATCAAATTCGGCCACGTGCTGTTCAAAGCATTCATGTACCTTCGCAAGCAGTTGTAAGAAAATAAATCTCATTTTGTAAAATCAATATCAGTATTTTATTTTAGCCACGATTATCCTTAGCTAAATGCCGACGAAATGTTGAAAATTTTATTGAAGCAAGTCGTCGTCTTGGTGTTCCAGAAGTAAGTTACAAAAAACATACCTAATTACAATAGAAAAATTAATAACAACAGTACGAATGTAATTCATATTCAACTTTTGTTTTTAATACTAAACAGAACCAATATTTTCATTTATTCATTCCTACTCATTAAACGAAAGGGTAACAATTTCAAAGAAATTTTAGTTATAGTTTTGCTTTTATTTTCAAATAGTTTGAAGTTTATTTTGCACATTTTAAAGTAGTTAGATAAGTTTTTCTATTGATTTATAACAATACTTCTATCTTCACGCACACAATAGTAGTCCATTGTACTTTTGAACCCTTTTACAAGTCACAATTTAGCAGATGGCTATTTTTTCTGCTATAACTATGATTTTATTCACTTACAAGTAGTTCACTGATTATTGAATGCACAGCGACTCAACAGTTTTTATCTTTCGAGTAAAAGTCCGACTATTGAAAAACCACCGAGTTTCTTTCAGTTAGTTAATTTGACGAGATGAGTAACTGCTTTTGTTAAAGTGTGATCCCTCACAAAAATCTCTAAATGTCCTAGAACAATTTTTGAATCTGAGAATTTACAGATTACACGATGGTCCACAGAGCAAACCTACTGTTTGTACACGCCAGCTACCGAATAGCAGATTTCAGAGTCAAACTTTGTGCGCGAAGAATTATATTGAAATGGTTTTTTTCTCGAATTTAGATTGATTTATGCACACCTCAAGATATAATCGAAGAAAAAAATACGGTGCGTCTAGCACGTCATGTTCATCTATTGGTCTCGCCGGAATCTTTTGAACAAACAAATGTTTAATTAGATTAGCCTATCACAACATCTAATGGCATCTACTTCCATTTTCTCTCTCTCGTTTTTTATCTATCTATCTATGTTATCCAGCAATATTCTGTGTGTAATTGTGTGCAAATCTCAAATTTTTATCATCTCAATAATGTATGTTTATTAGCTCTGTACATGAATCTGTTTTTGTTTTTTTCTCTTCCTGTTTAAATATCAATAAAAATAAACGATAAATGAATTGTGCAAAGGCAAAAAAATTCTTCTTTTTTCTAGACCATTATGAGTTTTACAAATGATTTGAAATTACCAACATATGAAGAACTTGAATGTCCAGTAGTGAATATTTCGTCGCCTGCACTTCGAGCTGGAAGCTTTCATTTAGCGAAATATTGTGATTCACAATTTAAAGTTAGCTTCATAAAAAAAAATAAACTTTTCTGATTCAAAATAGAATTTTGTTTCTGTTTTAGGAATTTATGTTATGTCGACAGGTGAGAATAGAATAACCAGCCAGTCAAAGAACCTTGCTTTTCTTGGAGTCACGCTCATTTTCTATCCGGTTTCTGTTATCCTATTTATGGTTAACATTTCGTTGAACTGAGACGTATGCTTATCATCTAACCACTATTATAATAGCAGATGATCATTAAATTTAGATTTATTTAAGTTAGTTAATTATAAAAATATTTTTATTTTCTGGAGTCGAGAAGAAAAATATGTCTTATGCTAATAACTTCGATTTATTTAGGAAGAACAAGATCCAAGAAAATGTGTAAAGGAAGGCAAAGAAGTTTCATTATGTTCCATTGACTTTTTTCGTCAAGTACGTGACACATGTAATGATACATTTACAACATTTTGGACATGTTTGGATAATTCTCAAGATGGTGAAATGTCATTCAATTAGTATGTTTTAATTACAGTTACTATTTTATTCATCAAGATTCATTTTTTTTTAAATTTTAGCTGTAAAGCGGAACAAAAAGCATTTGAACTATGTGCTAAAAATAAAATGAATTTAGAACGGCCTGAACCTGGTTATTTTTCGATGGTTCGAATGCATGATAGTAAACGACCTGTACCATCGGATCCATTCCGAATTGGCTCATTAGAACGACATCCACCAAAATTAGAAGTACCAGATCCACCATTAATATCTCAAGCTAATGAATATCCCGAAGCGAAAATCGGAATGAAATTCGGACATCGAAAACCTTGGATGTTCGAAGGAAAATTATGGGATTGAGAATAGAAGTAAAAGAGAAAAAAATCTATTGTTTTTTGTCAAAGATTAGTGTGTAGTTTAAAAATCATTATCACTTCTTAAATTTACTGGTTATAAATCTGTGTGAAAATTTTCTGTCTAAATTGGAATCTATTGGTTTCATTTGGTGTTTTTTCTAGATGCCTAAAGCAGCGAACAGAAAACGGAGCAAAAACGATACATCCAAGAGAAATTCAAAATCTAATGAAGATGACGAACCGATTGTTACCGTGGCTGCCACGACGGATGAACCGAAATCTAATAAAGGTGTTAAACGAAAAGCTTCAGAATCAACAGAAAAAGTAAATAGAATTTTACTACATATTTTACAATCTTAGACGACTATGAAATGATTCATTGGAAACAATTACTTCTATATTAGAAATGATCCATATTCTCCCGATAGTTTTTATTATTGAGAAAATTACATTGCATACAGTCTAAGAATACTATAACTTCAACTAATTAAATCAAGTAGCCAAGGGGAAACGGCGGACTTTTGAACTTGAAGTTACTTTGAGTTACGTCAAGTAATTTACTTTCACCTACTTGTCAACTTCACATTTATTTGAAGTTTTCTGAAGTTACTTGTTCTAACTTTGTGCTACTTGAGTGATACTTTGAGCTACTTCAAACTAATTCAAGTAGCGTACTTTGACGTACTTTTGTACTTCAAGTCCGCTGTTTCCCCCTTGCAAATGATTCAAAAATAAAAAGCACAATATATCTAAGAGAGACAGAATGACATGTTAAGTCATTGCACCGTCTTCCTGAAGCCATTAAAGACATGGCTATGGAAGCATCAAACTTAACTAATCCCTAACATTTAATAACCACACATCATACAAGTGGCAAACATCCTCGTCAAAGGTTTTTCATTCTCACAGGCTATCATATACGCGCCTTAGTAACATCTCTTTCCTTTCCTGCCATTGACACCTTAGCAATGTTTCATTGAACCTCAGATGTTATTCATATACATATTAAGACCTGATGTCAATAACATCTTCTTTCTTACTACGTTAGTGATATATTAAGTGAAGAAATCAATCCCCAAATGGATAGAATAAAAAAGAATTTCCATATGATTAATAAGAATAGTTACACTGTGTTTCATACAAGGGGAAAATAGCTGATTCTGTGTGATTCCGTCGGCTCTGGAATCACTATGAATGTCACTGTATTTTTCGACTATGAAGTCGTAAAATCAATAGGAACATTATAGAATCATTATAGAGATGAATTCTGAAGACTCTCGATCATTCCATTCAATAGGAAAATCGGTTCACTCATGATCGTAAGAATCATTGAGTCGAGCACAAATGACATAATCTGTATAGTGCTAAATCTCAGCCAAAAGCATATCAGTTCTCATTTCACAGCAATCAAATATCATATTGGGACGATATCTAACCGAATGAACCAGTGCGATTTATTTCATTGTTTTATCGTGAGCACTCAAAGAATTACAGGTCGCAAGTGAGCTTTCTCGTTCGGCAATGGTGTCGAAATGTTAGATTTGACTGGAATCAACATTAAGTCATGAAAGAAATTGGATTACTGTTGTTTCTTGCGTTTTCATTATTTTCCATCCTGATTGCCACTGTTGTTTTCATTTCGAAAGCAGAGCTCTTAGTTAAAATATACAGTCTGTGAAAATTCGATGGTATGGAGAAAGGAGTCCTCAAACACAAAGAAGTGAAGGATCATAAAGAGAGTAAAAGCTCCAAAAAGTATAAAGCAGTCTGAGCGCTCAAGCAGCTGACTTAAGTTTTCATTTTGCTTTCTGTATCAAACACAAAATATAGGCTCTTTGTGCATATTAGCACCAATCTTTCTCAAAAAAGTTGAGAGTCACACGATATTCTATAGACTTCGTTCGGACATCATTTTTTGTGACTCTCCAGACGGAGAAAGTACTGTGATGGAACAATAGTGTCACGAAGAATATACAAAAACTACTTTGTGGGACTGAAATTGTGTATTTCCGACCGTTCGCGTTGACGTCGTCATTAGTTAAGCTAAAAACTGCAAACAGTATTTGTTGTATGTACGAAGAGAACATTCTGTATGAAGTATGTTGTCTCTCATACTAAGACCGTCGCGCACGATGTTCTACAGCTTATCCACACAGAACACCCAACCACAAATACATGAATATATAAGGATGGTTTTTGTGCTGGCTCCCGGCTGGTGCATCATCCCGAAAAACTGCATCTTATGACTTGTGAGCGTGACTAAGTAACCTATAGCCACTGAGCGCCAACAGAACGCAACAAAACATAGCTTAGCCAATTGGATTAAAAAAAGACATTCATTCTCCATTTTAATTAGTTATAGACGAGAATCCTTCACGCCTACCGTAGGTCCTTGTAAAAAGAAAAGTTGCCGATTTTTCGTGACTCCCGATTTCTTACTGTCTAGCTATACTTCGTCTGGCACTAAGCAACTTCTTTGAGATGCTATTAAAATGTACGTTTTTATGAATCCAAACGAATCCGATGGTATTGTAATTAATGAGTTTCGAAAATCGATACGTAAGACCCGACCGACTCAACGATTGGTAAATTAGAAAATTCACTACAGCATTGTGTTTTCAAGGAATCGTAAAACAAAGTCAAATTTTGACTGTAACCAAAGTGTATTGATCTCTTTCATTTCGGCTAATTTTTTATTCGAAATAAAGATTGCGGAAACAACAGTCTACGTAATCTATGAAACAAAAGAGATCGCGTAAGTCGAAAACTTTCTCATTTCTTCATTATCAGAAGCGATGGAAATTTGTAATTGTAAGAGTTTTGGCGCAAGAGGCATCGAAGAATATTGACATCTTAATGAGCTATAGAATATGAGTGATCATTAAGTCTTACTGTACTAAGCGAAGATAAATAAATCCTTTATCTTTAGGAAATAGCGATCAGTAAATCATTTATCTCTATCCTTTAGTATAAAGGAAATTAAAGATAAAGGATCTCCCCCATTTTAGAGCAGTTTCTAACGTACCAAACAGACTCACGTCGTGGATTCCAGCAGCCAGTCAAGTTTTCTAGGTGTTCTAACTTGGAAAAGTCGAAGAATCGTTTTGGACTCACGCAGTTGAAAATTGCTTGGGGACCTGATTATGTGCCAGAAAATTGTTAGATAATCTGGTTGATATGGTAAAAGCTATCCGAAAACTTATCGCTTTAGTCTCTTGAGGAATGAAAATGTGGAATGCAGAAGCTCTATTTGTTGTTTACTTGAGATAAATGTGAAAGGGCTTCAATTAACTTAACGAATAAATCATCCAAAATGATTACAACCGTTTATAGCTGGCACGAGTACTCGCGTATTTAATCATGTGGGAAATGCGTTCATGTATTGCTATTATTCAATTCAAGCAATTTATTAGATTCATTTAATATTGTTAGATTGAAAACGCTTTTTTCTATTGTGAAGTGCATTACATCCAATTCATCAATTCTTTTCTTCGAGTGATAATATGCGACACACGTTATATGAAGTGTAAATATCTTTTTATTCTTTCAATCGTTTTGACTACCATATTAACTTTCTATATATACATTGATTTGATCATTAAAGAAGAACCTGACACACTATTACTTGTTTTGACAAATAATGAGATATCAGTTGAGTTTTTTTTTCTAAATTTGGAATTCAGCTATTTCATAATTTAACACGGCGCTCATCCTATTCTTACTCTATTAAATTAATAATAACATTGATCTACTGAATGACATCTACAATAACGTCATTTCGTTGCATTAAATAATAAACTTGCCATATTTTGACTACGTAGTTAGGATGTACGGAGTTTTAGAATAATATAACCATCGTTATTGCTTACGCGCCTTTTTTCTATACTATAGAAATCTACTCAATAATCTTTGATTATGTTCTTCCCTTCTCACTCGCCATTGCTAGAGCGAAGAAGAAGTTGCGAAAACTTCGATTTTAACCGACAAACGTGTATATTTTCTTCGAAAGTATACAGAAGTTCGATAAAAATCTGCTTCTTTGTTGTAAAATTGTGAAATTAATTTTACTGTTGGGTGAAAAACTGCCAAAAATTACTTAACTGCTTCTAACCAATGAAATGTATTCGATTAAGCATGATGAGAAACATAGACATGCATTTCTTAGGTGCTTCCTTCCATGCGATTCCGAAGGATTCTGTGTAATTCCGATGGTTCTATCGCCGTAGAATCAAATTCCCCCCCCCCCTTGGTTTCATAGTTGAATCTCTCTTAGAGTTTGTACGATTCGATTTATTTCTAAATCTTATTTTAGAATATAAAAAAGAGTACATCCGTTAATGAAAGAAATACTATAGAAGCGACTCAAGATGTTGATGATGAGGAAATTCAATTACCAACTGTGATGACATTAAAAAAGTCGGATCGTTTATCATCAAATGGTAATAAGCCAACAGTAAAGTTTGCCTCATGGAATATAAACGGTATTCGTGCATGGTTAATCAAGGATGGTTTAAAATATATTGAACAAGAACAACCTGATATAATGTGTTTTCAAGTAGAGATACTCATTTTTCTCTATTAGATGATTTTGAGACAAGATTCTATTCAGGAATTGAAATGTGAAAAAGAAAAAATTCCTACTAACGCAACGCCACCAGGCTATAAATCTTATTGGCTTTCAGGCGATACTGGTAGAGCTTCATTTTTTGGATCGATTGTCTAATGAAATTATAATTTTTATTTCATTATTTAGCTGGTTATTCGGGTGTAGGTCTTTTAACAAAAATTGATCCAATCAATGTTAAATTCGGCATTGGTATAGCTGAGCATGACAATGAAGGACGTACGATAACAGCTGAATATGAAAAATTTTATTTTGTTGCATCCTATATACCAAATAGCGGTCGCAAATTGGTACGTTTAGAATATCGACAAGAATTCAATGAAGCATTTAGAAATTATATTAAAGAACTTGATAAAAAGAAGCCTGTCGTCTGGTAAATATGACTTTACTTTTTTTCTCTAGTTGATGATATGACAATTTAGCTACAAAAGTCATTAGTAGTTAATTTAATTGAAAGATAAGATAAGATATTCGAACAGTCGAATATAAATAGAAAAGACAGGTTTACCCTCGAACACTTTCTAATGCTAATATAAAAATGTTAGCGACGCCTCTAGCGCGTGCTGATTTTTTTCCACGTCAGAGCATATGAACCAGCATAGGCATGTGATAATAAAGAGAGAAAAATCTTGCAGAAACATGTTGAATCTAATGGCCAGCAAGACTTAAAAGTTCAATAATTCAAGATTCATAGATGCAAATTATTTTTTGTGAATCAAAATCAAATTTGCTCATATTTTATTTCGATTTTATTCTTCGTTTTAAAAAATTAATTCTTGAAATATACAAAAAACAATTTGGCTCTTGTAGATAGCTGTTCGAAGTACCGTAATTGATTTTGCAAAGATATATTCTTGTCCCAGAAGGATTCACACAGTGGGAAATCGGTTTTAGAATTTTTCTAATGTAACTCCAAGAATAATACAAATAATGATAAAAAAAAATGCGAAAACAAAAAATTCAATCTACTCAGTCAAACCGTGTCGTAAATACTATTTTACGTCACACAGTGAAATTCTTCGTCTAGCAATGATTGCAATAAAATTAAGCTAATGAGACTAATTTTAGTGTACTCAATTGAATCTCTATGATGCATTTTAGGTGTGGAGATTTAAATGTGTCACATCAGAGTATTGACTTGGCCAATCCAAAATCAAATACAAAAATAGCTGGTTTCACTCAAGAAGAACGTGATGATTTTGCAAAAATTCTTGCCGATGGTTTTATTGATTCATGTATGTTACAATTCTTTTTAACTATTGATACTAAAAGAAAGATGTATTCCCAAGCCATACAACACTGAGTTCATATCTAAAAATTTCCCTTGGCTACTGACAGTTTATTTGAGATATTAATCATCAGAATTCTCTTGATATACAAATTTATAATCATTGATGCGGAAAATTATTCTATTAAACTTCCAAAACTCTCGAGAATAAAATTTTCTTTGTTTATATAATTTAGTCCGCTATCTTTATCCTGATGAACGTGATGCCTATACTTATTGGTCCTATTTTCGCAATGCACGGACTCGTAATATTGGTTGGCGTTTAGATTATTTTATTATTTCATCTCGTTTACAAGAAAACCTTTGCGACACTATACACCAGACTGATGTTTATGGTTCAGATCATTGTCCTATTGTTTTATTATTATCCGTTTAATTGTAATAATGAATAATACTGTTTTTTTCTGCTTAACGCCGGTACTCTATACAGCAATTAAGAGCGAAGTATATTTTCTTTTATTTTGATCATTATTATTATTTCAGAAGAGTTTTAATTAACATGCAACACATGTATGCGTATGAACGGGGAATATAATCCTAATAGAAATTTAACTCAGTCGATTAAAATCAGTAAAATCCGGAAAAGTTATTTTGTGTCGTCGTATTGCGTGTTTTATACGACATCCGGAACAAATCTGACAAATAATGACGACGAACAAGGAAAGAAAAAGAAATGAAGGTATTTCTGTACGTACAAACTGGCTCATTCAATTATTCAAATGTGTAAGTATCTTTGAGGTTAGAAAATTTACATTAAGTTCACACTCATTTTTTGTTCTATTTCTCGTGTCAGTATAGATGAGAGTAAGCCGATATCGTTTAAGAAAAACAAGCCTTCGTTTTCACATATGTGAATGGTTATTTGAGCGCATAAATATTCGAATAAGATAGAAGATAAACATGAGGAATATAGATACTATGATAATACGTGTTACGATTACTATCATTCATTATAGCCAGTTGACGATTCTTTATGGATATATTTTTTCTTTAATTTATTTCTCTCTCGTTTTTCTTCAATTTCTTTCAGAGGTTCTTTTATAACAAATGTCGCAATCCGTGCACATTGTGGGTTAGTCGATTCTTCTCTCTGGTGTTCTCTTTTGTAATACTATAGCTCCTACTACCCGTCATTTCCATTTTTCTTCGTGTGCCATACTCGTCTTGTGTCGGTTGTTGTCATTCACACTATATATATTCCAGAAGCATCATTATTGCCGTTAAATGGGCCACCGGACGAAAGAGTGTGTTCGGAAGAAAAAGAATAGGAAAAGAAAAACATTATTTTCAATATTAAATAGAACACTATTCATTTATCCTTTTTGTTTATTCAATATGTTAACAGGATTCTATTGCAAAAGAGTAACACATCATTTTTTTTCATGTCAATTTTAGGTCGCTTCTATTGGAATAGATCATTATTTTGGTGACGTGTTTCTCGCGGCGTACCACGATAACACTTCAATATCTTACACAAGTAAGTAGAATCAATTCAAGTGGAAAATAAAGTGTTGATCTGCACTGTATATTTTGTGCTAAACTTGAAGCTTTTTGATTTACTATTTTTTTTTGTATTTTGACTAATTGTCATCAGGGAAATCGAAGTACTCAATCATTGATAGTGACCTTGCTAGGTTTTCTCTTTTGTTGTTGAATATCATAGTACACTCTTTTCTTTGTCTGTCATTAGAAAAAAACAAGGAAATAATATTCATTGGTTGTCGGGTTTTTGTTTTCACCGATTTTTTAATCTTGAGCTCAAAGAAAAGGAAAAAAGAACTTAGCATCTCTTTTTACGGTTCACATTCTTTTCTATTTATATATATATATATACTTTTTTCAGAAGATGATAAATAACATGTAATATATATATATATATATATATATATACGACAACCTTATGAATGCTTTCAAATTCCCTAATTACGGTATAGAAACGAGCCTCTTGTGTATTGTATATACATGCATACATTTGTTGATTGCAGTCTTGACGTCAATATAAATGATAATCACTTGTTTTTCATATCAATGATTATATTCTTTTTTCTTCACTTCATCTATCAGTTTCTTAATTCCATCTGAAAAACGAGATTTCATTTCTTTTAACATCCGTTCCGTTTCCTTTCCTTTCAAGTTCATTCTTGAGTGAAAATGTTTTATTAACCATCTGTTTTCCTTTCGAATTAGGTAAGCATTGTATTTGATTATTATCATTGGTATGTTTACATCTCAGATATCTGGAGTTTTCTAACGTTAACAATACATATGGAAAAACATGTCAACCATATGAATATTGGTATTAACATCATCAGCATCAGCGAAGCGTAGAAAGTAAAAGAAATCATGGCAGCAAGTAATCGAGCTTTAAAAGTTGTATATGTCGATTGCGATTGTAGTGTGTTATGCGAATATAACTAGTTTTCTTCAATAGATCGAAATCAGTTTCGAGTTAATCAAATTAGTGATGTAACAAGTTGTTAGTAAGGAAAGAAGACTATATTCAAGTGAAAATAAATTTACTTTCTTCCTACACACTGTCTTTTGTCTATATGCCAATCGATGGAGTGATAGACTTCTGTCATCTCATCCTTTAATGGTTACATTATTGATCTTTTTGCGAATGTCGCACCAATGACTTTTCTGTCAGTAGTTTTTCATTTAATCTTTTTGTTAGATTTGCATATGTGTTTGTTTGAGGAACGCTAAAAATAAAGATGATCATAAAATAAAAGCGATTACGCATATTGTTTTTATGTTTATGAGTTTATGAATGTGTAATTGAGAACATAGGTTTTAGACTAGGAGAGATAATCATATCAAGAGAAAAAGAAGAAGAAGGAAAAAAACGAGAAAAGAAAAAGATTAACTGTCATTGAGTGTTGTCAATACTATCCGAGAAATAGAGCACAAATATATTTATGCAAATCATAGTGTTAATATAAGATGAATGCATGTATATGCATAAAATGATGACTGATGAAACAGCTAATTTCATCGTGTATTTAAAAGGCGAGAAAAAAAGTAGACAGAGAATTATTATCGTGCCTGATGACTTTCATTCCTCCGCATAAATTCATCATTCTCTAGTATTTCTTTTATTCTAACTGATCTATTATTTAATACCTAAACTTATTGCTATTATTTATTCTTGTTTTATTTATCAAAGGCGCACATGTTTTCAACTGTTGTTGATGGGCTGTACGAGCTCGAAGCATGATTTATCAGTGGCTGATCTCGAATTTTTAAAATTACATACATCATACTCGGAAAAAAAAATAAAAGCTTGGTACAAGGGCTTTATGGTATAAATAGATATCTTATGTTTTTTTTTCATTTTTATCAAATTTCTATTTCTTTATTACAGAGAGATTGTCCCAACGGTGAATTGACACGCGAATCATTCATTCAAATCTACAAGCAATTTTTTCCCAAAGGACGCGCAGAAAATTTCTGTGAACATGTCTTTCGTGCCTTTGACACTGGTAAAGTAGGAGAAAAAACACGAGTATTGTTCTATACAATTTTAATAATTCAGATAAAAGCGGAAAAATTGATTTTAAAGAATTCCTACAAGCCATCAATATTACATCACAAGGAACACCTGATACAAAGCTAGAAATGGCTTTCCGAATGTATGATTGTAATGGTGATGGTTCAATAGATGACAATGAGATGAGACGTATAATTACTGTAAGTATATTTATATACTATATTCATATTACTAGAACAACAAAAGTCTTTATTGATTGATCTGGATATAATACGCCATATGTTTTTATCGCGTCTTCTTGATTGCGAACGTTTTTTCTTAATTGTTGGGAAAAAAACGTCCACAAAATAGAAATAGGGAGAGAGAGAGACAAAAATAGTCGCAGATTGGAAAATATCCGCAAAGCAAAATCGGGGGGAAGAGAGCAAAAAATATCCACATTGTGGAATCAAACGAAAATTGATATTTTAAGATGATTCATGCAAATAGGTGTACTGAATAATGTCAACTGTTTCGCGCTACTCTAGTGTTGTTCATCACATGTCATCAAGGCCATTTTATAAGCATGTATTGTGAAAGAAAAACATTGAAAGTGACGAAGCTAAACCTAGACGAATCAAATAAAAATGTCCATTGTGAAAGATGACAGTTTTTCTCCAATTTCCACACAATCTAATAAATATCGTATAGGTTTTAAAAATTATCATCTTGGAATGAATCTTGATTATCAACCTAACACAGTTAGATGTTCAACTATTCTTCATAAATGATTTTTCTGTATTTTTTTTTCACCTAATAAATCTTGTCTTGATTCCATAATGCTCACATCTTTCTCTCTCCTCTCGCCCCGATTCTGCTTTGCGGACATGTTCCACTCTGCGACTATTTTTGTTTCTCTCCCCCTTTTTCTACTTTGCCGACGTTTTCTCTTAATTGGAGGAATAAAATGTCCGCAATCAAGCTGTAGCCGTTTTTATTTTTTTCTAGGCTATTTATGAGTTGATTGGCGATGAAATCGATCAGCCAGAGCGTCAAATCGAAGCTGAAGAACGTGCAATGAATATATTTACAATGATGGATAAAAACTCCGATGGTATATTAAGTCGAGAAGAATTTATTGGTGGCTGTTTAAATGATGAACAGCTTTATCAATTATTAACACAATCGAGCCGACTAGCCGAGGAACGAGAATCGCAATCATCATTAGAAGATTAATGTTTCGTTTTTGTCTTTTCGTTTCTTGTTCTTTTTTCAATAAACGACACTTGAATGACAATCATTTATTTTCAAAAAAAATTGCACAAAAAAGTTTCATCGGCTTTTTTTCTGTTGTACTGTTTCGTTTTGTCGTGTGTATTTAAATGTTTCTGATTAACGTTTCTTTTTTTTTTGCTTAATTAAATAACAATTATATTAACCATATAGATCACTCAATCAATTGACTGTTTTATGATTATAGATCGAACAATGTCTAATAGTTTATCACCTACTGCTGCTGCAGCAGAAGACAATGTTTCCGATGATGAAAAAGAGGACGAACAAGCAAATAATTCCATTCAAAAGAAAGAAGATGCCAAGGTTGAAAAAGAACTAGATCGAGTGACTGATCGTGTTGATGAAGAAGATCTTGGTTCGGAAAAAATAGGAAATGTAAATTATGAAAAATATCAAAGCTCAATAATTTTCTTTTGTTTTTATTAAGGCTTTAACTGCCATTAATGACAAGCGTCACATTGATGAATCAAAACGTAAAGCCGAACAAGCCGTTTTAGCTAATGTTAAAATTCGAAAAGAAGATGTTGAACTTATTATTCAAGAACTTGAATTACCAAGATCGAAAGCTGAGAAAATCTTACGTCAACATCGTGGAGACGTTGTGGCTACATTGAAGGCACTCGTCAACGCATAAAAATTAAAAACATTCGTTTTTGTTCTTCATTGATTGAATGCTGTTTTTCCATTATTGATTAAACGTGCATCTCGCATAAGAACTATTTTAATATACTATCGATGAACATGAGAAAATAATTAAAAATCTGCCATTAATCATGTAAATCGGTAATTGTCATTAGTAAAACGAAGTTTTTTGTTATGTGATAAAGAAATATTTCACTCCATTAAACACAAGATGAATAAAAGCGTTAGTTGCCTTCAAGGGCTCTTTGTAATCATTCGTAATGATAGAAATGAGAAGGAAAAAATCCCATTTTTTTTCTTGTCTGAGAATAGAAATACGTTACATAGCATGTAGGTACTGAGCAAATCACTTCTATCGTGGATATATAATATAACGACCGGAATATATCAAATTTTAAATCAACTCGCCTTCCTATCTGTTTTTAATTAAAATTTCTACGAATGAATAGAAGTACATACTGAAATTCAATAAATTCATGATGAATTTAGCAAAAATAAAGCCACTACTACCTTATTCATATTATTAATAACATTATGAACGACTTTTTCTGCACTTATTGCCCGAGTAGGTTTTCAGTTGATTCATTGGATAGTCTTTTTTTAAGTAAAATTTACAAGTAAAAAACTGTCAGCCAAAGAATAAGATCGAACCAAGTTGAACGAGTAGAAACTATGGTGTTTTCTAGTCGCAGCGACTGGTTTGTTGAATTCATGTTCAACGGATGGAAGATGCTTGTTTGAAACGAGAAGGAAGCCTCGATAGAATGTAATCGAGCATGTGTACTGAATCATTATTTTGGTAGTGATTAACAACAAAAATTTCCATATTCTGTTGAAGAATTTTATTAATAATGGTTGTTTTCATTATGTAGCATATTATTAATTTTTTTTCTCATGCTGTTCAATGTCATAGAACTCTTCTTGTTTTAGATGTTCCTGGAATTTCCCTTCCAAGAACGAAGTGAACAATATATTTCAAGATTAATTATAGGATATAGGAAAAGATGTCCTATCAGTCGTGTAAAGAAGATATGAAAATGATGAGTGTTTGCTTTTCTCATCGAGATTTCGTGATAAAACAACAAATCGCTGATATTGAATAGACAAGCAAGTAGGTGTATCTCATGAATAATACAAGTGTTAATATAAGTATTAAAAGACCGACAATTTTCGATGGCTAGATTTCAATAATGAATATGATTATACGAGTGTCTTCTTCAGTTGATTACCAACCACTATGCTGAAGTGCAGAGGCGGATGAAAACAAGAAACGCTACTTTTGTGTTTATTGCTATTTGAAGAAATGTCAATGACCTGCTCGAAAGTGACATAAATTATGGAATGCACACACATCATAACCAGTTCACTCAGTGAATATTGAGGCGCATTACTTTTTGAAGATATGATTTTATCGTCTTCGATATTCGAGAAGCAGCCGAAAAATGATGTATGATGGTAAACGAGGTTGAGATTGTTCAAACATTCATAGGATGTCTCACAGAAATAGAAGCTATATTCAACACTAGAAAGAATCTTCTTCGATACAAGTAAAACCATTACCGCTAGTCTATTTCTAAATTTTTTTTGTTCTTGAATGCAACCCTTGATTTCTTAACATAAAAACTGATTAAATCTCCGAGAAATACGAAGGTTCCAGAGCGGTAAAATGTATCACTTTCATATGGAGACTTGCCCATCATCTTGTCTTATGTTCATTACTTTGCTTTTGGTGGTTACGCATTCTTCTTGAGCGTCATGAATAGCAGAGTGTTACGACGGTTTCATTCTTTTAAACACTTACGAAATATTGCAATGAATGATTCTCTTGCTTATACGATACTATGCATAATCGGAGATCGTTAAGAAATCACTCACCTCGAATTATTTTTGGTATTCGTTAATGTGATTATGGCGTGTTTAATATGTTGAAGAACAAGGACGAAAGCCGATTTCTTTGATTCGTATCAGCAGAAATCAATCTTTCTCTGTGCAGTATGAATCAATCGGCATCATCGGAAGTACACAGAAGTCAAGGAAAAGCAGAAGCAAGCATAAGAAATCAAGTGCATTCGCTAGTACTATTGACAATTATTGAAGAAAGTCAACAAACTCAATGACACCCATTAGAAATCAATAGAAAGCAGAGATTTCCAATGGTCGAGATTGGTTTCCTTTGAATTTTCATGTTTTACGATAAATTCTTACTGTCTTCTGATATTCAATGATCCTTTTTTTGTGATGTGATATAGAGAAAAATATTTTTTTTGTCGTATTTCAGAATAAATGATAATTCTGCAATTCGTCAAGTTCAGTTCCTTCAGAATCCATTTAGAGTTTAATTCTACGTATCGCTCAAAACTCAATTGAACTGTAGTATTGTACTTATGATCACATAGTCATTCCCTGTCTGGAGTATGCTTTTAGTCAGATACTCGTCTTCTGGAATACTTTCTTTTCGAGAAATAGACTTGAGAATAATTTTGCACGTATGCTTTACTCGATAGAACTTAAGAGGAGCCACTAAATTGTATCTCTTATTCAATGAGTAATGTTGATCACTATGGAGTAGCAATTTTGTGATTTTTCACTACACTTCAGTTATTTTTAGCGAGAAAAAAGACAGTTACCATATTCAGAACTAGATTCATGTTTGAAATTCTTCGGGATTTTATATTTTTCAAATTGATGTTCTAGATACAATCGATAAATGACTCAATGAAAAGAGAAATCTTACGAAACATGCTTGAAAATGTTAATGTATACTCCAATAGTTGGTATTTTGCTCTTTGTTTACAGCGGATGTTTTGCATAATATTTGAAGTTGACGTAGTTATCAATGTCATTTGAAAACTACTACATGTGGGTTAAGAAAGTTGAAAATAGTATTTTCGTATTTGACCCGGTGGAATCCTATGTTAATATTTTGTATGATTTTTGTGTTTGTAAGCATTTATAATTGACTTCAGAGTAATTTAAATTAAGAACGAATATTTTAAGGGCTCTTCTCAATTCATTGGTGTTAGATCGTACTATCTTCACACGACGAGGAATATTTTGTTGATATCTAGTTCATGTATTAGTCAAGCAAAATGACGTTCCATGTATGTGCGTGTGCGGGTGTGCATAAGTGAAACTGTAGGAGTACAAAAACAAAACTAATTCTGATTTGATAACCGTCTGTTTGTTAATTACAATATCGAAATTGGCTAATGAGTTAATTATTGTTAACCTTTTGAATTTTACTGAATTACGTTGGATTGTCCGGGAGTTCAAAAATGAAATATACATTATTTTTTATTTAAATAGTAGACATATGTGGGTAGACGTGCGAAGTGCCACCTAATAGTCTGGAATTAGGTGTATGTTGTTCGCACGCAGGTGGCTAGATGTGCTAACCATACAAGTACTGAATTAGACATTGTATACACTGTAAAGAAGTTCACGATTCAATTTCATAAAAAAAATGAGTCAGCAAATCGTTCGTGGTGATTAATTATAAAATCTGGGACTATATAGATTCGACGATAGCCGAACGGCTGAGCTATTAATTCAAGCCGAGTTTTAAAGATTCCTTCTTTTTTTTTTGAAAGCGTCGTTTTAAGATGTTTAGGTCATTTTATTTTCTTCAATGAAAAGTAGACAACAACAAGGCATAGCAATTACACAAACTCATGTGAAATAGTTCAACATCGCAGATAATATATGTGATGAGGATTCTTTGTCATGACAATATCGACTGAAAAGAAGTCTTAATAATAACTTCCATCTTCTGTTAATTACGTATTGGAATTCTTGCTTATATGTTTTCGACGTAGAGACACAAAAATACTAAATGTGAGTACCGATGGAATGAACGAAACGAAATATCCAATCAAGAACAATGTTGATTCTCTTGCTGATTTCATACATCCAGATGAGAAATCCAAGATTAGTTGAGGTACAGCTAACATAACTAACAAACTGAAACTAATGATCAGATTTTTATGTTTTCCATATTGTTCTTGGCTGTTTTTGCACATTTCCTTACGATGGGGAGAATAATACCAACAGTTGAGACAAATTTGATTGTAAATAGAGCAATGAAGTGAGAAATGTTAGTAAATGAATTGTCGCCTTTAACAGTTGACGTTAAAATAATGAGACACCATGTTCTACTCTCCTCTGCATCATTAATAAGGTCACGATGAATCCGATCATGTACAAGAGAAACAGATATAAATTGAGGAATAATAAAAACATATACTTTAGCGAGTTTTTTACTTTTGACTAAATTAAAATTGGCATCAAGAATAACTGTAGCAAGCCATTCCATAGCTACACAGGCATGAGGCCGATCCGTCGTAGCTAAGAAGATTCGAAGAGTAAATTCAGTTGAAATGCAATTAAACATGAGAAAAGGTCGAGCAGTAATGATTGACGCTTGTGCAAGAATGAGAAACCACAATTTGAAATTCAATGCAAATAAAGCCAAAATCGATGTGACCGATGATAAAAAAGGATAAATGCCACAAACAACTTTTTGATATGCTCTCCATTGAAACGTTGAAATCGACAAAGTTCCAGATATGAAACCAACCATTACCATAAGTGAAGCTACAGCAATACTGATCTTGACATAGATGGGTTGTCTAGTAATAGGCACAGAAGAACGAATCTGATAATCTAAAAGTGCATCGAGTGAAAGACCAAACTGTTGTGTCTTAAATTGAATATTAAAGTTGANCCGTCGTAGCTAAGAAGATTCGAAGAGTAAATTCAGTTGAAATGCAATTAAACATGAGAAAAGGTCGAGCAGTAATGATTGACGCTTGTGCAAGAATGAGAAACCGCAATTTGAAATTCAATGCAAATAAAGCCAAAATCGATGTGACCGATGATAAAAAAGGATAAATGCCACAAACAACTTTTTGATATGCTCACCATTGAAACGTTGAAATCGACAAAGCTCCAGATATGAAACCAACCATTACCATAAGTGAAGCTACAGCAATACTGATCTTGACATAGATGGGTTGTCTAGTAATAGGCACAGAAGAACGAATCTGATAACCTAAAATTGCATCGAGTGAAAGACCAAACTGTTGTGTCTTAAATTGAATATTAAAGTTGAAATGAAAACAGTTCGCATTTCTTTGCTCTGAACAAAGACACATGAATATTTCATTATCATGAAAGCAAACAAGATGAGGATTTTTCATGTATGGAAGCTGATAATATTTGGTTCGACGAAGAATTGGATAGACAATAATTGATGCGTTCAACAAGTCTCGAACGTGTGGGCAGCATTGAGATCGGGTAACTTTTGTCGAAATCATTGCCGAAGAAGTGTAGTTATGTTGAAGCACAGTGAAGATAAAGCTGGTTTTCGATTTGTGAGAAGATTGGAGATTCTTAAGGTTGTATGTGCGAACTGTGATAAAGTGAACCAGAAGAGCTTGCGGAATAGACACACCAGGAAAAGAAATCTCGACCTCGACATCCATTTTTTCACGTAGCTCTCCGGAAAATTCATCTCGACAAATACATGTAGATTCTGTGGAAGAAATTCGATCATTATACGGTACACAAACACCTTCATTCATACACATATTCTTCTTGCATATCGAGTCTAGAAAACATCGGGGTGACATCTTGGTTAAACGGCAAAGACAAATCGATCGATTATTTACAATACCAACACAAAGCGCATCTAATGTAGTAAATTATAAACTAAGATTTATTCAAGACTTTTTCAACTAATAAATAATGATTTTATTACTATTGCATATTGTCTTCGATAAGAAAATGAAAAGATATTCCGATAATATTCCGAATAATTTACATGTCCATTCGAGTATCAACTGCACTATAAATGACTCAATGGCTTCTCATTTATGAATAAATTATTTCTCTAACTAAGGAAAAACACCAAAATGATAAACATATAGAAAATAAAAAAATTCTGCTGAAGATTTTCTTCTTACATATGGTAATAATGTCAAAAAATTTCTTCTATTTATTAAAATATATTAACTAAAAAAGTGTTGGTGCTTATGTTAATAATAAATCTTTATTAAAGAATGAAAAATACGAGTGAGATTGGTTGACTTTTATTGATTATACACATAGATTATATTTCTTTGCAATTTCGAACATTCAAAAAAAAAAGGAAAAACTTTTATCAAATAAAAAATTGTTAACATTTATTATAGCATATTGAAAGAATAAAATATTGCATCATATGGTTGGTATGAAAATCCATGGTAAAAAAAAGAGAGACATTAGAGAAATCTATTGGTTTTACTTTTAACAACAGTTCAAAGTCTAGTTAAGTATTATCATATAGTATGAATAATTATTCGAGGTGAATAGAAAATGAAGAGTAGCCTTGATCATTCGTCTCGGATTAAAATGAGAAATCAACATCAAATGACTCTTTAGTCAATCAAAATATAATGTCTGGTACCAGTCGTATAAATAGGCAGGACTAAATAGGTTCAAACTCAACCAATGAACGAAAAAAACGCTTTTTAGAATGATACGGCCAAGCATACACTTTCTTTGCTTATCGATCTAGTAATGAGACTGATTTTGCTTTCACTTAATAACATTAGACGATTCGGATTGATTGAAATTTTCACCATCGAATTCAATACTTTAGTGTTTGTTCTACTAATGATGTGCAAGAACCTACATATTGAAATAATTCGAGTTGATAGAGGATACATTAGAAGAAATGTTACCATAATCTCAAGCTACGCTAGATTCGAAAATAGATGAAATAAATGCAAATTTATGATTTTTAATGAATCAAGTTTTTTCTACTTTAAGAAATTCTTATTAAGCAACTTGACGTACTCAATTCTAATTAACACAAAATACGAAAGAATAGAAGGCTACTGAAATTTTGCATGACAAGAGCACTTTAAATACATTGTCAATATTCTAAAATAGGATATAACTAAGAAGAAGGTTGTAAATTGAACAAATTTCATCAGCAAAGACCATCCTTATTTCTTCTATAACTGCAATGATGTCATCGATTACATCTTTGACAGTAATATATCATATGAACTCGATTGAAATAAAACTATCGAGTAAGATGTTGAATATTAGACTGAGTGAGCGACTGGCGTATTTTCGTATGTCAAGATGCATAGAAATAGCTCGTTAATATGACGATAATTCTTATGAGTTTGTTTTTCGACTAGATAATTGAACAGTTATTATCAACAGATCTCACTAAAATAAATACGTTTAAATTTCGTCTTTACGGAGCAAAAGAATGTGGCATCATCTTTCACAAACTTCTTTAAAAAGGTATAAGAAGAAGTTTTATATGATCATCGTTGAACGACATCTATATAGGAGCCACTATTGTAGTTTGACGTTCGTTGGTCTTCTTTGAATTTCTGTTCTTTCGAACGACCGTGTGACAATTTTGTTTGATCAGTCATTGCTCTATTTTCACGTTTTTTCTCTTTCATTATTATGTATTCGAATATTTTTTCTAAATTAAGGTAGCTTTTACATCTGTTTGTCGAATGTAGAAATTAGTGGTTATAACACGTCTTATCTATTGGATTGATTAAAACTTTAATTGTGAGTATTTCTTTGTTATCATGTTTATTTTTTTGAGGTACAGATAGCAGTGACTCGAGTTTGTTTTAGTATAAAGAGTTTGAAATTATTTTCATTTTAGATTTTAAAGCCTCGATAATGACCACAAATATTGAGGTAAGAAATCAATTTCTTGTTGACTTAATCGAGATTAACTTATACTATTATTTTAGTGTCGAGATTATCATAATTATGCTAATAATACATGCGTTTTTATGCGTACAACGCCTGACTGTAAATTAGATGAAGGCTTTATAAATTATCTTACATTTGTATTTTGCACGATTGGCGACAAATTACTCGCTCTTGGACTGACATTATTAGTAAGTATTTTTAATTTTTAATTTTTAAAAAATAATTCAATTTTATTCTAGGCTGGCTGGTTATTAGTTCTATTTATTGGGCTTGGTGTAACTGCTGATGCTTAGTAAATAAATGTATTCGAATGAAATATTAATCAAACTGGTCTATTTTAGTTTTTGTCCTGCCCTTCGTGTGATCGCTCGAGTTCTTAAATTATCAGAAAACATAGCGGTTCGTTTAATTTCAAAACTATTGATTTAATGAGAAAAAGGGTTTCGTTGTCTTGTAGGGTGTAACTTTTCTAGCATTTGGTAATGGCGCACCAGATATATTTTCTGCGATAGCTGCTGTTGGTAGTGCGAAAGGTGGCGATGTCGGTTTAGCATTTGGTGCTCTTTTTGGTATTTGAAAACGTTTTTAAAAATATTTTGGAAAACAAATATTTCTTTTTCTTAAGGTGCTGGTGTATTTGTAACCACGGTTGTTGCTGGTACAATAGGACTTGTGACACCATTTACTTCTATTCAGCGACCATTGCTGCGTGATATAATTTTTTTCATTGTTGCTGCGTTTGGAGCTTATGTTGCAATGTATGATGGAAAAATTTATTTAGTAGAGAGTTTGGGTTTTATTATTATGTATATTGTTTATTTGATTGTCTTAATCGGTGGATATTTTGTTAATCGACGAATAAAAGATCGTCGAGCTTTATTACAAGCTGTACAAACAGAAGCAGCAGCTAGATCATATGGATCTGTACAAACCACTGGCGAAACTACTGTGGTTGCTGATGAAGCCAGTAGAATTATACCGGATGATAGTGAATCACAACCAGATGTTACATTTGCCCTAGCATTACGCCATGCTTTCTTGCCACGTACTGACACACCTTGGGTAGAGAGAAATTTAATAAATAAAATATTTTCAATAATTAGAGTAAGCCTGATTTTATATGTATATATATATATATATATTTATATAATGCTTTTTGCTTTGATAGATGCCAGTTCTATTAATTCTCCATTTCACGGTTCCGTTGGTTGATTATGATGTACAAGAACATAATTGGAATAAACTTTTAAATTCATTTCATTTACTCTCGGGACCATTAGCTGTAGCTATATTGACAAAAGGTAGATAAAATTTTGAGTTGAGACAGATATATATATATATATATTCTTTATTTTTGTAGTGGGTTTTATGAAAATTGCAAATGTTTTTCCTGTTTGGGCCGCCGTTGCTATTGTTGGAACGATACTTTGTTTCGCATCTTTAATATTAACTGAATATCATACAAAGCCACGATATCATTCAGTAAGAAGATATTTAAGTGTTCGTAGGAGAATGACTCACATAAGATACTGTTCGTCTAAACTGCTGAAGGATACGTTAGAAAAGCGAAAGAAATTTCATATGGAAATCTTTTTGCTCTGAAGTAATTATGTAAGGATAACTTTTATACTCTTATAAGCGCTTTTGAAGATAGGATTCTGCACAAGTCATAAGCAATTATTTTTGAAAGTCAATTTTGTATGAACGGTTTATTTACCCATTGAGAAAAACTCTATTAATAAATTTATAGATGTAAAAAATTCTGATCACTCAGAAATCACTTTCATTATCGAGAGTTCTGATTTCTATGTGTTTGGTGCACTGTGGATTTTATTTGTAAAATAAATTTATTTACAAAGAAAAATCAAGTAAGAAATCTAGATTCATAGTTCTCTATATAGAAAGAAGTCAATAGCTATACGTTTACTTTTTTCCTGAGAGTCGCTGATAAATAGCTAAAATCTTGCCCCTTTACTTGTTCACATGCATGGGATCTGATACAATATTGTTGGGAGAAAACCTCAGTCTAGGTTTGAACACCGGCAACAATCGCGCTTATTATTTAGTCTGAAATGTAATAATTGAATATCACCCCTCCTCTTTTAACAACTATTGAATAATAAAACTTTTTTTTAAGGGTTTCGCCTTTCTTGGTTTTGCCGTATCTGTCGTATGGATTTATTGTATTGCAAATGAAATTGTAAATTTATTATCAACGTTTGGTATTGTATTTGGTATCAGTAATACAATTCTTGGTTTAACATTTCTTGCATGGGGAAACAGTTTAAGCGGTAAATAAAACAAGACAATTTTTGTTTAATTTTCTTTTCGTATTGACGATCGATATTTTAATAGATTACGTTTCCAATGTTGTTTCTGCTCGGCAAGGCTATCCGAATATGGGCATATCAGCTTGTTATGGTGGCCCACTTTTAAGTACGTATTAATCGAATTGTCTAAGGGAAAAGTCGAACATGTTCGAACCTATGAAAGCGAAATTTCTTACAGCTCTCAGTTGCTATATGGATTCATCCGCTTTTAGTAACTTCTATAATTTCGCAAAATTAAGCCCAGTTCGACTCTCCACCGATGATTATTTCCGATGATATTCATGGACTAACAGTCGGCAACAAAAATTATAAATTCTTTTATTTTAGATTTTCTTATGGGCCTTGGAATTCCATTCACATTTGCGACAATCAAAAATGGTGCACCATTTTCTGTATGTATTAAATAAAATATCAAGAAAGTTTTAGTTTTTAAAATCAAATTTTATTTTAGATTGATGTATCTCTATTACAAAATGTCATTGCATATTTTCTTTTCGGAAGTTTAGCTGGAACCCTTGTATTTATTCCATTGAATAAATTTTACTATGGTCGTCGATTTGGTTCACTATTGATTCTATACTATGTTGCATTTTTGGTTATCGCTATTCTAATTGAAACAAATGTAATCGGTGGGAAATAAACTGAAATCTAGTCGTTTGATTCGCATAAATTATTTTCTATTGTCTTTCACATGCATAATTATGTATTTCGTTCTTTTCTTCTTCTATAATTGTGTGTTTTGTTTACCTTGATATCTAAAAAACAGAAAAATACTCATGATCAGATGCGTTTGGTTTTTTTGTTAATGAATAGAAGTCCGTTTCATTAAGCTGTTGGTTTCATATTGTAATAAAAAGAAAATGAATGATGCTGAAGAAACGAATTTTTTTACCAACCAAGGAAATGATGATATTCTTGTAAAAGAATATCAACGATTTAAAGTTCAGCTTCTTGTGTTGAGTCCACTCAAGAACAACTCCTGATAATATTTTGATAATTTACTTTTTCAGCTTCATTAACTTTTATTAATTATTTAATTCAATGACCTTCTGTAGTAAAACTATAATTCAAAATACCTGGACGGTGTCGTACAAATAATGAATAAGATGTTTTTCTCATACTCAAAATTCACAGCTGTTAGTTTTTTCTAATTAAACTTACAGAGAAAATATATATTATTATTATTTTAATACCTTAGAGAGCTCGATCAACTGTATATTTAATATATTGCAAGTAGAAAGCAATATTTTGAATAAATCTGATTTTTATAAGGAGAAATTTCAGAGAAAAAATTCATAATGCAATACGACAACTACCAGAAATTCATGTAGATATAACAGTAAAATTTAAATACTCTCCTTACGTTTCTTAAACGTTATCATGTTGAAAAGAAAAACAAAATATATATATATAGAACATCATTAAAACATGACACTACGTTAAGTGCATCTGAAAATACACAGGTTACATGTGTTGTGTAGACTTCAGAAATTTTCTCCCTCTCATTTGTATGCATGGCAAAGGTTGATTGTAATGAAAAAGCATAAAACAGATACTTTTGTATGTCCAGCTAATGAATAGTCTGTAGAAAAACGTAGGATTTATCTTGGTTTTTGAACAATCCAATCGTAGATAAAATCCTTTTTAATATTCATTGTTTGATATATTTGTTTAATTAATGAAAATAAATAATAATAATTTGGTTCTTCAGCGAAACCAAGTTGTCTTGTGTACAATAAAATTTCTTGAAATTCTTTCGGTAAATTTAAACATAAAATTTCGATATGTGTATGAAGTTTAATTTCATAGACTTTTTCTTGCTTCTCTTTTTTTGTTTTACATTTAATACCTTGCCATGGTAGACATTTATCTGACCGTGCTAAATATATTAATGTGCATGCGAAAGATTCTAAATCATCGCGACGTGATTGTTCAATTCCTGCATGTGTACGAAGACTAGCGTAACGTATTGTACCTAAGAAACGCTTCTTATCATTATATTCAATATGTTGACGCGTCGTTTTATTTAAATAATATTTCGACAAACCAAAATCTATTAAATAGACATTTTCACATTTGGAATTAATGCCCATAGTGAAATTATCTGGTTTAATACTGAAATTGAAAAAAGAACAATTCGATGCTGAACCGATCGTTTCAATCAACGAAAGAAATTTTCATAAAACGTAAATTAGCTACAGTATTTATGCTAATAGTCATTTCTTCCTGTATGCGAATTGGACATTTTTCGGAAACTGAAATCTGTGTGTTCCAACGATCCATCGAATTCATCTGACAGGTTTTCATAAAATTCACCATGAATATTTTTGCTACTTAAACCAGTAGAGATTCTCTCAAAAGGGTGACATTCAATTCAAACTTGATAACCTTTATTTACTAATCCAGTTGATAATTAAATACTCGTAACTATTGTGTTGTTTTCGGTGAATTGCTAATGCAAATATTCATATCTCCGACAATTTTCAAAGGATTATTATTCTTTTATTATTGGTTACTCATTCGAATGAAACTCATTGTGTTTTATTTTAGAAATAATTTTTTTCAATCAATTATTAAACAGATGTTTTTTACGCTTGTGCTGCTTTGAATTTGCACTAAGACAAAGGACTTCTTTGTGTTCTTTATTATTATCCTTTGGTCTAACCGAAGACACGTCACATATTTTAGAATCAATCAGATTTTTTTCTCTAGATTAAACATTATCTTGATTACTATAAAATCGATTTGGTCAATTTTAAATTATCTATTCACGCCATGAAGTTTTTTGTTACTTTAAAACGATTTTAGAAAATAGTAAAAATTTTCTCCAGGACCCGTTTGATTGTTTTGCGAGGGAGAATATACATATATATTTATTGTTTTTATTAATAAATATTTTATTCTAATTTCAAAGGTGAACTTTAAAATATTGTAAGGAGTTAAATTTTATTGTCCGAAAGCAAGGTTACCAAATCTTCTGTTTTGACCAGTGATCTCCTGATTTTTGTAATGTGATGATTAGCTGCGTTTTGAACCTATAGCGATTTCCAAGTGAAAAGAACAAATCTATGGAAATGTTAAACTTATATATGGAATGATAGTCGAAATCAAATGAGCCATGATTTAGTTGAAGCTGACTTGCAGATTAAAATGAACACTCATTTTTAGCGTTGCCTGATGTCAACCTCGAAAATCCAAAAAATTCCGGAATTTGTTTTTCGAAATCTATAAAAAATCGAGAAAAGCTTTGAAAATTCGGAAAAACTTTCAAGATCTGGAATTTTTCCACAAGATGCGGGGATCTGGCAACACTGTCTATTTTACTTGACCAGAACTGTATGCTTATCTTTTAAATGAACCAGATCTTTCGAAACATATATTCGATTGTTAGATTTAAGTAGAGTCACATCGCAGCAGTGTCACGAATTGCTTAGTAAATTGGCTAAGTAGTTTTTACTATGTATTCTAATGAACACGTTTTAATTATCTATTTAAATGAACTTTATGAAATCAGCATTCTATTTTCAATTTTAATTGGTCTACAAGGAAAATTTTCAGCATCAATCCCATTATAGGCAAAGAGGTTAGTGCATCTATTAGTGAAAAATTGGAAGTTATCAGATAAAAATCATCAAATGACTGCTAAATGCCAAAAAAACAACACTTCTGATTTTTCTCCTGATTTAGGAAAAAGAAATCTCCTGAAAAACTCCTGATTTTTCACAAAAATTCCCAGATTTCTAAAATTTGAATTTAGTAATCCTGTCCGAAAGTATTCTTACATAATTCTTTCAAGAAAAACACCTTACTGATAATTTGCATATAAACATAAACAGTGCTTCTCTCATTATTAAAATACCAAAAAAGGTAATTATTTAAAAGGAAAAAGCTATGACTTTTCAGTCCTATAATTGTTATAAAAGTAAAAGAGAATTTCTTTTTTTTCTTTGAAATTTCTTGTTAACAAATAATGATAATAAATTTTTAATCTTTCAATTATTAAATTTGTTTAAAAGAAGAAAAAAAAAGCTCACTCTCGATGTACAACAGATCGACGATGTATATGACATATTCTCTCAAGCATTTGTTCACCAAGTAAAACAACAGTTTTTATTGTAAATCTTCTATTACAATAATTATATAAATCTTCAATGCTCGGTCCAAGCATTTCAAGTACCATAACATGATAATCATCTATTGTTCCATACCTTCGATAAATGTAGTAGTAGTATATCATGATGCATCTTCGTTTTAAAGTTCTATTCATCTTACCAATACATTTTCGGCATACCTGCTCCTTCAATAGAACGATAGATTTGACTTTCTTTATGCAATTGTGGATGATTGGAAGTTTTCGATTCAAATTTAATGGCAACATTTTCATTCGTTACTAAATTTATCCCTTGATAAATACAACCGAAAGAACCTGAACTTATCGGTGATTGTATAGACCATCGATTTTTAATTATTTTCGGAATTGTTTCTTGTTGCTTATGATGATAATCGCTTTGGGATAATCGATGTTTATCTGATTGAGAAGAAAGCAATTCTGTTATTTGATGATAATGAGATTGTAAACGCATTGAATTGATCAAAATAAAATCGAACAACACTGGTGATTTATTTTATTTATTTATGTATTTTTCTTTTCTAGTTATCATAACGAATAGTGTGTGCTTAGAAAAGAAAAACTAAGTCAATTAGTAGTCAAAACGCGGGTTGATTAGTAATGTAAGACAAATCTATTAGAGACGACAGGAGAATAGGCAAGAAAGAATGATGTGTATAATTTTTGTCTACTAAATTGATGTTCTCCCGGTTGAATGCAAGCAACAACATACGTATACACATCAGGGACAATCTATAGCGACATTGCCGATAATAGTTCTCCATCTTACATACCAAATGCAAACTATTATATTGCATACAAACCGAGATTTGATTGCAACAATCTTTCTATAAGAAAAGATAGGCGTATGAAGTTTTCTGTCTGTCTGTTTGTTATTGCATGATAATGATGATGATGATTTTTTGCCTTGCCTTGCCATGTCCTTTTCTTGCCCTGCTATTATCATTTACATTCATTTCATATCACATCATGCTCATCATCGACCATCATAATACTAGCAATAAAGCGAATATATAATCGACATTAACAACTCGACGTCAACGTTAATCTTCTACTTCTCTCCCTCTCTATAATTTATTCTATCTATTTTTCTTCTCTTTCTCTAATAGCACAAGAATACGAGAGAAATTCAGCAAATCGGATGGCTCGTTTGCTCTATGATTTGGACGAATCGAAATGCAGAATCGATAGAGAAAGAAAAGAAAGAGATTAATTTTTATTTTTAATATAAACTGTTTCATGATATCAGAGAGCATGCTTCTATCTATATATGCTTCATTTTTTTCTTAATTCAGATTCGTTGAGGCAAGAAAAAAAGAAATAAAAATAGGCAGAGAGAGAGAGAGAGAGAGAGAGAGAGTAGAAAAACTAACATATATAAAAGCATTAAAACAAAATACGCAGAAGAGCGATTCATTTTTATTTTAGTTATGCGCATGCGCGAGTACTGATTCATTTGTTCTTTAACCTTGGACGTTTTCCTTTGACTAATTTTGTGTAGATTACTATTAAACAGACGTATATAAACGATTAAACGTGATTTATTATTTTTTATTCCTCAATGGAAGTTTTACGTGCTGAATCAAATGAATTTCATCATTTAAAAGTATGTATCTAAATAAAAGGAAAAAAACATTCGTTTTCTAAAGAAAAGGAAAATTTTATTTTAATAGAATAATGATGGCCCAACAGATGCTTCACCATTATCATCAACAATTGATGACAATGAGGAAGATGATCGTTTTTCTAATGCGAGTACCCACGATGACAAGCCTCCATCAACGACTACAACTAAAAATGAAAATGACGATAAAACAAACAATGAAAATAAAGATTCTTTAAATATTTCACCAACAATAAATCGTCCCATATCAACAATTGATTATACAAATCATCGTGAACGTCTTGTAAAAGAACTTAAAGATTATGAAGATCGATGGTTGGCACATAGAAATTTTCTTCTATATACGCAATCATTTGCAATGAAACCAGAAGATCGTGAACGCTTATTTTCACAATTAAATACGAATAACAATAATAATAATAATAATAATAATAATAATAATAATAATAATGAAGAGAATTCTCCTTTGCATCAATTACAAATTCAACAACAATTATTTCATCGTTTATCAAAAGAAGAAAGAGATCGTTTCTTAGCAGCTGCTTTATATCAACAGCAACAACAACAGCAACAGCAGCAACAGCAACAGCAAAATCCTTACAATTTTCATTCATACCCATGGACAAATCCATCAATTCTTTCTCCAACAGCAAATATTGTTTCACAAATTCAATCATCTACGGATCATCAACAACCAAAATCACCAAGTTCAGATGACAGTGGAAATCAATCGAATTCTGGTAGTACAACTGAATGGTAAATAGCGCTGCTTTGTTTGTCATTGCATTAACTATATTTTATTCCGTATCGATTTAGGACTTTTGAAGAACAATTTCGTCAGGTAAATTGATATTTATTATCTGATATTTGATTGAGTAGAAATCAATTAGGTTCCGTCTGACTGTTTCTATCTCTATCGAGATCTATCTATTGCTTCTGTTTGCACATCATTTGGATTGTGTGCATCACTCGCTGTTTCTTTTGTAGAACGAGCGAGTGTTGATAGCTTTGAGGCAATAATTAATTGAAATGTTTCGTATATGTATATATATATATATATCGATTGGGTGCCACAAGAGATGTAACAAAGGCTCGTTCATCTATGCTCTTTTTCATAAGTAGCACTTATCTATTATTGAAGACACACGAGTTAAGAAAGAAATCAAAAGCACATCTATCTTCTCTTCATCTTGCACAATAATATCATAGGTTAAATATATATAACTATAATAACAATCCATCTAAGGTAGATCAAGGCAAATAAAGACAAAAGGAAATTTATATATATATATATATTAATCTGAATAAAGAAACGAGCGTCGACCATCTGTATGAATAGACACGCACATATTGCTTATTATTTATTCATTAGGTAATTAGAGCAAGAATAAAAGATTGATTATTTAAAATTCTTTCTCAACATTAATACCGAACGAGAAGAAGAATAATAATAATAAAGAAGAGAATTACTATTATTTTTTTTTGTTGCCATTGTTGATATTCTTACATATCAACATACAAACATTATTTCAGTTGATTAGATCGCAAAATAATTATCAAGTTGAAGGTTAGAAGCAATGTTATAATGTGTCTGTTTTCATCCTTTTTAGCTAAACAAATTACAATCAGATATTGCGATCGATATAGCTTGACTGACAGTTCTGCTGGTATTTTTTCTGTTGTTGATCAGGTTTATATAATTATAACGAGGAGCATTGGCCTATTTTTATCCATCAATAAACGTTTATACTTATGCAGCTGTTCTGTCGCTTGTACCTATCCCATAAGACTAATTTTTTCTTTTCTTTTTTTCGTACTATAATTTTCTTTCGATTAAGGCCAGCCAGTTATTTTTGTGTTGTCTGATGATGATCAATTTATCGTTTACATTAAAGCAGAAATGAGAATATATATCCATGTCAGTCTCACAAATGTGTATCGACTAATTGCTTTCATAGAAGAACAAAAAAGAGACAAATTAGCTTGCTCATTTATAAATGCGTATGTGAAGAATCTTTCGATTATTGATGGGCTTATGTGTTTGCTTTATACATATATATATATATATGGATACAAACGAGATGGATCAACAATTAGTGTGTTTCCATTTTTGATTCATTGAAAAACTGCTTGATCATCAAAAGATATATACAGAATGTCGCAAAGAAACAGCACAGCTCGTGGCAATATCGATTATTTGCTACTAATTGCATTGTTTAGAGGCAGATGGTTGACGAGAAAATAAATGAACATCTTAAAGAAAAGATTTCTCTTTATGGACTATTCTATTTCACTTAAGATATAAAAATGAGAATTTCCAGCTGCTGTCAATCATCGTTATTATTGAATATAAAATCAGCTTGAGAAACGAAATATTGTTTTTATATTCCATATCAGTTTTATCCAGTATGTAAGGCACGTATTTGTTTTATAGTCAAAATGAATAAAAAAACGATGATTTTTGGCCTTGTTCCCTTTTTTCTTTTTGCTGGCTTCTTATCAAGAAGAAGGTCGGTGAAATTGAGCATAAAGCCGGTCGATCACTTGTGCATGTATATCTTGAAAAGCTTCATCGATCACAATTACAAGTTGTAGAGAAGTTAGTCGTTTTTTTCTTCTTTCTTAATAGAGACAAATAAACAAATCTTAGTTGTATATATACACACGCTTGATTAGAATGAGTCTTCGGGAGAAGGAGCAAATTATTGATAAATTTCCTGTCTTCTAGTGCATTAGTCTAATGAAAAAGAGTCGTTCATTTTCTTTTTTCTTGTTGTTACTCTAGCTCTATGAATTATCCGACGAACCAAAACGAAAAGAATTTCTCGATGATTTATTTGCATTCATGCAGAAACGTGGTAAATATTTAATTTCTTAAAAGAAAACAATAGAATTACATTTTCCCTTTCAATTCACGAAAAGGTACTCCTGTTAATCGTATACCTATTATGGCTAAACATGTACTTGATTTATGTAAGCACCCACTTTAAAAATAATATACGATGAATATTTCCTGTAATTAAGATGAATTATTTCGTTTGGTTGTTGGCAAAGGAGGTTTGGTAGAAGTCATTAACAAGAAATTATGGCGTGAAGTGACGAAAGGTCTTAATTTGCCAAGCTCGATTACTAGTGCTGCATTTACTCTACGTACACAGTATGTATAAATATTTTTTTCTTTCAAGTGACGACATATATAACGTGTTGGACTAACAAAACCTGATTAACATCACGAGTCTCTGTCTCTCTATCCGTCTTCGTCTCTCTCTCTCTCTCTCTCTCTTGCTCTCGCTTCCATATGTTGTCTATCATTTATCATATGTCAATGTCTTGAACATATACGATGAGAAATCAATTTGTTTATAGTCTAGATTTTTCCATTTTTTTCCTCTGCTGCTGTGTTTAATTGATCATATAGGAGAAGAATATATAATATACTTATGATTGGTTTGTTTTTTTCTTAAGATATATGAAATATCTCTATCCATATGAATGCGAAAAATTACAATTAAGTTCACCAAGTGAATTACAAGCAGCTATTGGTAAATGTCAAATAGAAAGCTGTTCAATATTTTCTCATTTATTTATTTTGTTGGATACTAGAAGGAAATCGGCGTGAAGGTCGTCGGCCATCATACACTTTTGAATATTCATCACCACCGCAAATAATGCCTCCACCGCCTCCACCAACGACAACAACATCAGCATCAGCAAATTCGTTTCTTGCTAGTCCACTTGCACACAGACCATGTAAGGAAAAGTGTTTCATAGGGGATTTGCTTTTTCATTGTATTAATATAAATATTTTAGTGGATTCAAATCATGCTGCAATGGCTGCTGCATTGTCTCATCCATTTTTTCTTGCTGCTGCTGCAGCAGCATCGTCGTCATCATCAGCGTCGTCACGCGATGCTAATGAATCAGCATCTGCATCGTCGCGAATCTCTTCTTATGATGATCATCATCATTTAACATCATCATCATCATCATCAACAACAATTAAACGAAGTTTATCACCTTCATTTTCATCGAAACACAGTGATGATACAACAAAAAAATTTATTTCAACAATGAATAATCAAATGGTGCATGCGAATTGCTTTACACCTCCGACAACAAACTCTTCGTCTTTACTGTCACATGTTAGCAAGTTGAATATAATTGCAAAAGGTAATACGCATATTCATTTAGTTAAATTTACTTTTGTTGTTGTTCTAGACAATAATCTTCAACAACAGTCAAATGAGAAATCGATTCAACTTTCCATCGAATTAAATGGAATTGCTTATCAGGGCACATTATATGCAACAACATACACCGGTAGCAAAGAGTGAACTTTAAGGCATTTCTATGTATGAGCGCTTTTGAACAATTATTTGCAACATATTTTTTTTCAATAATTCACTTTTCTTCTTTGTTTGTCTTATTTCTCGTTTCGTTTTTTTGTATGGACAAGATTAAAACAATGTTTCTTTTGTTTGTGCATATAATTAAATAATTATATGTAATAGCGGATTAGGATTTTTAATGTATGAATCAAACGATAATCGAATAATATATATATATATATATATATAAAACGCAGATGAATGATTGTAAAAAAAGACTCAGTTCTTTAAAAAAAAAACTTTCGAATCAATCAGTTGGAAAGATATTTGATTACACGCTGATACATTCTAGTTCTTGATTGATAATTCAAAGTTCAGTGAAGAATAAATTATTTTGAATTACGGTCCCGATCTAGGGAAAAAAACTATTTTAGGATCTATGCATTTTATATCAAAAGAATTCGTCAATAATTGTTGTTTTGAGTTATTTAGTCGACATTCATGTCACCGAGATTGGAACGACATTTGCTCTTCCTTAGTCCCTAGTTGAATATATAAATCTTTCTTTGGTCACACAAGCTAAAAAAATAGTAAAATAATTTTAACAGATCTTAATGTAAAATAATTGACTCATTGCTATAGCTAAAATTTAACAAAGATTACAAAATGGAAGCCGACCAGTGCAATCGACGTAGTTAAAAAAAATATTTTAAATGTCACTATATAACACAATTTATAAATTAGTTGTCTGAGTTTTAATGAATATCATGAACATGCAATTAGACAAATTGTGTTTAACGTTTTTTTCGAATTTATGCTTTTTGGGTTTACTTTGCAGTTGTTTTACTTATATAGAACGTTAGATTTAATCTAAAATTCATTGTTCAGAAAAATGAAGCATTACACAGATTAAAATATTTTCGATTTCAATAAGACTATTTTTTGTCGGTATTAGTGGTTTCATTATGTAGCGACATCGTACGGAGATATACAATATTCAGCCAATACACCTGTTTCTGTGAATTTTTAATGAATCATATGAAATAAAAATTCCCTGCATAATTTTGTTCGTTAAATAAAATAATGTCTACTAGAAATCGAGTATCAACTTCTTCTGCATCTAAAATCGAGCATCCTGAATTAGCTCTTAATGAAAGTTATGATGAAGCGATTATTCCTTTACTTACAACTATTGATAAAAGTAGATTTCTTTCGAAATAAAAAAAGAAATTCTCACGGTTTTTTAATTTGCAGTTCGAAATCGAGTCGCTGATATTGATACAACAATTGATCTACCAGCCATTGTAGTTATTGGTGAACAAAGCTCAGGTTTGCTTAATGATCTGTCATAAAACCAATCATTTGAATTGATTTTATTCTAGGTAAAAGTAGTGTTTTAGAAGCTTTATCGGGTATTCCTTTACCTCGTGGTGGTCAACATATGACAACAAAATGTCCGCTTGAACTTCGCATGCGTCGTGCATCAACATGGCACGCAAGTCTTGAATGTTCTGGTCGTATTATTCGAGATAATATTCCCACTCCACACGATATTGGTCTATTTATAAATACTGAACAAAACCGTTTAACGAATAATCGTGATCAAATATCAAAACAAGTTCTTCTCGTCAACGTTCAAGCTTCGTGGTTACCAAATTTAACTTTAATTGATCTGCCAGGAATTATCCAAGTTACATCAAGACAACAAGATAGTGGATCAGTTGATATCATTGAAGAATTAATACAAGAATATCTCGATAGACCGTCGACAATTATTCTTGCTATTATTCAAGCATGTAATGATATTGAAACATCGGCCGCTATCAAATATGCAAAAATGTTTGATCCAGATGGTGAACGAACAAGTAAGAGGAAAAACATTTATTGTTTGATGTATTATATTGAGAATAAAAATTTCAGTTGGTGTTCTAACAAAACTTGATCTTGTCGATCGTGGAGCTGAACAAAAACTATTAGAAGTATTTGAAAATAAACGTATACCATTGAAACATGGTTATTTACTGGTGAAATGCCGTACACAAGAAGATATCAATAACAATATTGAATTAAGTATGCGTAGATTAACGCAATTCATCTTTGTTTCTTTTTATGAATTGATTATTTCAGGTGAAGCACTTCATAGAGAAAAGGAATTTTTTTCTAAATCATCGAAATTTCACTCTGTTCCATTGGAAAGACGTGGCTGTCCATCTTTAGCACGATTTCTCACTCGTGAACTTGTTCGAAATATTAAACAAGCATTACCACGTCTTATTAGTGATTTACGCGGAAAAATTAGTAATGTCGAACAACAATTTCGTCATCTTGGTATTGATGATTATGCACAATTATTACTTACGAATGAAGCTCGTTCAAGATATTTAACTGATAAATTATTTACTGCTATGCAATTGTTTCGTACGGAAATTCATGGAGTTGAAGAAGGTGCACAAGTCAACAATCCATTGTATGCGAAACGAAATGAATTAAATCAAGAATTTTATAATGAGATGCATCGTAGTAAATTTGAAAATAGTAAACTTATTCAATTGATTAAATCAGCTATGATTGCTACGCAAGGACCGGAACCATCCGATGTATGTTTTCGTTCAGAGAATTTAATTTTATGAAGATTTCATTTAAGAGAGTATTACCTTTGCTTGGAAGAAAAATGCATAAGCAGATCACTTTTCGTACTGTCATATGTAAGCGAGAGAGGATTTCTAACGATTCTCGCCATCATTTATTATCTGCGAGATTGAATTGGGCGAGGAAATTCATTTTAATAATATTAGCTGCTCAAAAAGGCATAATTGAATATCACAAATATCACCATGGATGAATACCCGAATCCACTCTCCCTCGACGGCGCCCCGCAAAACAATGAAATCCCTAGGGAGAGTTGACTAGGGTAGCATGTTTATTTCTTATTGATTTCTAAAATATATTTAAAAAAAGCATTAACTCTTGTAAAGAAAAAGATGAAGTTGATTTCAGAGTGCTACCGAAGCTCATCTCATCTCTAATACTCATACTTACATCATCAGTATTTCATCTAGAATTTTATCGAAACAGTCTAAATGAGAAACATGGAAAGTTTTATTAGGGCTGCTTTAGGCTCAATCATTAGTAATTTTCATAATTTATTTTAGTACATTTTATTTCGTGTAACAAAAACTGTCTGTCTTAATTATATTAAAGCAATACGTTTACCAATGGAACAATATTTATCAAATATACTTGAACGTACGAATAATGTTATATCAAATGTAATAAATAAAGTATTTCATATGCGTCCAAATTTATTAAATCAAATGCATTCAATGCAAGAAACGATTGAAAAACAATTAAAAGCTGATTGCCATCGTGAATTAGAATTAATACTTGAAATGGAAGAATCATTTGTTTATGCTGATAATCCATTATATAAGGAAACATTACGACGAACAAAACGAATTCATAAACTAAATTTTCCTGATGCACCACCTACAGCAGCAGCAACAACAACAACGGTTGTACAATCAGCACGAATACCTTACACAGCAGCGAATGCATCAACGAATTCAATAACGACATCGTTAAAACGAACGAATGGGGCAATGAGTGAAGATAATGATGATGATGATCTTGGTCAAGAATTTAGTCCACCAGTTAAAATTTCACGACCAAATGGTTCTTCAACAAATCGCTTTTCTTCACGTAAATCAAATAGATTCCATTCTTTAAAACTGTGTTTTTTTTTCTATATATTCTTGTAGTATGGAGTAACTTATGGACTACTTCACAACAGGAGATTTCTGAATCTTTCACTTCAGATAAAAACGGTCAGTTTCTACTAAAATTAAAACCGCTTCGAGCATCAAGAAGTCTTCACGATACTCATAGTTCATTTGATTCCACAACATAATCGAGAGCCTCCATTACTATTGTCCAATTAGGAAACTTTTCTTGTCAGTTTCGAGGACTAAATTCATGGAGTAGATCGATTCCTATCTGAGTCTTTTGATCGCTTCGTGCATTACTTTTACTCATTCGCGTTAAGTCTTAAATGATGATTTAATCAACTCTTAGTCAATTATTTTCTTCAATTTTAGACATTCGTCCTACGCCTGAATATGTTTCAGCATCAAGGCCAATAATTATACCGGCAACGACAAATATTGTTAATGATAATTTAATTGATGAAGAAATAGTTGAATATAAAATTCGTATATTAGCCATGCAAGATATCATATGTCAACGCATTATTTTAACATTTCCTCAACGTGTCGAATATCAACTGGTGCGAAAACAGTTTTCTCAACTTGACTTACAATCGTCAATATTGAGTAGCACGAGTTTAGAAAAGCTTGATTCTTTAATGGCAAATCATCCAGAAACTGAACGACGTCAAAATGAACTCATTACTAAACGAACAATATATGAAGAAACAATTAAAGAATTACACAATCTTGAACAGCATCAATCGAATTCAAACACGGTTTGAATCAAATCTCAAGCACGTTTTTCTAAGTTCGAAGTATTTCATAAAACTTTTTTCTTTTGGTATCTTCCAGTTAATATTTTAATTTTTCATAGAAAACAAGAAGATACTATAATTGAAATTTGTAATTTTTTTTTTACAGTTGAAACAATAAAATTAAAATGATATACAACTAAAAATATTCATGATATTAACTCTCAACAGTTATCGTTGGAATCATATTCAACTCTTGTGTTCTTTTTTTTTTCGTACCGAGTAATTTTACGTTTTACGAGTACCCTTTTCGATTACTTCATGTGCTATTTTATCTAAACCATAAAATTGATCTAATCGATATGTACGAGTGTCAATGGTATAGTGCAATGATAGTAACATTATTCCGCGGAATTTGGGTGTGGGTGTGAGTATGGTATTGTATAGAAAATCAATGAATCAAAAGCGTTTCCAGATTTCGAGTGTGGGATACGGGTGGGCAGAAGCGGTGGGAACACGTTGGCACGATTAGAGATCTGTGCACCCAACATCCACACTCTCGTTGCTGAATCATGATGCAGTATGATGTAAGAACTCTTTTGCACTCCTTCATTCACTGATCGTCTCTTGCAAATCAGCCACATATAAAAGCTCCTTGCAAACAAAGATCCAACCTCGGCAATAATTTCATTGCCGAAATTTTTGCTACGTCTTCGGAAGCGTTCTATTAAATGAAATGAAATGAAGCGAAATATTTATAGTTTATGAATGTAGTAGTTTTTAATTCAAGAGAAAAATAAAATAGCATCTATTGAGAAGTAACTTCATCAAAATAATTTTGTATTATGTTCAGACTAGAAGGAATTTGTTTCAGAAGAAGTCGATGAAAAACACTCAATTCAGTGGGAAAAGTATCTCAGTCTTCTAGTTTATGAGAAATTTCATTTCTCTATCTCATTTTTGCGCAATCAGTATGTCGAAATAAGAAATATTCGTGACTCATCGTTGCAAAAATGTGACTACTGTGCAATTTGTGCTATTTGTCAAAGAATAAAGCTTGTCGCTTCTGTTACTGGAAAGCATACTTACCTGCCACAAGAACTTCCTTGATCACAAATAAGGAAGTCTCTGGTTGAGGCTCTACCATTGCACATCGGTAGCGCTGAAGCTAGCGAGAGGTTCACATAGGATCTCCTCGAGTGGATCATTTTTCCTGCTGGGTTGAGCGTTCGCGCTCGATCCTTCAATTAAAATAAAATAATTTTACAACTATTATGAAACTATTGAATATCTGATTAAAGAAACTTGAATTCTATCAGTGAAACTATTGAGTCTAGCTTCTGAGACGGATGTAATTAAGAATTATGGATATTGCTGAAATAATCAATAAAAATATTGTATTCTTCAAAAATAATTGGTACAGCAAATAAATTCGTGTAATACAGATGATAAAAGAGTTCCAGCAGCAAATGTCGTTATTACTACATTTAAGATTTCTAATCAAGTGTTACAAGTTTCAAAAAAAAATAATGCATGATGAACAATTGCGTGAGAGTGCATTTTATTCGTTAAGTATGGGTAACGAGAATCAAGATGTATAAAATAAGGCACATGATATACTCGAATGAGAAGAGACTAGTCTCATTATAATTACATTTTCCTCAATTGTAATTAGGTATTATTTATTATTCTTCTTGAAGGACAAAATGGTAAAAAAATGATGTGTGCAATCGAATAATGAAAATATACAGGGCAAATTATTAATTCTTGTTACTGATTGAGGAGGCACGCAATTTGAGCTTTACTCAGCAGTCATCAAATGTTTAATTTTAAATAGCTAATCGATTTTGCGGTGAAATATTACCCAACAAAATCAGATGAGTAATTGCTTTGTCTTTGCTTGTCATTATTGTAATCGCTATATAATCAATGTTATTAATTATAGAAAAAAGCAACTCCGCCATCATGTATATATCTGTTTTACAAAAAATAAGAAACGAAATGTTCAAAAATAATACACTAATGGTAAGGATAGATTTATATAAGTAAAATGCTATCGCATGACTGAATTTCAATGAATATGATATCAATGAAAAAGAGAATTTCATATACGTGAGGAAAC